GGGCAAAGGAGGCACCATGGGCGCTCTCTACTGGCAGCTCAACGACGTCTGGCAGGCGCCTTCGTGGTCGTCCATCGGTGAGTTAATCCGCACTAAGCAGCTAGCTTTATAGTAGTTTTTAATTTTAGGAAGCTCTCAGCGTGCTTATTTTATATCGCTCTACAATCGCTCTCAAGTTTCATACTGTTAACCTTTCACATTTGACTATTTTGCACATTTATGCACCATACTACTAATTGTAAAATGGCACAGCTCTTTCAATTTTTTATTAACTGTACATTTCTTTTCACAGTCATTTGTATTGTTTTAGTTTTAATTTCTTGTTTTTTTTAACAAGGCAATAGCTTTACATTTGAGTTTTTCTTAAAGGATATAATTTTTTATTTATTTTAGTGTATTCAAATATTTTTCACTGCCCATTTTCACTCTAGTATACAATAATAAGCCAACGCACAACATTTTAATGGCAGCTTGTTATTAATTTATATTTTGAAGTTATTCATAATTTGGGTAAAAAAGTACGTCATTATAAAAATCTATTTCTTATAAAAAATATTAATATAATTGGTGATGAGCAGTGTTAATCATTAATTTGATTAGACAGGGTTGTGTCAAAATATTTCATTTGAGGTAAATACGATTGTTATATATTAAAATATTGGATGTATTTGAAAAATCTGTTTAAAAAAAAAAGGTGTGTGTGTGTGTGTGTGTGTGTGTGTGTGTGTGTGTGTGTGTGTGTGTGTGTGGTGTGTGTGTGTGGTGTGTGTGTGTGTGTGGTGTGTGTGTGTGTGTGTGTGTGTGTGTGTGTGTGTGTGTGTGTGTGTGTGTGTGTGTGTGTGTGTGTGTGTGTGTGTGTGTGTGTGTGTGTGTGTGTGTGTGTGTGTGTGTGTGTAGTGTGTGTGTGTGTGTGTGTGTGTGTGTGTGTGTGTGTGTGTGTGTGTGTGGTGTGTGTGTAGTGTGGTGTGTGTGTGTGTGTGTGTGTGTGTGTGTGTGTGTGTGTGTGTGTGTGTGTGTGTGTGTGTGTGTGTGTGTGTGTGTGTGTGTGTGTGTGTGTGTGTGTGTGTGTGTGTGTGTGTGTGTGTGTGTGTGTGTGTGTGTGTGTGTGTGTGTGTGTGTGTGTGTGACATGAGGGGAATCATTAATTTTAGGTTTAGGGTTAGGCATGTGTTGGTAAAGGTTAGGATAAGTCTCCAGGAAATGCATGTAAGTCAATGTAATGTCCCCTGCAGTGATGTATACATGATGTGTGTGTGTGTGCAGAGTTTGGTGGGAAGTGGAAGATGCTGCATTATTTTGCACAGAACTTTTTCTCCGCCCTCCTGCCGGTCAGCTTCGAGGATGAAGACATGCTGTTCATCTACGCCGTCTCCGACCTGAGTCACGACCTGAAGCTCAGCGCTGTGGTACGTTTCTTATTTGAACTCTGTCTTCACATTGCATTTACAACAACTGAACATGTATTCAGTGACACGAAACCGCTTCTAAGCTAATTGTTTTATCTATTCACAAAGGGTCAATAATGAGGGTTTAAAATCTAACTTAGTTCAAGTATTTCAAAGCATGGCAACATGAAAAAAATATGCAATTCAAGAAACTGTAATTCTTCCCAATCAGAAACAGCTTTATTACCAGGTAGGTGTACACGTACAAGGAATTTGACTTGGTGTCATGGTGCATACATAAAAGTAAAACAAGAATTAAAAACACAGGTAGAGAAATAGAACAAATATTTTTTTTAATATATAACAGTATTTACATTGCAAACAATCTCTACTATTGAAAAAGTGTGTTATCTATCGATTGTCTCTCAGGTGTTGGTGTACGACTGGTCTTCTCTGGATCCGGTCTGCACCCTGAGGTCCGACCCGCTCCTGGTCCCCGGAGGAAGTGCGGCGGCCATTTTTAAGCAGCGAGTGGACCCCCTGCTGGGCGGATGCGGACGCTGCAGCCGCCTCACCTGCCTGCTGGCCTTCCACCTGGAGGACAGCAGCGGGCAGCGCGGACCCACAAACCATCACTTCCTGAGCTCCCCAAAAGACGCTCAGGGGCTCCAGAGACCCAACATCACCGTAAGACTCCCTGCAACCTGGATTTTTTTGTATTCACTAATTCCCGGATTATAAATAGTACAATAACTAAGGATTAATTTCTTATCTTTTAATCATTCTGTGATTCCATTTGTGTGAAGCCAGAAAAATCACTATCACAAAATGTCATTAGGAAGACACAAAAAAGATATAAAATGCTTATTGTAATTACTTACTTTCTCAGAGTTTTTAAAGAGACATTTTTTAAGCTTTGGTCACTTTGTGAGTTTGTGCAATTTTTTTTCATCTATTGACATCTATTTGCTGACTATGGAAAATAAAATATACGTGGTATCTCACTTTTTTTACAGCAGTGATAATTATAACTCTTTTCAAGCTGGGAGCACAAAGTGATTTGAACATTTCTTAAATATGTAGCATTCAAAAAGACAACAAAACTATCACAAATACAAAAAGAACAACTGAAAATAAATTGCAAATAGCCAGAACACAGATAAAGAGCTGAATAAAACTTCCAAAAGTAAAGCATTTGAAACTTAAAAATACACCTACAATTAGGTCTTTACAACACAGAGCTATACTGTGTACAAAAACAAGACCAGTTGTCAGACACAAAGGCAAAATGTGCAGTTTTGCGAGTAATTTTAAAAGCCAATTCTACTGATAACATCAGTCTCATGCTGTTATAAACTCCTTTTGTGTGTGTCCTTGCAGGCCTCAGTGCAGGAGGATAAAAGCCTCCTCACCGTCACGCTCCACTCCTCCGCTGTAGCTCCCTTCGTGTGGCTCGATGTCGGAAACATCCCGGGACGCTTCTCCTCTAACGGCTTCCTGATGCTCTCTGCAAACACCACGGTCAGTTTTAACGCCTGGCGCCCGACCAGCGCTGCAGAACTCTCCAAAGCGCTCACCATCACTTCTTTAGCGGACGTTTACTGACCTGAGAGCAGCAAACAGACATGAGGAGGTGAACAGAGGAGACTTGTTTTTCAAAGTTTCTTAAAAACATACCATGAACAAAGTTTTAAAAACATATTTTTATTCTAGAGGTGTCGCGAATCGGTATCGATGAGAAATGTGTCGTTTATAGAATTTGTCGACAACATGTAGTCTGAATTGGGTTATATCTCATACAGGGTGTTGTGTGTTGTGTCCTGAAAACTGTTGTATTATTGCGTGTTTCCCATCTCTCAGAATAACAGAATGAAAAGTCAACAAAAGGACTTATTTGATATACCGGTATTGACAATAGTCGTGATGTTTATAAGATGAGATGTTTATATTTTGATAATTTTATACATTTGATTTATTGTATAAAGAATCAAGTGATGATAATAATAAATATGTACATATTTGTGCAGTAATGGTTACAGACTCTCGTATTTTAAGTGTAATGTATTTGCCAAAAAATAGCCAAAAATGCACAATAAAATGTAAAAATGAGAATTTGAATATAACTTTAACTGTATTTTATTTCTTCTAAATGGGTTTTCTTGGACAACCTTGCTTGCCTTTCTTTCACACTATATTTCTTCATTTGAATTGGCCACTTAAGTTTGTACATTTCAATTTGTACCGTTTGGCTGGCTTGCGTACTGGTGTAAAAACAAAAAAGGCCATGTTGTCTTACTCCGGTTTGTAAAATATTAAGTTATAGTAATAATAACAGTACTAATAAAAATCGTAGTTATAATAGGATCTGATTTATACAATTTAACCCTCCTGTTATCCTCAGATTGACTTTACACCCTTTATCCTCTGGCGTCAATTTGACCCCAATAGTTTAAAACTCAAGACAATGATCATATTCCAAATTGTAACCAACATGTTTGTCTCTGGTGCTTTAGGTATCTTAGTTGACTACCTAAATAACCATTTAAATAAAACATTCACAGCTTTATACATCCAGAATTCCTATTATGTGACTATCGAAAAATATATAAATCACCATAAAATCTCACTGACTGAAATAAAATGTTAAAGTTAGATCTTTTTGATGTTGTTAAAGGACCAATAACTAAAGCAGAGGGTAGTTTTTTTTTTTACAATGATACATTTGCATGTAATAGTCACCTCAATATCATCCTACACAATCAACACATATGTGTAAAATATTGACATTTTTATATGTTTTATACTACTAAAACAGCCTGGGGTCAAATTGACCCCAAGGAACACCGATGCGTACAAAGTGCGTACAGGACATTTCAAAAAGATCTTCATGTTCATTTTATGTTTACCCATTAGTCCTCACTACATTAGGAAAAGTCATGAAATACTAAGCAAAACAAATAATGTGAACCATTTTTTTAGATACGTTGAACATTGAATGGGGTCAAATTGACCCCAAGGATAACAGGAGGGTTAACCCACTGTTTATGAAAATGTTATCTAAGCCTTAGATAACATTTTGATAAACAGTGGGTTAACCTTCCTGTTAAGGGAGTATACCTTAGATTCTAAGGTATACTCCCTTAAAACCACAAGACATGTTTGATAGTTTAAAACTTACATTACTTAATAGGGCGTGGTTTACAAACAACAACCTTCAATCTGAAAACAGAAAAAATTTGCTACATTTTAAATGTGTAAAATCCATCAGTAAATTCATGGTTAACCAAATGTTTGCCATTGAATAAAGTAAACCCTGCTCTCTACTTCTACTCCCAGTTTTATTTTTATTTTGCAGCTGCCTCGTGCAGTAACCATGATCTGCCTCCAGGGGGCGACACTGACCTTTAATACCATCCTCATGTCTCGTGTTTATACTTTTTTTTCTTTCCAGCTGTTTTATAATTGAACTAACGGAGTCACAGCTGTACACGGAGTCACAGCCGTGTGTACTGTACTCTGCATGTCTCCTCCCAATTAACACGGTTGTGTTACCCTCTGCACACACACCCACACACACAGAACTACTTCCAAGCATGAGTGTGTGTGGCCTCAGTGTGTGTGTGTGTGAGCACGTTGCATACCAAGTGAGAAAGTGAGCCACAAAAGAAGGCATTATGAGTGCACGCGGTCGGTCACCTCCATGTTTTTCCTGCATGGCTGTGCAGACTGATCTTTGAACCTGATCTCTGATAAATCCCTCCGCGCACATCAGAGGAACTGCTTCTCCTAAAATAATTTAATCAGCGAGCAGGAAACTTAAAGGAGGAACCCTTTAAATTCCGCCTCAGTGCCATGGATCTGTGGACCTCTGCTGGGACATCCTGAGCAGCAGAAGGACTCGTTTTTTTTACCTCAAGAAAACTCCTACAAACACAGAGATGTTTACTTTAAAATGTTTTATCACGTGCATTTTGGTTTTTATACCGACGTGTCTCAGTAAAAAAGCTGTTGGCCGGGATGGGAAGGTATTTCTGGAGAATATTTTACGGTATTATGGACAAAATAATTCAATTTCAACGGAAAATCTGGAGAATCTACTGCTGCTAATCTCAGACAGAAGAGCTGAGCTGATAACTGAAGGAAACCCGCTGGCAGGCGAAGAGGTGAGCACAGAAACTATTTACATTTAAGTTTTATAAACGAATTAATGATCATTTACTAGAGTGCAGGGGATTTAAACGTGCTTGTCATGTGTTTATTATGGTGTAAAACATATTCATTGACAAACGATACTAAACTTTATTAAAGTTATTACATTGTTATATGGTTAAATATAAAAGGGAACTTTTTATGCTAGAGATTGCTCAAAAATGAACTAAATAAGAACAATGGCATAAAATACAAAGTTTATAACAAGTAATAATACCACCTAAGCAAAATGGAATAACAATACTAGTTTAAAAAAAGTGTAGTAACACAAAACAAGCTAAAATGGAAAAGTATGTTATACTCTTTCTACATGTTCATATTTCTTATTTTTAAGGCCCTTCTAGGGAGAGGCATTTTACAGGAGCTCTAAATAGTTTATACAATCTTTTCCATTTGATAATTGTTGTGCAATTCTTTATTTATATTGCAGTTCTCCCAATCAAATAACGAGTATCCTCTTTACTGTGTTGTGAAATGAACAGTGTGTTTGACACGTAACAATTGGTAGGACATTAAGTTAATGCAATCAGCATTGTTGTCATTGTTTCTATTGAACGATGTGTGATTACTCAATAAACTTGAGTAATCACACATTGTTTATAAAAACAATCATGACAACAATGCTGATGTAATTATCCTAATGATTTATTAATTGTCAATTACAACATAGGAATGCATAACAAAATGCAAGAGGAGTTTTATATATTAGGGTACATAAAAAAGTAGAAGTGAGTTACTAAAGTTTAGTTTTGAAATGTGTAAGTAAGTATATATATATATATATATATATATATATATATAAAATAAGTAAAACAAAGGCATCTGTGCATATAATTCGGACGACATCTTCTTTAAATGTATTTATCACATTTAAAACAAAAATATGAAAAATTCATATGAAGGAAGAGAGATGCAAGACACAGAAGCATTCAAAACAAATCAGGAAGGATTTTAGAGACAATAGGAGAAAACAATAAAATATGCACACAGGCTTCCAAAACTAAATCCAGTCGAAGCTTAGTCTATAATGCACTTAAAAAAACATGAACAAACAGTATACCACATTACTCGAGTGCAGTTTTTAAATAATGATGAATAAATAATGTAAACAAACACAAACGCCATTAACTGTGTGAATAATACAGCTGGCATCTAACACGAATAATCATTCTCAATATCAGAAATTAAAAGAACAAATGCAAAATAAAATCAAAGCAGGAAGCATTTAAAGAGATACTTAAAAACCATGATAGATTATGTTTACTATATATCTGAAAACACAAGGGAAATGTTTGTTCACAATTTTTCTTCCACACTTGCCCTCGCTAACATCTCAGTACATGAGCTAGTAGATCATTTTAATGCAAATTAATTTAAAGGGGACCTATCATGCAAAATGCACTTTTGTACGTCTTCTATACATGAATATGTGTCCCCGGTGTTCCAGGGAACTCACCAAGTGTCAGAAAACACAACCCTCTCTATTTTCCTCCATACCCAAATCTCTAAAAACGGGGCTGCAACGGATCTGATAAAAACTGACACAGATTTGAAAATGCTCTGACGTCAGGACGGAGGAGCTCCGCCTATATGGCCAAATCTCCACCTATCAGGGGAATGAGAGGTTGCCGTGGCATGGTAACAGCATGGTAACATGACGCTCGTAACTCGGCCCCTCCTTTGCAGGGGGGCGTGGTCAGCTGCAGCGCATGCAAAGACAGGGTGGAGGAGAGCAAAATAGAGCAAAATGAGGCATGGCTAAAATGCATGATCTGTTTGGTATTTTGAAAAAGAAAACGTATAAATATACCTTATATAGGTATGGCCCTACAATATATCATTCAAATATAGCATGATAGGTCCACTTTAAATGTTATATGCTACACTAATATGGCCAGGATCTGTTGAATTTTCTGAATATTGGGTTGCAGATTAACATTTTCAAAAGGGGGGTTCCTTTAGCATGAAACACTTGAAATAACTAAAGGATCAGTTAAAAAAGAAAGTAGAAAGTGAGGTTGAATAAAACTATTTCTGCTAAACAGTTAGCAATGATTGAGAGTCAGAGCTAAACATTTCAGATGTGTGTATCTCACACTGCACTCTAACTTTTAGTCATGTACCTTTTGTTTTATTATCTTTTCTTTTAAATGAGTGTTTTTAAATGCCATTTTATAATATGTTTCTTAATGTCTTTCATGTTTGTAAAGCACTTTAAATTGCCCTGTGTTGAAAGGTGCTATATAAATACACTTTCCTTGCCTAATGTCTGCTCTCTGTCCCTCAGTGTCAGTCTACAGAGCAGATTTTGTCTCACTTTGGCTTCAGCAATGAGAGCCAGCTGACGGTGGAGCATCTGGGGAGGATCTGCCCCGCGGTGCTGACCCAGGTCCTGCTGCCCTCCTGCCCCTACACCGGCTCCGAGACGCTGCTGCCCCAAGACTACTCCGGTGAGCCGCTTCATCGCAATGTTTGTTTATCTGTGGAGACTCCAGCAGCTCAGATAATTCTCAAAGTTCATCAGGGTTTGTTGTAGAGACTTGGAAGTTTAACGTACAATATTTCTTTTTGTGCCACAAGAGGGCTCTTAATGAAAGCAATGACAACAGACAGTGTAGCGCCAAATGGGATTACTTTATTACGGAAGAGGATTAGGGCCACATGAAACATTTTTTTGGAGGAGAGAAAAGTCAGAATTCTTTTCAAATCCTCCAAAAATGGTTTTCATGTGGCCCTAATCCTCTTCCGTGCTTTATTGATCATAGTTCAGGATCTTTTTTTACCAGGAGCAGAATGACCTGCAGAGAGCTCCTCTTCTACAAAGTAATCATGCCTGTTAAAGGTGGGGTAGGTAATTTTGGAGAAACCAGCTCGAGTGCGCTAGAATTTGAAAATACACAGCCGGAAAAAATCTGCCGCTTCCTTACAGAGCCCCTCCTCCAACACACACGAACGCGCACATGACCAATGAGGGCACGAGATAAGTTTGTGCACAGATGGAAGGCTGACAGGCAGGTAGGCCATCCAGTTATTTTAGCCGGGCCGGCTAAAATGATTGGTCGTACTTTTTACAGTATTACGTCTTCCACAGATGACATTTCTTTATGGATTTTATGTCAAAGCACTTAAGATATTCATTGCTATCGGGATGTTAAGAGCATTCCATGGAATATAACAAAAAGTGTATCTCGAGCCGGTTTCTCAAACTTACCTACCCCACCTTTAAGTCAAGCTGATAAAAACACTAAATAAAGATGTTTCTCTGGTGGACCCTGGGAAAAGCAGCTACGAGTTAAAGGTTATAACGTTAGCTTAGTTTGTATCTTTAATAACTTAATATCCAGATGTCGGAAAACTCAAAATTAAGTTAAGTTAAAAAGCAACAAATCTACCAAATGAACAGTAAAAATGTGGTATACAACTGGATAAAATGTCAATTTATGGACTGTTCTTTGTTTGAATAAAATATGAACAGTAAACAAAATCATAGTCATACCTTTTGAAAAGATTACCAATACTCTTTATAAAGAGGTGATACTGAAGGTAACTTTGTCTATTGTTGTACTTTTGTATTTTTACTCGACACATTGACACCTCCACCAAAGCCATTTTACAGTGTTAACCAAAGCAAAACATTATCAGTGTATCCGCTCCTAAATTTTATGGGTTCTTCCTTAGCCCATGTTTCATCCTGTCACAAAGTTTTATGAAAATCCGGCCGATAGTTCATCCAAAATGCTGCTGATAAACAAACTGTACCATAAATATAACTTCCATGGCGGAGGTAATTATGATAATATTATTACAGACCCAGCAATATTAAAGCAATAACATGTAGCTCCACCTTTACCAGCATGGTTAGGGTTAGTGTGTCGAAGTGATTGACACATTAATGCAGGGGTGTCAAACTCAATTTAATCGCGGGCCACATCAGCATTATGGCTGCACTCAAAGGGTCGGTTGTAACTTATATATAAATATATATATAAAATAATGTATTATATTACATTATTGCCTCTGCATTGGATTATTATCTGATAGGGTAATAACTTCCTAATTAACTACGTCTGAAAGCAGAAGTCTGGGGCAAATAATTGCAAGTCTCTTCAGTGAGAATGTCACTAAACGATTTAAAAAGAAAAGCTGGAAAAAAAGTCCAAAACAGAAGTGACATTTAAAAAAAAAAGGAAGTGACGTTTAAAAAAAAGGAAGTGACGTTTAAAAAAAGGAAGTGACATTTAAAAAAAAGAGTCAAATTCTAAGAAAAAAGGCATATTTAGAAGAAAAAAAGTCAAATTCTGACTAATTTCAGATGCATTGTGGGACATGTAGTTTATGGGCCCCCGGGCCTTGAGTTTGACACCCCTGCATTAATGCATCAATCATTATAATACAATAATAAACATTATTCAAAAAAATTGAACTTACTTTCGGTACTTAAAGAATATGTTATGCTAATAATAGTACTACAGTTAATAAAGAGTTTAATGCAGAACTTTTACTTGTAACAGAGAACTCTTAACACTACTTTTACATATCAAATATATAATACTTCTACCATCAAAGACAAATAATGCCTTCCATGCCAGTTATATATGAGTTTTTTTTACAATATTATGCTATTCAAAATGGATTTATATATATCAATAATTATGCATATCAAATGTTCAACATGCACTTTTTTGTGTTTTATTAAAAAAAATAACTGGCTTAGTGACTGGTAATCTGTTTTAACGTCACTCAGAACGTTTTTAAATTTAAAGTATTCCCTTTGTTTTAAGTAAATTATAATGGTAACTAAAAAGGCATTTGGGTTGTTCCTTTTGTTCGGATTTGAACCTTTTCTCAGGTCGTCACTTTTTATCATCTCCTTCTTTTCTCTCTCCTCTCATGACTTTTAATAATCAAAAACCATAGTCATTTACTGTGAAGCTATGTAACGCTTAAACAATGTCCTGGGCTGACTCAGAACCGCTGACCGTCAAACGCTCCCTCCTCTTCCTCCTCCTCCTCCTCCTCCTCAGTACTGTTGACAGTTGCAACCATCTGTGACTGTTTTTCAGTCAGTGTGTTGATATTGATGCACGCTGTGAGCAGAATTTCTCCTCTGCAAATAAATAAAGAGTTCCTTCGTGTGCTAGAAATCCTTGGAAACACTTACATCTTAATTTGGTGTTTTCAAGGTTTGAAAAGTGCTTAGATTTTTAATAAAAGGCATAAAACCCCCTACATTTAGGTTACTATTGCAATGCTCATTCAGATCAGACTGGCCTAATAACATAGAGTTACTTATTGAAAGGCTTCTTTTTGGCTGCTTCGGGCACTTGTACCATAAGTGTATGGATAAGCATGCATCATGTTTAACACACACACACACACACACACACCCACACACACACACACACACACACACACACACACACACACACACACACACACACACACACACACACACACACACACACACACACACACACACACACACACACACACGCAATAAAGGGCAACGCAATGACACAAACATACTGGCCAGTAGGAGCCATGGCTGCGCTGTTTTGTAGACTTTAATGAGCGTCTGTTTGGACGTTACGGTTTTGAGCATACAGTCAGACCAGGTTTTCGCAGTTTCTACAGCATCGATCAAATCATGTCATGCAGGACACCGATAGACATACAAGCCAGACATGAAGTACATCGGTCCAAGGGTTGGCAAGATAATCAAAACTCAGATACACACACCCCAAACATATATATACACACAGAGACGTCTGTCAATATAGTATGTTATACTATGTGTTTTCCTTTAAATTGCCACCCTTCTTATACTGAACGTCCTTCACCTATCATGTTTGAAAAGGCACCTTGAAAATGCTTCAAAATAGCTGTTAAATAACTGTCGATCCATGATTTGTGCCCTGACAGTGTGGGGTTACGGGTTTCTGTCCGTCACTGTGATCAACCTGGCGTCTCTGCTCGGCCTCTTCCTGATCCCCTTCACCAAGAAGCCATATTTCCCCAAACTGCTGACCTACTTCATCGGCCTCGCTATCGGGACGCTCTTCTCCAACGCTGTGCTGCAGCTCATACCCGAGGTTAGTAACAGGTGGAATTAATACGATGTTTTTGTGATAATTAAAGGGAAATGATTGTATGTGCCACTAACGTTTTTCTGTTAATCCACAGGCGCTTGGTTTTGATCCCAAATTGGATGACTATGTGGAGAACGCAGTTGGAATATTTGGAGGGTTTTATCTCCTTTTCGTTGTGGAGAAGGTACTGAAAATGGCTCTCAGGATAGACGATGAGGTAAGATCACATCTGTGTCTCTGAAGTTGTTGTGTGTCTCTTTGTGGTTGTGTGTCTCTTTTAGGTCATTTTGGGTCAAAACCTGATTTGTATGTGTCTCTTTGAGTGACATTTTGTAGGGCAGCGGGGGCAGCCAGGACTCTTTGGGCACATTGCCAAACTCATATCTCTTTCTTTATTTACGCATGTGCTATTTCCTGGAACAGCCTTCTGATACACATTATTTTTCCTGTTGCTGATAATCCATCATTGTAATTTATTGCAGAGTAATATCCTGTTTTGCAGTTGTCCAATGTCCATTAAGTCATCTTGTTTATTAGCTCATTAGGATGCCACGTAATGACTACAGGGAGGAAATTACACTTGGAAGTCATGCATATTTTTTAGATCATTTTGCAGGGTCATGAAAAAAAAAAGTCAAACTTTGTGACCTCGTAAGATTTGGCACATATTCCTAACATTACCCTTTAACCAGGGGTGTTCTAACTTTTTGAATGGGGACCAGATTACAGTAAATAATGTAAAAATAAGTTTAGCTAGCTGCCTCTCGTCATATGGGTTATTTTAAAAGATTTACTAAGGTTTTTTCTTTAGCAGTTTAACAGTCCTTCAATCAATAGTTTAATAGCCTATCCTAGCATTTCCTGTACATATAAGTTTTGAAGAGGAATTACTTCTTTGAAAATACCTTCTTTTAAAGGGGCAATGAACAATAATCAACACTCAAACAAATGTACCACAACTTAGTCCGGCATCCTATAGTAATAAACACAAATGTAGGACATTAAGGAAACATAAAAAGCTATTTCGTGAAAGTTGACAAAGTCAGTGAGATTTAAATTGTAGAATAAAGTTAAACAGTGTGAAAGTCACATTTTATAACAATTCACATCCACATATATTCACACATTCACAATGACATTCTTGAAAAAAGCTATATGTCAAACATTAAAGGTAGGGTAGGTAAGTTTGAGAAACCGGCTCGAGTGCGCTAGAATTTGAAAATACACAACCGGAAAAAATCTGCCACTTCCTTACAGAGCCCCTCCTCCAACATACACAAACGCGCACATGACCAATGAGGGCACGAGATAAGTTTGTGCACAGATGGAAGGCTGACAGGCAGGTAGGCCATCCAGTTATTTTAGCCGGGCCGGCTAAAATGATTGGTCGTACTTTTTACAGTACTACGGCTTCCACAGATGACATTTTTTTATGGATTTTTTGTCAAAGCACTTTAAGATATTCATTGCTATCGGGATGTTAAGAGCATTCCATGGAATATAACAAAAAGTGTATCTCGAGCCGGTTTCTCAAACTTACCTACCCCACCTTTAAAGCTAAGACCAAGACTCAGTTAGCTTAGCTTTGAATAAAACCTTGCAGTAGTAGGCATTTTTAGTCTTCACTATAAATATTTGCAGCTAATGTGTTGAAATTATGTGGTCTTTAAGTATTGCATTGCGGACAATCTTGAATTATCTCCTCAGCTTACTTTAAACCTACCTAATGTTTTTCCTCAGCTGACTTACTTTGTCTCTCTTGTTGTTAGCATGGCCACAGCGACTTCACTCCTTCTGATCCTCCTCAAGAAAACTTGCTCCAGAACGGGGATTTACCGGAGAAAAAGGACTCCATTGTTCTGACCAGCGTCAACACCATCGCCACCGACAAGAGCAGCCCGAACGCTGAGCCTGTGAACACAAACGTGACGACCTCTCAGGTACCAGATCAATAAGGCACCTGCCTCATCTCATGCCTCAACTAGACCTATGTTATGGATTTATTAACACAGTTTTCCAACCCAGAAATGTGTCATTTTAATCTGGTCTCCTGTCTGCAAGAAGCCCTCATAAATGTACTTTTTATTCCATTTTAAGCCACATTTTACCAGACACTTTTTAGATCTTGTATCTCTATATCTTAATCTGATAAAGAATTTTAGGTTTAAGAATGTCAGAGAAACGAGCTGAGCAATCGTTAGCCTTTAGCTCATGTCCCCTCCATTCATGGTACACTAGAAAGACAGATTTAAAGCGTATATACTGCTTTATTTATGAGTTTTAATTGTTTAAATCAGCGGCTCAGTTTGTTTTGGAGAAGGGGAGATCTCGGTGGATAATTTTGCTTTAAAACTGACTGCAATGAAGTCAATGGAGGCTACCAAACTCCGTCCTCTGTTACTGTTTTTATTGAAAGGGCCACACAGTTCAGATGGGGTTATTACACTCCTAATTCCCACCTCTTTGGCATTCAATCAACTATTTCTGCATACATTGCAAATTAACCCTCACGGCTCTCACCCTCGAACTCAACGATCTTTAATCTAATGAGCAGCTACATCTTATAATAAACTTGTCAAAACGGTGAGTGTTTTCTGACATGTTATCTTAGGTAATTAATAGAGATTTACTGTCCACCTCTGTCCGCTATCACAGATACACCTGACAGGAATGAATCATGGACTATAAATACATTACGTGTATTACGTGCACATCTTATCATTAGGTGTCCTTCACCTACAAACGGGTCACTCAATGAGACAAGTAGCTACTGAAAGAGTTGAAAAGGAACTCAAAAAGTACAAAGGAAACTACAAAGAGGAACAAAATATGCAAAAAGTGACACAAAGCAAATACTGAAAGACTCAAAATTACCACAAAGAGGTACGACTGAATTACAGACACACAATGTCTACATAGAGAAAACGTGACTACAAAGACACACTTAACAACTACAAAGAGACAAAGAACAGCTATATAAGACACTAAAATGACTCCAAAGATAAACAACATGGCAAAGATTTACAGAGAAACAAAATAACTACTATTTATTAGTCTAAGTCTTGGTCTTAGTTCCAGCCTCACAGTATTTTATCGAGCTGTTATCAGTGACAGGGGGCGATTAGACTGCTGTTAATATTTAACACTGAAATCTCCCGTGTCATATGGAGGCTCTGAAGGATCAAAAACCTAAACAAACAGAAGTGCTGGTGGCACAGAGGGACGAAGGTTTTAGATCCTTCTCCTCTTGCTAAATGCAGGGATTGTCTGTCTGGAGCACAAAGACTCCTTGTTTGTCTCGCTGGCTGATAAAAGGACCGTCTTGTCACTACAGAGTATCTTTAACCAAGACCCAGAACCTCTGTTTATGTCCGCTCATTCTCCGGATTCACATTACAAACACTGAGGCCATTATATTTGTAATCGAATAGTTCCTTAGCAAATGCTGCACATTTATAAATATGTTTCCTGTAATGTGGTTTATTGGTATCTGATACATTTTGTGAATCCAAGAGGGGACACGTTTACATTTTTGGCATTCATGATGATTAGCTCATTGGTACTCAACCTGAGGGTCAGGAGATCATTCCTGAGGGTCGCCAGAGAGAAAACATTGAATTAACCCAATAAATAAAATGAGATTTTGGAATGGAAATGGGCTTTCACATTACATTGCATTTACTGTAATAATATGCACCAGAAAGCCAGCAATCTGGACCACTATAGCACCACCATGGGGTTTACTGGGAAATGTCTCCATAAATACTGGATGGATTCCCACTAAACTTTGAACAGACATTCATGTCCTACTCAGTAAAAGAACATTGTTTGCCATTGCATTGAGGTCCATTGTTTGATCTGGCCCACAAATCAATTCAGGTAAAGGTCGGACCGCCTGGTTGTAGCTGAATGAGTGAACTTGAATCAGTTAAAGGGTGTCAGGTGTCTTGAAACACGTCTCCATTAGGCTACATTGCACGCCAACATTATTGTGCCATACATAGGTTTGTTGAATATGCTGCATGTGAGTTTTACTTCAATAAACAGTTATTTTTGTTTATTAGGGTTATGTGCAGATGTTGCACGCCAAAAGGATACACTTTGCACACTTACGATCAACGATCTTTTACTTTTTTGGTTATTAAATGTCAAAAAAACGATTGGCTTTTCATATTTAGGTTCTTGTAAGTTCTTGAATATAAGCCTACCTGTAATAATGTCATCATAATGTATAACCTTACTGAACTAAATGCTGTGATGTCTAAGCAATAATAATAACAACCAACCAGTTTGATAAGAATAAAACAAAAAATTAAGAGACACTTCTAAAATAACAGTGGAAGATCTGTGAGTTTCGTTGGGACATGAAATACAACTTGATAATATCCTTACATTTGTGGAGGATTTGAGCTGTATTTTAACCATAGATATTGTTGTTTGTCTTTGTGGCTCCCTAAATTGACATTTGTTTGCGTGTCACTCTTCTTCTCTAAATTCAAATGATAGTCGTGTGTTTTCTAACCTGATTTATTCCTCTTGCAGGACGTGCAGGTATCAGGCATGATGTGCCACTGGCTGCGAGGAACTCGTGTCTCCAGCATCAAGACGGTGGCGTGGATGATCACTCTGAGCGATGCGGTGCACAACTTCATCGACGGCCTGGCTATCGGCGCCTCGTTCACCGTGTCCCTCCTGGCGGGCTTCAGTACGTCCACCGCCATCGTGTGCGAGGAGTTCCCCCACGAGCTCGGTAAGGATGATAACCTGTTCATATTACGCCAGGCTAATATTACTTCCATCCACAGACAACTCAAATGTCTAATTCTGGTGGAGATCCCAAACTTACTGAAGCTCCAAGGCAGGGGTGTCCAAACTTTTTTCACAGAGGGCCACATACAGAAAAATATACGAAGGGCTGGGCCACTCACTAGAGTAGAGGTATATTGTCTCATAAGTTCAGTTATAAGTTAGCAAAATCAATCAAATGTAGGTAAATGATGCTTGATACTTAAAAATGCCTTAAGAAAAAAACAGCCTACATCACAGCTGTCCATTTATTTTGTTACAAAAAGTGTTCAGCTCATCCCTTAAAACAGAAGCCTCAGACTGATTATAATAAGGGGAATAGGAAGGGTTTATTTCAAGCTTGTTATGCAAATAAGTTATCAACTTACAAAATGTTTTCAACTTTAATTGACTGAATTAATTTGAAAAGTGGACTTATTAATACATGAATACTACTGTGTAATATATTTGTACATATATATTGAAGAAGTACAATATAAGTTTCATTTGTGGCACATATTCCATTATACTTTTTGAATTTGCTGAGGGCCGATTCCAAATGGGCCGTGGGCCGCATTTGGCCTCCGGGCCGTAGTTTGGACACCCCTGCTCTAAGGGATGAGAACATAGAATTCTCGTAATCCATTTTTTGGAAAGTCTCAAGGTGTGACATTCCTCTCAGAGCTTCCATACAAATGCTGGATTTTGGGGATAAAGTGTCCAAAATGTCATCTAGAATATAGCTACATTTTATGGCCCTAAGAAAAGTGTCAGGTTTTAAGGTTTTAATTAAGGTGATATTAATCACAATGCCAAGCTGGAATAGTTTTCAGTACAACAAATCATTCTGTGAAACAGGGTGTTATCAAACAAACAACAGTAAAACTTAACAGGAAAACTGGATTTCAGCAGATTAAAAACAGATTATGTCTTTTCACACAAACGAAAAGGACTATTAGTGAATGTATGATCTTTATTGACCTCTACTGACATAATGCAGCATTGCACCAAAACTCTTCTATGATGTGTTTCAACTTCAAACATTTAATAAACAAAAAATTGAAATGTAATCCAATACAACTTTCATTATTGTAACCAATGTATTACAAAACCGTCTACAAAAAAAGACTACAAATCAAACACTATTGTATTGCATTGCGTGTCATTGTCCAGATGTTTTCGGAGAGATTTCAAGAGATGAGCAAACTGGATGCATTAAGGCGGTGAAGAAATATGTAGAGATTATCTGAATTAAAAGTCTTATCAGTTCAAATGTGTTTGTGTTGTGCAGAAATGTCCATAACAACCCTGTGTTTTGTTCGGTCTGCAGGGGACTTTGTGATCCTGCTGAACGCTGGTATGACCGTCCCACAGGCCATTTTCTTCAACATGCTGTCTGCGGTGTCGTGTTACATCGGGCTGGCGTTCGGCATCCTGCTCGGGAGCAACTTTGCCCCCAATGCAATCTTTGCCATCGCGGGAGGAATGTTTCTGTACATTGCTCTGGCAGACATGGTGAGTCACATTATCCCACCTGAGGTCACTCCACACCTGCAGACTGCAGCTCGGTTTTTATGGTGTTATTTAGAGCCACTTTATATGTCTGTTTTTGTCAACAGGTCACATTTAAAGCCAAAACTAACAGTCTATTAGTCCATCTCGCCCCCCTTCTATGTGCTGCCCAATGCCCTTCCATCCTTACTAGATATTTTAAGCATCTATAGTTGATATTTTCTGATATTAACCATGTATCAAATGCATTCATGTCAAATGTGCTGCTTCATTGGCAGTTTCTCTGAGCCTAACACAGTGTTTTAGTGACTTTTGTGTTATAGTTTTGTGGAAATATCAGCAGAAATATTGGACTTTCTATGATAGTGTCTGGCCAATGTGATTTCAACTTTCCAGGGCAATAAAATAGGCCTATAAATCAACGTTGTGTTTACAGTTTGTTATGCTGACCCCAAGTGGCCAAGAAAAAGGCTCAGCAATGCTCAGTGTTAGAGTTCTTAAAAAGAGTAAAAACATAGATTTAAAAAATGTATTCATATAAAAGAAATTGAAAAATATGTTTGTTCTTAACTTGTTAAGTAGCTTGACACCATCAGAGTTATTTTTCCGGTAACAGTGAACACAGAGGAATAACTCCTAGTAGGATAAATGTATTCTTAGTGTCTTTTGATTGGATTTGTTGAAAATAAGACAAATGTCATAAAAACATGACCTCTTGTTGTAGGCCGAACCTGCCATTTTTAAACCAGTTTTGTCCTCATAGTGTAATAGATATTTCAGATGTTAAAAACATCCATGTTCCTTTCCCCTTTTATTCATGTCAACAAATTAATAATTCTAGGCACACAAATCCCACTTCCTGTTTGTATATTATTACCTCCCATGATATGATCAATAAGGGTATGGTCATTTCTGATATCTGATTTTGTTTATTCGCCTCAGTTTCCGGAGATGGAGAAAATTTCACGGGAACAGAAGGGGACTTCCAACAAGATCATCTTCTTCATCATCCAGAACGTGGGGCTGCTGAGCGGCTTCGCCATCATCCTGCTCATCACCATGTACGCAGGGGAAATCAACCTCTAGAGAGAGACTAAGGAACAAAAACTGGAAAGAAAAATTCAATAAAAAATGAGCTGCTTCTATTTCTACTCACTCGGCTGGGCGGGAAAGTGAATGTAAATGTTTTGTACGAACAAAACCAAAATGGAAAAAAAAAGCTTTTATATCTTTTGACTATCAAGTAAGTGGAACGTTTAGCTCCATAAAAAGGGAAATCTGTACAATCATTATGTATGAACTCTAGTCAAATTGTGTTTTTTTGAGGAGACAATAAATTATTTTTTCAGTCTTCATATGGCGTACAATATCTTGTGTTTATTGTTTCTCATGGCTGCAGTGTTTGACCTCCGAGTTGTGTGACCTCTGTGACCTTCATTGGTTCTTTTTCCTGAAAGATTTTTAAATAAAGTTAGTATTTCTACGTCAAAAAATCTCCTATATGATTCCATAAGCTCCAAGTATTAAAACCTGGTTGCTCTACATCAAAGGTTTCCTTTTTATGCAATTTATTATAAAGAAAAAGAAAGTTGTCCGCCTTCAGGGTTGTATTGCTTTGACAGTTTCTCTCAGTGGCTCTTTGATAACAGCAATAATATCTAACATGAAACGCCACAAATACAAAAGTTAACTAAAACATTTGACCTATGTTACCCCACTCTATGTATTCTGTAAACATTTTTACCTTTACGTTGTTATGTATGAAACCCATTTAATGTTGTAATAATAGCAACGTAATTTTACTTATATTTACTTTAAATATTTTGTGGGTTAAGGTAGACCTGCAACTAATGTTTTATTTCTCTATTAATTATTTGTAAGGCTAATCATTTGATCAGTTCAGAAAATAACTTGCAGAAAATGTTGAAAAATATTCATCCTACTCCAACCAGTTGAGAAACACTGTTGTGGATAGTCATCATTAGCCATCTCTTTTAGCAAGAGTTTTTTTTAGTTAAATACAATAAATACTTCCCTATTTATGTAATGCTAACAACACAGTATGATCCTTACATATAGTAAGGCAAACATAGCACCAGTGTCAATCAATTATTTAAAGTCACACCATAAATGGCTGGGATTCGGTAACGTTTTGTAATTATATTTACATCTCTTTTATAAAAACTAAATTATACAATCAGCTGGTCTGCAAGCGGCAGCCAATCCACAGGAAAGCAAGTGGTACAAGTTGCGTCCAAGTGACACCGCAGAGCTCGTATTTATCCATATTAAATTGGAAAATGATAAACCGCCCGTTAGAAAAAAACAATTTATCCTAGATGTAATTCCGCTTCGGATATTTAAAAGATGTCTATATTATAGTGATAATAGTTCCAACATGTATATGGCAAAATAGGTGCGAATCGCATACTAGAAGGAAGGCAGGTTGATTTTCCCATTCGGCTGCTGTACAGTGAATGCAGCATATCGTAGTTGGGGAAGTAGGAGACAAATGAAAAGAAACGCGATTGACTTCTGGAAACTTTTCTGATTTGTTCACACAATCCACCTTCAACCCCGCCTTCAACAAGGATTACAATAAACACGGTGAGTCATGTTTAATAACCCCGTTTATTTGTATCGGGAAAAAATGAAATGAAGTCATATCAAATCCTTGGTCGCGCTGTGAAGCTACATGATGCTAGCTGCTTATCAGAGGATTTAAAGTGTTTGATTAAGGTTTTTAAAGTTTGTTTGATCCGATCCACGTTGGCATTCAGCATCTTCATTAACATTATAGTTAATGAAGATGCTGTTTGGCTTTTCGTTAAAACCGTTATAAAATGACTCGCGTGACATTTGAGATTATTATTCGTTCTGATTGATTATTGAGTTTGTTAAATGCAAAATAAGCACACATGTATAATTATAATCAAAACATATAATATATATTATTCCGAAATGGCCCAATCTGCATAATGACTACTTGTACTTGTCAGAATAGAATTGGGAGGGATGAAACCCTCTTTAATGGTCACACATGCAGAGCACACAGCATACGCAGTGACATTTGTTCTCTGCATTTAACCCATTTTAGTACCAGGAGTCTAGTACTAGGCAGCTATTGTACAGAGCCACTGCGGACAGAATAATTGTAGAATAATACAATCTTTTAGGTACAGTTTTGTGATCAGATGAGGTTTTATTTACTGCAGTGGAGAAAGAACACAACACATAACAAACAACAAACGCTTGTATTATCTCTGACAAAGACTGACCTTCTTGAGAGGATTACAGTAAACAACATGATAGATAAAAGGTGTGGGCTGGGCTGATTTTCAAGTGCTAGTATTTCTTTTTCTGGGTGTAACACATTTTTGATTAATCAACATAGGATTGCGATTGTGCATATTGTGATATCTGCAAAACCAATAATCTCAAGTAGTCCAAGGTACAAATCAAAAAAAGTAAACACAAAAACGAGATTTAATCTACAATTTAGACTTTTTTCTATTCTCCCCCGTCATGTCTTGCTTTCTTTAAAAAAAAAAGGCCCAAGTGATGTATTGATTAAATATGATTGCAAAACAGATTTTTCTTGTCATTTGTCATATTTTCAACCTCTCACATTTTAACCTGGACTTGTTTTCAGAATCAGGGCTGAGCCATGGCGAATATTCAGATCCGGAAGTATCGGGACGAAGACTCGGAGGCGGTGAGGGACACCTACACCATGGGGATGAGCGAGCACGTGCCCTCCTCCTTCATGCACATGCTGAAACAGCCACCGACCCAAATGGTGCTCATGTGCATTTTTTGCGCCCTCATCACCAGCTCCAAGTCTTTCCTGTTACCCATCCTGGCAGTCACCCTGGTCCTGGCTGGGGCCCGGCAGTTGGTCGTCCACGTGTTCAACAGACACATCGACACCTCACTCAGTAATGACCTGAAAAACATCAGCGAGACCTACCTGAAGCAGAAAGACTCGTGTTTTTGGGTGGCTGAATTCGATGGAGTGGTGGTCGGCACGGCGGCTTGCCTCCCTGCTGAGAATGCGCCTGCGTGTTTGGAGTTGAAACGCATGTCTGTGCGCCGCACTCACCGCAGGATGGGCATCGCTAAGGCTCTGTGTCGGACAGTCGCTGAATTTACTCGTGAACGAGGTTTTGCAGCCGTTTTACTGGTTACCTCTGTGGTGGCTACAGACGCTCAGAAGCTGTATGAGGACATGGGCTACAAGAAGATACGACAGTTTGTTATTCCTGAGCTTGCTGGCAAAATCATGAACTTCACTCTAATAGAGTACAGACTGGATTTACAGAGAGAGGGGAAAAGTGAATGAGTCGTTATTTAGCTGAAACCCTAAGACTGTTCAATTTTTGGGAAAGGAACCATTCATTTATGCAGTTTCTATACTTATATTTTGACGGTATGCTTTGCCTCTAAAGGGATAGTCCCGATTGTTTGAAGTTGGGTTGTAGGAAGTACAGTATAGCCCTTTTGGTCAGGAACTGAAGACGTCAAATCAATGTATGCATCGCCAAAGCCACCAGACTTTATTTCCAGTTTTTGCAAATGGAGTCTTGTGGTAAGACTCCAAATCACTGCCTCAGTTCTCTGTCAAAAATAGATGCCGGAGAGTAGGGCTGTGCGATTATGGCAAAAATCATAATCACGATTATTTGGGTCAATCATTGATATCACGATTATTAAATACGATTATTCATTGACTTTGAAAAAATCCATTTATTGAACTTTAAAACAAATACAAATAATAATTTGAACAGTATCTTTTTAACTGTTGATTACCCTGAACGTGTAATTCAACTGAAAAACCAATACAAAAATAAATGATACATTTAAATAAATAATATCAAAATAATAAATACCAATAAACAAGATCAACAAATATTTTGGAGCGCACTTCCACAAGCTACTAAACATATATAAATATGATAAATACAAATAAATGAGACCAAAATTAATTAGATCAAATATGTTGCAGTGTACTGTCACAACCTAGCAAAGCAAAATAATTGTTTTTTTCGATTATGTTGTTTTCGTAATTGTGGCAGGCCAAAATCGTAATTGCGATTAAAATACGATTAATTGCACAGCCCTACCGGAGAGCATGATAGGGCATGAAAATATAAAAAATATAACATTCCTTTAAACTGATATTAATCATTTAAGTGGCTCAATTACCTTTTTATGATCACAGCAGTACATTGCTTAATGGCTGGCACTAAGCCAAGCTATCCCTTTAGGTCAACAAAACACGGATAACAGTATCTACATAAGGAACTGTTTACTCCACACACGCGTAGTAAAGGTTAGCCATGTTTTCTTTTGTTACAAACACACACGCGACAGATTGATCATTAATCCTTTCTTTTCTTCTGATGATGTTTTGTGTTGATTAAGCTACTTGAAAGTCATTTTATTATTTAATTGTGTAAATGATTTCCTTTCTACATGATATTTACAATAAACTGATCGATAAACATAATTCTACAATGTGTAGCATTTGTTTAAATGTATTTTGTGTTACTGTTAGGGGTTCTATTTTTTCCTAAACTATTTCTCGAGCTAACATATTTTCTTGCTCAAACCACTGTGTTATTGTTATCCGATATATTTGCAATATAAATTAGGTGTTTGTAAATCTGTGGACACTAAGGTGCTTCACATACATGAGCGTTGAAATAAATGAGTTAAGCTGTGGGTATGGTTTAAGATTGTAATACTTTAGCATACTTCCCATTCTTATCATATCAACAACATAACTAGGGAGCATGTTGTATTGCAGTAGTTGAACTGTGTGTACTTAAGTTCAACAGCATTGCTCTCTGACATAGTATTTTATAAGCATGTGCTATGTGTACTTTAAACCAGGAATATGAATGTGATCAGGAAACTATTTCCCAGTTGTTCCCTTTGAAACAAAGCCCTGCAGATTAACGTTTTATTTTCCTTCATCCCATTTGTGATGCTGGAGGCATACATAAGAGAGTGAAGCACATGTTCAGCCAAACAGTATTTTCTTTGTGAGAGCGAGAGGAAGTTTGTAGTGACCACAGGGCATATCAGATAATAAGGATTCGGGCAATAGCAGTGATACAAGATGCTTTCAAGTGACACCCAAAAGCTCTTTTTTATCTATATCCTTTTTTAAATTATATGCAGCCCGGTAGGAAAATAACTTCACCCCAGATTTAATGTCTGTTTGTATGTTTGACGGATGTGTGTTTGGAGGTGATAGTAGTATTAACAATTAGATGGCAAAATGGATGTTTTGCCATAACGAGAATCCCATACTAGGGTGACGGGATGTGGATTTTCCCATGTTGCTGCTGTACAGTGAATGCAGCATATCCTTGTTGGGGAAGTAGGAGACGCATGAGACGACTTCCTGAAACTTTTCTGTTCTCTTCACACAATCCACTAACCCTGACTTCAACAAGAATTGAAATAAACACGGTGAGTCTTGTTTAATAACCCCGTTTATTTAATCGACAGCAAATTAAATTAGATCAAATAAAATCCTTGGTAGCTCTGTGATGCTAGCCCTGATGCTAGCTGCTGTTAGCTAATCAGAGGAATTCAAGTATTTACGTTGAACGGTACGTATGGTTTTGTTATTTTTTTTACATGCATATTGAATGCCTATGTGTTACAGTTGTTTGCAAATATACCTGTCTTTTCGTTTAAACCGTTATAAACTGACTCACGTGACATTTGAGCGTCATTGACACTGTTTTGTTTACATTTCACTTCCGCATTGATCATTATTCATTTTTGATTGATTCATTAATTTGTAAAATGGATAATAAACTCAAATCCCACACTCCACTTTGACTAGATGCAGAGATCGAAGAGTTACTCAGATTATGAACTTAAGTAAAATGACCAGTACTAGTGTAAAAAAAATACTTAATTACAAGTAAAAGTTCTGTATTCAAAGTGGTACTTAAGTCAAATTAAAAAGGTATTGGCATCAAATTATACTTGAAGTACTCTTTCTGCAGAATAGCTTAAATTCTTATATGATAGTTATTGATTAATGTTCAACACTTCAATGTTGCACTTGGTAAAGGTGGGGTTTATTCCTTATTGGTCCATATTTGATATTTTATACTCGAGAAGTAATTGCAAATATCTGCATTATGCATTGCTTCCCTGTAGAAAAGGCAGGCTTCAGCACAATGTGATACTGAAAAGAAACAAAGCAAATGTATTACCGCGACTGATTTATCTAGTCAATATTTTGTAACCTCTGACATTTTGATTTCCTGTTATAAATCAGGGCTGAGCCATGGCCAGTTTTCAGATCCGGAAGTATCGGGACGAGGACTCGGAGGCGGTGAGGGACACCTTCACCATGGGGATGAGCGAGCACGTGCCCTCCTCCTTCATGCACATGATGAAACAGCCACTGACCCAAATGGTGCTCATGTGCCTGTTCTGCGCCCTCATCACCAGCTCCAAGTCTTTCCTGTTACCCATCCTGGCCGTCACCCTGGTCCTGGCTGGGGCTCGGCAGTTGGTCGTCTACATGTTCAATAAATACATCGACACCTCACTCAGTAAGGACCTCAATAACATCAGCGAAACCTACCTGAAGCAGAAGGACTCGTGCTTTTGGGTGGCTGAAGTCGATGGAGTGGTGGTCGGCACGGTGGCTTGCCTCCCTGCTGAGAATGCGCCTGCGTGTTTGGAGTTGAAGCGCATGTCTGTACGCCGCAGTCACCGCAGGATGGGCATCGCTAAGGCTCTGTGTCGGACAGTCACTGAATTTACTCGTGAACGAGGTTTTGCAGCTGTTTTGCTGTTCACCTCTGTGGTGCAGACAGACGCTCAGAAGCTGTATGAGGACATGGGCTACAAGAAGATACGAGAGTTTGTTGTTCCTGAGCTTGCTGCCAAAATCATGAACTTCACTCTGATGGAGTACAGACTGGATTTACAGAGAGAGGGGAAAAGTGAATGAGTTGTTAATTAAATTAGACACAAAGACTATAACATTTTAGGGTTAAGGAACCGTCCATTTATTCAGTTGCAATACTTACTTTTTGCCAGCATTCATTGGCCATAAAGGGACAGTCATGATTGTTTAAAGTTGGGTTGTAGGAAGTACAGTATAGCCCTTTTGAACTTGTAACTGAAGATGTTATATAATTGTATGCTTTTCCCAAAGCCACCAGACTTTATTTAAAAAACAAATATTTGTTACTGTTACATTTCAGTTGTTGTCAATAGAGCCTGGTTGAAAGACTCCAGATCACTAATTTGGTTCTCTGTCTAAAAGCATGATAAAGCAATGGGAATATTTTAAATCAAGCAAAACAAATATTTCAACTTAATTGCTTGGAAACCAGGCTGGCACCAAACTATCCCTTTAGGTCGATAAACCACAGGCAACAGTATCCACATAAAGAGCAGTTTACTCTACACAGGTTAATAACATGTTAGTATGTTGAATAAGCTACTTGAAAGTAATTTTATTATTTAATTTTCTAAATGATTTATTTTTACATGATACTTATAGAATAAACTAATGGATAAACATACTTTCAGTACAATGTGTATCATTCGTTTCTTTTGTTTTTTTGTATTACTATTAGGGATGCCATATCCTCCTGGACTTATTCAGGCTCACACATTTTTTCTTGCCTAAATTGCTTTGTTATTGTTACACATTTTTATTGCAATATAAATCAGGTGTTTGTTAATCTGTGAACACTAAGGGGCTTCAGATAAATGAGCGTTGAAATACATTTTAAGCCCCATGTCTGGTTTTAGGACTTTCATATTTTAGCATACATTATTTTCATATCAACCATTAACATTTAGCTGGAGAAAGCATTGCACTATTTATACTTCATGTACTTTAGTTCAACAGCATTGCTCTCTGGCATAGTATTTTATATGCATGTGCAATGTGTATTTTTTACCAGGAATAGGAGTGTGATCAGGGAACTATTTCCCAGCTGCCCTGCAGCTTAACATTTTCATTTTCCTTCACCACATTTGTGTTGCTGGAGTTATAAAAGTGAGTGAAGCACCTGTTCAGCCAAACAGGAAGAACAAGTATTTTCTTTGTGAGAGCCAGAGAAAGTTTGCTATGACCACAGGCCATGGACAAATCAGATATTTATGGGTCTAAGGAACATTTGTCAAAAGCCCCACAGACACACTCACATAAAACAACTGTGCATGCACAGGTGTTCTAGCTTAATTGTCATTAATTTCCACTTTTGATTGAGTTTTTATGCTTACTCTCTATTCTGTTGTAAATGTTTTACTTTCCATTTTTTAGGGGGTGAATATTTGGATGTGTGCATTTCCCTCACCACTCCTCAATTCCCTTTTTTCTTACCTCGTAATTTTTCATATAATAACCTGTACTTTCTTGCACAGAGTTGATATACATACATAATAACAGCAAAAGAAAAACTCCTCAGGGAAACATGATTTAAAGAGGAATGGCCCTTAATAACAACAACATAATAATAAACTTAAAAAAGTGCTTCACAACAATTCAAAAGTAATAATACAATATAAATGTACTCAATTATTTGCACTAGACATTGAGTCGTAGTAGGCTATGTGTCTATAAAAACTTCCCATCTTTAAAATACTCACCAGTGAATGCAATAATACATTTAAACATCTTTATAGTCCAATACCAGTAATACAACTCTCCCCTGGCTCCTCTGTGAGTGAGGCGGGTCAGTCAGGCAGCAGCTCGGCCACCTCAGCTCGGATGTGTCCGGTCAGACCTCCATGGATGGATGTAGCCTGGACGGGACGAAGCTGAACGGTTAGCCGGATCTTTTCACACAAACAGGTAAGATTTAGCTTTAACATGTCATCTGGTGAATGGGAAATACTTTCAAAACACATTTAAATACATGTTTAGAAAGATATACGTGTGTGTCTTGTTCAATTTAACTCGAGTTAAGACGTTTTGTGTGAGAATGCCATCCGAAGCTAACGGTTGCTATTGCTAGCAGCTGGCCAGGGAGTGTCCTCCCAACTGACAGCTGACAGCACCAAACATCAGCCAAAAAAGATAGCATTTAAGAACCAGTTGCAGTCGATAAAATACATTATTTGATCATCTAAAAGACTGAAATAGAGTCTTAATTATTCCAAATAATTATAAAGCTTTGGCTGTGGGTAATTGAGACACGTGGATCATGTTTTCCAGCACTAATTGGTATGATTTAGGCTTTATTCTAGTTTTAATGAACTAAACCTTGATAGTTTTCTCCTAATTTCTCATTCAATGTGGGTAATCTGTCGGTAGAAACTGTCATGTCAGGCTGCAGCCACACCCATGCTGTGATTTATTAATATCCCAACAGTCATAGGTTATTAAATAATTCAATATTAGTGTTATTCGATAGATTTATTTTAATAATACTTCATCATTTTTTTTTTAAATAAATGACTAAAATAGCAATACATTGGTCAGTGGGATATATGTGGAGCAGTGCATGGTCTCCTAACTTTGATCTCACTAGATGGCACTACATTATTTACTCTCACATTAGTCGTTTCTATTTATAGTTTAGTCTTTGAGCACTTTCATGCTATTTTGATACACGTTGAAGTGCAGGAATAACCAGGCTCTACTCCTGTTTTCAGTGGATGACCTATTTTTCCTGTCTGCATTGTGTAGTGCTGAGACCAGGCTGAATATCATTAGCATGCATGTGGTGGAGAGGAAGCCCAACATATATTTTTCATTTAATCAATAGTTTAAACCATTTATCAGGTATAACAACAGATATTTAAGGATTTGCTACTTAGAAATATTTTATTTTTATTCACTAAGGCATTTGATTTTCTGGATGTCATGAAGACATTACTGAAAAAAAATAATTTTGATATAACAAAAATATGCCACCCTGAAAGAAACTCCCCTTTCCTTCATGAGCCCTGACACAGCAGTTTGCATTTCAGCCCATGATTCAACTATAACAAATGAATTTACCAAACTTTAGTCATATCTCCTCTAAATAGCCTTCTTGACACCAGCTTCCAGGGCGTCCACTTGCTCTTCTTTACCTTTTTTAGTGACGTCCATTTGTTCCTGGACCTGCAGACCAGAGGTTCAGTTTGGTCGTGACGCTCCTCCGAAAAATCCCCCAAACCTTCCTGTGCTCTGAAAAAACTCACAGCATCAAAAGCTTTTCGATGCTGTTGTGCTAAGCCAGTTCGTTGGCAGTTCTTTGGTTTTTGGCTGCTGGTTTTCTCCGTATTATTCCTTCAGTGGGAGATAAGGGCTCCCCCTCTCTCCCCTCTCTACCTCCCACAAATCCCTGACACCCCCTCTGTCGTCATTGGCAAAAAAGGGTGCAAAGAGACTGCAGAGGCTTGTTTTGTGTCCCTAAACATCCTCAACTGTGTATCACTCTCCTAAGTTATAAACCTCAGGCTGTATTTTGTATACTTAAGTCATTTTCCATACTCTAAATGCACGTTTGAGACTTTTGTTAATGTTCTGAAGCCACAAAATACTGCCTCATCAGTTTATACTGTCCTCATTAGATATATTATTAGGTAATGACTTGTAGACTCATCGATAAGTTGATTTAAATAGTCATTCTGCATAAAAAAATGATTTACTGACTATAGATTTTTCTGGTAAATTGCAGCCCTAATGTTGACATGTAGTTACCCTGATGATCTATGTTTTGTTGCTAAGCTTTGTGAGCATTATTTGGAAATATCTTCCCCTCCTCAAGGCTGTGTCTCTTTTATCCTGATTCTGAAATGCAGACTCTTATTCAACATCTCTTATTAGCGTGCAGGTTGAAGGCTTTTACACAGAAACCCCTGCAGAGTTTGCTTCCATTGCAGAAAGATGACAGCACAGAAACAGAGAGTTTAAAAAAAGGTCCAGCCATGCGGTTCGCTGATAAAAGCTGATAAAGGAGAGTTAATCCGTCAGGCCGAGCCATAATGCTTACAGTGTGCTGCATAACAGAGCATCACCTGGGCCCTTTGTGTGCAGCCACAATGACACGGCCTCAGATTGAATTGAACTGGTTCACCCCCCACCCCCGGGTTCAAAAACGCTTACCGTCTGTGTTTTATTTTTTTTAACTTCTCCCCCCCCCCTTTCCTTTTTCCCCACGATTTGAGCAGGAATAAGAAAGTGTTTTTTAAGACGAACTGCAGTGTTGGGACACATCTGGGCTCTTTAAATATATTTCTTTGCTGCATTCTTGAAGGAGTGGTTTTTGTTGACTGTTTGCCCCAAAAACCGTAGTGATTATAAATTATATCATTTGGTACTTTATTGAATTCAAACAAAGAACAACTTTAGACATGCATGGCACTAAAGACTATACAGAAAGACTTTAATTATTTGCCTGTCTGAGGTATTTTTGTGTCCCTAAACAACCTCAACTGTACACAACTTTTTAAAATCTGAGTCTGTATTTTTTATATATACGCATTTTACCAGACTTAATATGTAGTTTTGACATGCTTCCCCAATCCGTATGTCCCTAATGGTTGTCCTCCACCAACACAAATATTTATTGATGATATTTTTCATCTGACAGATCATAATAAGTATGATTATCAAGGCATTTTGTATTTTCATGATTTGCCCAGGACTGCTCTTTGATCATCCACAGAGCGTTACTGGAGATCACCCCAGGAGATGCATGGTGATAATGACTGTCAGGTTTATTCTGAGAGTTTTATAGAGGTGTATTTGCAGGCTTTAGGACCCAGTAGCTCAGTCTGGCCCTCCCCCCCCCCTCCTGCAGGAGCCGGCGCAGACACTAGCGCAGCGCAGTGCTACCTCTCAGCTGATGCACTCACAGCAGAGCAGCCTGGATGTTATCCCCCCCCCTTCATCTCTGTTTGCCTCTGGTCCATTCATCATCAGACGGGTGGATCATCCCCTGTCTTCCCCTCCAGAAACTTTAGCCCAAAGAAAGCTCCTGCAGGCTTTTTTTTTGGTTGCAGAGAGCAGGGCCGGGGGAGTTTGTTGTGAGGATCAGGAGAGGGATGATGTGATTCTGTGCAGAGACGAAGAGGAAGAGAGACGCTCCCCCACACCCCTCTCATAGACCCCCTATCTGTCTGGCTCTTCCCAATAACCCTCCTTCAGTCGAGACAGGCGTTTTTTGGGGGAAACATGTCACAGACTAGGAGGAACACGTACACCCGGGTGAGTGTGTACAAGGTGTTTATACAAGGTGAAGGAATGACCGTTGTTTCTGTTGGATTTGTTTCACTCTGTCATCAGCTTCATAGTGGGTTTTCTACTTTGAATAGAAAGGGTTTCTAATCCTTTTCACCGCTGCATTCCTCGATCTGAATTGTCGCCTCTTTGTTCGGCATTCTGTGACGCCTTGTGTCTGTAAAGTAGGAGTTGATGTGTGACAGGCAGGTAACAGGACCACAATGCTTTTTGTTATCATTAGACACACAATGAGCCTCAGAGGACTTCCTGTTTCGTCCTGTAGCTTTCCTGCCTCTGGGAGGGATGACATCAGAGCAGGTCTTTCATACTCTTTTATTCCTAAGATCACAGAAAACTCCTTACTTATCAAGAATAGAGCCCTTAAATATATGTTCTATTACAATAAAAGGGTATATTTGTGTTGCTTTTTGAAGTAATGTTGAACTGTAGTAATATTGTTCAGCTAGTATTTGATTTAATCATGAACCGTTGAGGCGACATTATGTATTTTATATGTTTATTTTCCTTATCTTGTGTCATTTGGTATCGTTATCTTCAAGTTAGAGATGGGCAAAATAAACCTAGCAGTGGAATTAATCACAAAAATAGAAACATTTCTGGTTATACACGACTATGTTTGCAGGCATTCACACGCATGGAAAGTAAAAAGATTGAGACAATAGTTTGATTTCATTTGAGTCCAGATTATAAATCAAATACTGAGTGCTTACGTGAAAACTAAAAGTGCAGTCTTCTAATGATATTCTTTCAAAATATGAAACATTATCTGACATTTTTTGTTAGTATGTGCTTCTTATCATTTTAAATAACGCTATTGTGTATCACACTACCTAGAGATGTGGTTTAATCACAAAACAATTTAATTGAAAGATGATCATATTAATGGATCACCCTCATTTAGTCTGCATTACAAGGTCCATTCAAAAGTTTCATAGCTTTCTGAAGTTTGGAGCTTTTGAGATAACAAAGCCATCCGATTTCTCAGCGCCTCCATCAGAGCATGAGTTACAGTGCAAAAATGAAGCTGTATCTCTGTTTTTTAATTTTCTTCTTTTATTATTGTAGTCAGTCTGAGCTCGCGTGTTTTAAGAGTAGAGTGGCACTAAATAATTCAGCCTGCCCTCCTCGGGTCGGCCCGGCCTCCACATGGCAAACGGGTCAGAGAAATGACAGAAACACCCTGCAGGCTTCATTACAGACTGATAACAAAGCATGACTTTAAAGAAGTCCAGAACTGAAAGCTCAATGGACGTTTGAGTGCAGATTGCTCACAGGTGCAGGTGAAGCCTTCCTGAAGTACCGTAAAGCAAAGACTCCTGCCTCGGTGAAGCATTTAAATATAACTTACAGCTTTATTAAAAGATCTTGAGTGTGACATGGTAACGGCTTCACAAAGACTCAAGGACTCTTTGACTGCACACTTGTAAAAACTCTCATATTTGTCATGAACTATAAGCTAGGTTGGTTAGACGTTAAGCAATCATCGGGATTCAGGATTTGCTTAACTGTCGCTGCCAAGGCACCTTTATTTATAGAGCACATTAAAGGCTTTACTAGAAAACATTTATAGCATTGAGACGTAGTAAATGTTGAATTATACTTGGTTTTATTTGTAAATAGTAAGGAATGAGAAAAACAGCTAAGACTATATAATTTAATCTCTTAATGTTGTTTCCCACCACAATATCAATATGGATATATGTGTTTCTTTATATTCCTAGATCAACTTGAGGGAGTTGAGGAGATATGACATTAAACCTTCAATATTTTCAGATTGCAGTTTAGCATTGTTGAAAACATTTAGGATAATGGGAGTTCACAATAAAGCAAAAATGTATAAAGTTGTTTTTAGACATTTGAATGCAGAAACGTTCCATAATATAGAAAGAAATATTGTATCTCTGAGCAGAAAGTGACAATTTGTTTCCCATATCACTGAGAATATCTTTCTATAATCATGAATGTATTTTTATCAGTAAATCCGTTGTTCACAATTAATTTGAGAAATGTAAATCATTGCGAAATGCCTCTTAAGAAGTGACGACATCTTTGAGCTTATGTTTAAAAAGCACTGAAACAAAGCGGTATTTATTCCACATTCCATCTTTACTTATCTCAGACTTAATGCTCTCACTGTGTCAACACGGACGGCTGACTTGTAATACCTGTATGTTTAACAGATATTTTACTTTGATATATTCTTCCTCCTTTACAATATATATAATGGCCTTGGTTTTTTGTATCACTAGAAGTCTTTAAATATCTTTGGTTTCAGTCCAAAAACCAAAGATATTCACTTTAATTTGATATAAAACAGAGAAAAAGCAGTAAATATTCATATTTGACAGAGTGAAATATTGTTTGCGTTTAACAATTACTTTAATGATTAATCAATTAGCACAATTTACTATCTAACTGCTTATTATTAAAACATGACAACTTAATTTACAACTGTAAATACACAGCTTTTATTTAAAAAAATTAAAAAGGGCTTGTTTTAAATTCATATTGGCTGATATGTTTTAAAACGTACCATTGTTAATAGTGGCAACAGCGTCAAAAACCAAAGGAAATAAAATAAACTAAGTTGTCAACAAGTTTAATAACTGAGACTTAAAGTAGCTTGGATGATGCAACGTGACCACAGAAACCTGCAGTGGATGAAACAGATTTAAATTACATTACATTACATTGCATTTAGCTGACGCTTTTATCCAAAGCGACTTACAATAAGTGCATTCGACCAAGAAGATACAAACTTGAAGAAAACAGAATCATATAAGTACATCAGGTTTCATAGAGCCAAACCATTTTAAGTGCTACTCAACTGGCTTTAGATAAGCCAGTCCTTTGTTAGTATATAAGTGCTTTGTTAGTATATAAGTGCTTTGTTAGTCATTTTATTGCTCGAAGTGGAGTCGAAAGAGATGAGTTTTCAGTCTGCACCGGAAGATGTGTAAGCTTTCTGCTGTCCTGATCAATGGGGAGCTCATTCCACCATTTTGGAGCCAGGATAGCAAACCGACGTGTTTTTGCTGATGGGAACTTGGGTCCCCCTCGCAGTGCGGGTGCAGCGAGCCGTTTGGCTGATGCAGAGCGGAGTGCACGTGCTGGGGTGTATGGTTTAACCATGTCCTGGATGTAGGAAGGGCCAGAACCATTCACAGCATGGTACGTAAGTACCAGTGTCATGAAGTGGATTCTAGCAGTTACTGGAAGCCAGTGAAGGGAGCGGAGGAGCGGCGTGGTGTGCGAATATTTAGGAAGGTTGAAGACCAGACGAGCTGCTGCATTCTGGATGAGCTGCAGAGGTCGGATGGCACATGCAGGTAGACCAGCCAGGAGGGAGTTGGAGTAGTCTAGGCGTGAGATGACGAGAGCCTGGACCAGAAGCTTGAGCTTGAGGTGGTGAGCAGATATCCACCGAGAGATGTCTGCTAGACAAGCAGAGATGCGTGCGACAACCTGGGTTTCAGAACGGGGAAAAGACCGAATTAACCATGCGGGCTAATGACAGATCCGAGCGAGTTTGTGTACAGAGAGAAGAGGAGGGGACCGAGGACAGAGCCCTGAGGGACCCCTGTAGTTAATTGACAAGGGTCGGACTCGGACCCTCTCCAAGTTACCCTGCAGGTGCGGTCTTTGAGGTATGAGGTGAGGAGGGAAAGTGCAGAGCCTGAAACTCCAAGTTCTTGGAGAGTGTGAAGGAGGATCTGATGGTTCACCGTGTCGAATGCAGCAGACAGGTCCAGAAGGATGATGACAGAGGAGAGGGAGGCTGCTTTAGCAGTGTGCAGTTCCTCAGAGACAGCAAGGAGAGCAGTTTCTGTAGAGTGACCTGCCTTGAAACCAGACTGGTGCGGATCAAGAAGGTTGTTCTGATGGAGATAACAGGAGAGTTGTTTAAAGACAGCGTGTTCAAGTGTTTTAGACAGGAACGGGAGGAGAGAGACAGGCCTGTAGTTTATAACATCGGACGGGTTGAGAGTGGGTTTCTTTAGGAGAGGGTTTACTCTTGCCTCCTTGAGACTGTTTGGAAAGTGACCAGAAGTTAGAGAAGTGTTGATGAGATGGGTGAGAAACGGTAGAATATCAGGAGCGATAGTCTGAAGGAGGTTTGAGGGGATCGGGTCCAGATTTAAAGACTGTATTTATAATATAAAGATTATAATTGTTGATATTTGAAAACCCCTTGATGTTGCTGCTGTTTGAGTCATCGTCCTGCTTTCTGTCTGATCTTGTTGAAGTGACTCTGCAGAACAGAGACAGTTTACAGTGAAGTGAAGGAGAGTCAGAGCAGAGTAATAATATCTGCTCCTCTCTTCTGCTGAGTCACCATCACTTCTGGGACACCACACTGTAAAGTGGGTTATGCAGGATTATTTGATTTCAAAATAGTGCAGCTTGTGTTCAAACGTTTTTATGTGTGGTTTGTTTTCCATGCAGCCCGATTGCTGTATGAAACCTCAGGTGATTGTTGCCTTGGTGTTATCAGAAAAGCTCGAAAACTGTAGAAGTGTTTGCCTTGACATTTAGAGTCCTGCTCGGCTCAGAGGGACTGAAAGCCGATGTGTGCTCCTTTTAAAATACCCTGCCAATATCTCCTTAAGGTTGATGCCTTGTAGTCATTGTGGTTACATACGGGCAGTTTTGGTATTCCTCATACTATTAAGCATTCTGCAAAGGCCATCTCTTATCCCATTCATGTTCAGGGTCAAAAAGACCGTCATTACTTTTTTCTTTGTGCTTTGAGCTGCCCACCCAACCTTTTTATCCAAAATGCAATGATCCTGCAGAGCAACAGAAGACTTTATACAACTGGTTTCACAGGCAGAGGAGAATAAGAAACAAGTAAACCTACAATTATAGAATATTAATAGAATTGGAGGGATGAACCCTCTTTAATGGTCACACATGCAGAGCACACAGCACACACAGTGAAATGTGTTATCTGCTTTGAACCCATCCTAGTACCAGGAGCAGTGGGCAGCTATTGCACAGCGCCCGGGGAGCAATGGGAGTCGGGGACAACCCCCCACTCCCAGGGCCCAGGAGGTGAACTGGGACCTCTCCAAGTAGCAGTCCACACTCCATATTTAGGTCTGTTCGGGGACCCTACGGCTCCCAGTCCAAACCCCTACTGACTGAGCCACTGCCGGAATATTTAGTAGAGTACCCCCATTTTAAATGTACAAAACGTGATTATGTGAGATGAGTTCCTGTTTAAACACTATCTGTGTCTCCACGCAGACCACCAGCAGCGGCAGCAGCAGGATGAGCTCGGACGGGGGCGGGCGGCCCATCAAAGTGGGCTCCCTGGTGGAGGTGATCGGGAAGGGGCAGCGCGGCGCGGTGGCGTACATCGGCAACACACTGTTCGCCTCCGGAAAATGGGTCGGGGTCATCCTGGACGAGGCCAAGGGCAAGAACGACGGCACGGTGCAGGGCAAGCGCTACTTCACCTGCGGGGAGAACCGAGGGATATTCGTGAGACAATCACAGGTAATAAATGCCTAAAGCCCAGAGATAGAAGCCCCCCCCCCCCCCCATCTTTCTATTGTTTAGTTTCTTACTTTGTGAGATTGTGATTTTTGTTTTTATTTGACGCAGTGTGGGGGTTGATGTTTCCCTCTGTAGTCTGCACAGTGCCAGTGTTTTCCTGCGAGTTTGGATGTTTCCTGATTGTTTTACTTCCAGAAAACTACTGCAAAGTGCCCCTGCATATTTCATCACCATAGGGTGATCTGTGGGGTCCTGGGGATAGTTATACAGCCATAGGACAAGAAAATGGCTGGAATATCAAGCCCTTTTTTTTTTTTTTGTCACTGCTTAAATGTTATGGCCACTTATTGAACTTGTATACCATTCTCATTGTGGAAGATTTGTATTATGTGTCTCAATTTGGTGTAAAGCTCTCCACTTGCAGAAACGGTACACTCAAAGAGCACAGACAGTAAAAGGTCTTTTAACCTTTATTTTATTCCAATTGAAATCTAAAATCTATTTTACAAGAGAGATCAGAAAAAGTTAAAGGTTTCATGTGGAGTTTTCTTTTAAAGGAGTAAGATGTATATCTTGTGACGTAGCAGAAAGTGAAATGGATACACCCCAAATATATGAGTTAGGTTTTAAATATTGATTGCCAGGAACTCATTTGGGACAAAACAAAAGCATTTTTTCTTTGATCTCCTTTGTCGCAGCCTCTCCTTCTTGCTTTGATAGTTTGCAGTAAAAGTCTGTCAAACTGTCTCACTGCTGTCTTTCTGTCTGTCTGTCTGTCTGTCTGTCTGTCTGTCTGTCTGTCTGTCTGTCTGTCTGTCTGTCTGTCTGTCTGTCTGTCTGTCTGTCTGTCTGTCTGTCTGTCTGTCTGTCTGTCTGTCTGTCTGTCTGTCTGTCTGTCTGTCTGTCTGTCTGTCTCTCTCTCAGATCCAGCTGTTTGACGATGGAGCCGACACAACGTCTCCAGAGACGCCTGAGCCCGGCGTCGGCAAGATTCCCAAACGAGGTGAGCGGTCTCACGTTGAGATGATTACAAGTGTGTCCTTTTTGTCCTCATTTACTTTTATTGATTATTATCCTGCAGGGATTTTTTTAACATAAAAAAATAAAGAAATATGCTAAAACTAAATATAATCATGTCTGACCTTTCCGAAATGGAGGTTGTCTCGGACTCTAGGTGACCTGAACACTCACAACATTAAACAAGCAGGGAAGTTCTGCGATGTGAGAGCACTGAGGAAAGCACATCTCCTTTTTTGACATTAAGCCGGTACACAGGTAGAAGGCTTGAAGGGAAGGGATTTGATTACTTACAATATGACTATCATTTTTTCCAAAATGTTTTGTTCGACCGTGGATAAAAGGCAATATCTAATGCTATCATTCAGTTAATTTAGAAGAAATCAACAGGCACACATAGACAAAGGTAAAAGTAAAAGACACACACATGTTGATTTTAGTGAAGAAAATTGCTCAAAACTCATCACAATTAACCAGGGCATGAAAAAAAATGTATTTAGCGTCTAGTGTCTCTCCTGAATAACAACAGTATGAACTGAGGCGCTGACACCTTTTCTAACTGACAGGCCACTGGTTTGATCATTTATAACTGGTTTGGACTGGTTTGAACAATGCATTTTTCAAGATTCAAGATTCAAGGCTTTTATTGTCATTCGTACATAGCTACAGTAGTTATGTCAATGGAAATCTTAGGTCTCAGGCTCTTCCAACAATAAAACAGATAAAATAGTGCAAGTCCTGGTTAGATTAAAGTTATTAAGTATTTGAAACATACATTTCAATCATTACAAACTTTTGTAGCTTTACAAATAAGTACAGTAACAGCTCAGCCTGTGCAACAAAATGCTTTCATTTCATAAGAGATGTGGAACAACCGTGTGCAGAGTTGGTGCCACACTCTGTTTGAGGCTCAACGTGAAACCAGAGCCTGTAATGAGATCTTTACTGAAGCACATTTATATTTCAGGCCTTTAGCAGAACTCGACACCCTGTGAGTTACATCGGGCGAACACCAGGGGTTTCACCGCCTTGCTGAAAGGGAAAGTTCCCCGATGTTCATGTCCAATCAGTGTTCATGGTAAATGTAGTCCACTGAAGCCATCAAACCTTCAGTGCTCGTTATATTGACGTCGCTCTTTGATTCCAACAAGAAAATGATTTGCTTTAGGCAAGGCAAGGCAAGTTTATTTATATAGCACTTTTCTGTACGCGACAATTCAAAGTGCTTTACAAAACAAATTAAAATACTTTTAATGAATAAATACAGTAAAAACACATTATATAATGGCATTTTACAACAGGCATTACAAAGCAAAGATAATAAAATAATTAAAATAAACACCACAGGTATACAATACATGTTTAAAAGGCATACTGTAGTTCGAATATGAGCAGCTCAATTAAAAGCAGCGGCAAAGAGATATGTTTTTAGTCTCGATTTAAAAATGGTAAGCGTTTCTGCGGACGTGCATGATTTGGGTAGTTTGTTCCAGAGTGTCGGGGCATAATAGCTAAATGCTGCCTCTCCATGTTATGTTGTTACTCTCGGAGCCGATAGCAGACCCGTCCCAGAAGACCTGAGGCACCTTGATGGCTCGTAATTGTGTAGGAGTTCATCAATATACTTTGGTCCTAAACCATGTAATGATTTAAAAACTAGCAATAGTACTTTAAAATCAATTCTTTGGCCGACTGGAAGCCATTGTAAAGATTTCAACTTTCCACTTCTGGTCACCAATATTTGTTGTCATCCTCTCGAGGATAGAGCTTCTGTTTCCATGGTAATGCCTCTTTGCTGCATCATTAAAACAGGGGGGGGGGGGGTGATGGTGCAGAGTATTTAGTTTAGCAACCTCCTGCCGCAGAGAGAGGGGACGCAGAGCAGTGTTTTTGGGAAACATCAATAGTTTTTTAAACTAACACTGGTATTTAAAATTATGAAAATGATATTGAGAAAAGTCAAAAGTAATGGCTGTGATAAAAACAATAGGCAATAGTTTTCCCTGCTTAAATGTTTGTTTTTCAAATATATAACTTACTTTATAGCAGTAGTTGGTACATTTATTAAAAATAACTTTTTGTCAGTACACTATTTTAACCAAATATCTGTTGCTTCCTTGTTTCTAACAGTATTGGGGTTAAACCCTGTGGTGCAAAGCCAATAAATCATGTTGACCTTAAACTGTAATCTGTGAATACCAGGATGTTTGTGGAACTTTATACCTTGTAGGAAATAATTAACGAAAACACGTCACTCACTTTCTTTTATTCTTTTTAATGTCCTCAGAGATCCTGGAGACGCCCAAGTCCACCAAACTGGTGAGTCAAAGTTCACTCCTTCAGGAAGTCAGGAGCAGATATGGCAGCACACACCTGTACACCTGTACACACGTACACACGTACACACGTACACCTGTACACCTGTACGCACACGCACACGCACACGCACACGCACACGCACACGCACACACACACACACACACACACACACACACACACACACACACACACACACACACACACACACACACACACACGCCTGGACTCACACACACACACACACACACACACACACACACACACACACACACACACACGCCTGGACTCACACACACACACACACACACAACACACACACACACACACACACACACACACACACACACACACACACACACACCTGGACTCATACCCCGACACACGGCTGGACAAACAAACTCTAAAATATTAGGCAAGGCAAGTTTATTTATATAGCACCTTTCAACACAAGGCAATTCAAAGTGCTTTACAAAAAAATGGAAGACATTAAGAAAATGGCATTTAAAATCAGTCAAGATAAGAAAAAATACATGGATAAAAGTTACAGTGCAGTTTAAGATGTGAATAGTTCAATTAAAAGTGGCGACAAAAAGAAAAGTCTTCAGCCTGGATTACCACACCTGCTCAGCTGTTTTAAAAACTGAGAATTCACTCCTTTCTCACACCCTCCTTTTTCACACCCTCCTTTCTCACACCCTCCTTTCACAGGCTGATGTTGTAGAAGCTGTGTAAAATTGACAATCTGCAACTTAGACGTAGTAATTTGCAGTACAAAGGAGTAATCTTCCGAATACTTAATTATAGTTAACCAAATGATTACATACTGTAAATGATTAGCTTTTCTTTTATACATGCCTGTAAAGTGTGTTGAATAATCTCTGCTCCTAATGATAAAGAGATTGGAAACACACAGTTGCAAATTAGATTTAACAATCTTAAATAATTCCTGAAATTGCGAGTTAAATCAAATAAACAACCAGACAAATCCAAATAAGATCTTTTAAAAAAAGAAGTGTTCATGTCGGTCCAGCAGAGGGCGATGTTTACTTGTATACATAATAATATACAGATTATTTATTTAGTGAAACAAGAGCTCCCCTGAGATGAGTTGAACCTTTACATTAAGAACAATGCAGCGACTGTATTAGTTATTCATTCCTCTGTTATAACTCTGTGATTGAATCAGGGCCAACACCTTAGACAGAAATCTCACATAAATAATTCCTGTGCAACAAAAAAATGCTTGGACTCTAAAATATGGAGTTCTTTTCTTTTACATTTTTAACAGAGAGGTTTAAAAACATTGCCTTAGACATTATGATGGACATATTTGATTTGACGTTTTACAGCTCAAACAATAAATCAAATAAATCTAGTAAAGAAACTGCAGATGAATCATTGTTAAAACTGAGCTCGATACATTTTTCAAGTTATGTTAAGATGGAAAAACAAATCTTTGCAATAACGGCATTAAACAGTGGCTTATATACCATATTACTATTTTAATAACAAAGCAATCGTGTTTGAAACATTGTAAATACGATGTTTTTTACGTGCAGTTTGAACGATATGAACTGAATGAAAGTGGAAGTTAAATGAGAAGGAGAGAAATGATGAAGGTCTTTCATCCACAAACGAAGAGCACAGACGACCCCTTCACTTCCAGCATGACACACTCTTGACCTTTAACCTCACCCCTTCATTCCTTCCTCACTTCCTTCCCTCCTTTCCTCCGACCATGCAGCGTGGAGTGAAACCCAAAAAGGTGTTGCATGTTTCTCTAACCTCTGTTCAGTGTAATGTAATGACTGTCTCTGAATGGCCTCGCTGCTGCATGACGACCGGGCGTACTCCAGTCATTTTACCCATGATCCCTTGCAGCGCACCGTACCGTTGTCCCTGGTCTTGTTTTTCAGCCGCTCTGTGTTTATCTAAGCGTAAAGATAAGTGTGTGAACGGCTCATAAATTGTGTTTGTCTGCTTTCCGTTCAATTGTTAAAGCATGCTGGAGTCTTGGCAGCCGGTGTCATACTTGATTGATTACCAGGAAACGTACTAAATGTCGTAATTTGTCGTATCAGTAGAAGCAAAACTATGGCTTTATTTGTGCTGAACATTTCCTTAACAAATGTATTACACACAAACCTTTGGACTCAGAGGGACTTAAAATGTTTAAAATCCCAGTTCTCCAGTTCAGACGGTTCTCTATCCTGGTCCTTTTTCATGAATCTTGGTGGAAAGATAACATCTTTTGAAATGAAAAATATTTTTTAATTATGCAAGTATGCCATCAAGAAGAAACAGAACTGCGTAGAACAGCAGTGGGTTACTTGTTACACTTAACATCTTTAAAATGATTCACTTCAAAATATACACAATATTGTATTCTATGAGTTCAGAAGAATGCCATGTTGCTACAGCTGAACATACATTTCATTTGATTTCAAGCCTTTATTTACCCAGGTGTATCCCTTGAGATCATTGATCTCTTTTTCAAGGGAGACCTGCTCAAGTAAGTTCCACATGAAACATCAAAACATAAAACAACAGAACAACAAAAGGACATCATACAGCATCATTACAGGGATTACAATTTACAATAACTATCCACATGAACAGGTACCAACAGCATCCGGTTGAGTAGCATCCAACCGAGCTTTAAAAACATTTAGTGGCACCAGATTGCTCAGTTTCCATTTAATTTGCAGACTATTCCAAGACAGAGGAGCTGCGCATCTAAAAGCTATCTTCCCTAAGACAGTCCTAGCAGTTGGCACATTTAATAAAACCACAGCATGCGATCTCAGGCAGTAGCCACTTACAATTCGCCGTGAGATCAGGGAGCAGATGTAGGATGGAAGTTTCCCTAACATGGCTTTGTATATAAAAATGTACCAGTGACTGAGCCTCCGTACAGTTAGTGAAGGCAAACCAGCCCTTGCATACAGGGTACAGGGATGAGTTAATACTTTACAGTTTGTCACAAATCTCAGAGCACTGTGATACGCAGCATCTAACTTGATCAGGTAATGGAAGAAGACACCATGCAGAAGTGATATAAATACTAATACATATTGTGACTTCAACATTTAATGAGCCACACATGAACTCATCATCCGATCCATGCCGACAGTCCGATGCTCTTTTAAAAGTCCTTCTCCGCTGAGTCGTACATGCAGGTAAATGTCAGACCCCCCCCCTCCGCCTGCAGAGAACAGAGCTGCTGCAGAGCATTGATTTCCTGTCCGCTCCACTTTATCGTCTCCTGACTTCCAACCTCACGAGCTCAGATCGGTCTCCACAGGGAGGCTCGAATGTTCTCTCTTTTCCAGATGAAACCGAAGGGTTGAACACAGAAGGGATTCAGAACAGGCAGGAAAATGCAAAGAATAGATGACATTTACACACAAGCAGAAATGTGCCATAAAAAATAAACTCTCTCAAAGATAGTTTTTTTTATTAACTTTTCATTTTTTTCTATATATAATTGCTATGTATTATTCATTTGGTTACTATATCTAATTTATTGTTTTTCTATACTTACTTTTTTAATCATGTTTCTGTTAATGTTTTTATTATCTATTATTTATTTTAATAGTATTCCTGTCCCTCAGTTATACAAGTACCAATAAAGTAAGAAGAACAAGAACAAGAAAAATATTAAATATAGAAAAATTATAATAAAACGATTCATATTACATTTAGAAAACAATAAATATATTAATTAATAACAATAATTACAAATCATTTCAGAATAAAATATGTAAAAGAACCAATATGAAATAATTTCATACATTTATAAAGCCCACATCATTAGTATTAATTGTTATAAATCCTATTTTCAGCTTTATTGGGTCTCTTCAAGCATTTGATTAAAATCACGATAGAAATTCAATTTCAAAATAATTTCTCCAGAAACATTTTTATTTCACTAATCACTTTCCGTGATCAGAGATGTTCTCAACCACAGTATGTTGATGCTTAAAGTAAGATTATCTTGGTGGACAAAGTGAGTTCTTCTTATGATTTATGTGCTTGCACTGCGGTCGTATGCAATAAAGTTTTTCGGCTTGACAGCAGAGTATCTGAACTTCACGCCTCCTCAAGTTTCCCAGCGTCCGATCAAAGGAGGTCACCGCTTTGCTTCGTCAGTTCATCGTGATCGTGATGGTGATGCTGTGTAAATGCTTCCTGTGCAGGAACGTGTGTGTGTGTGTGTGTGTGTGTGTGTGTGTGTGTGTGTGTGTGTGTGTGTGTGTGTGTGTGTGTGTGTGTGTGTGTGTGTGTGTGTGTGTGTGTGTGTGTGTGTGTGTGTGTGTGTGTGTTGTGTGTGTGTGTGTGTGTGTGTGTGTGTGTGTGTGTGTGTGTGTGTGTGTGTGTGTGTGTGTGTGTGTGTGTGTGTGTGTGTGTGTGTGTGTGTGTGTGTGTGTGTGTGTGTGTGTGTGTGTGTGTGTGTGTGTGTGTGTGTGTGTGTGTGTGTGTGTGTGTGTGTGTGTGTGTGTGTGTGTGTGTGTGTGCGCGTACGTGTGTGTGCGCGTACGTGTGCGCGCACGTGTGTGTAACTCGATACCTCCTCTGAACACATCCCATCATCCTCTCTGCCTGCACGTCTGTCTCTCTGCATCACTTCGGCTCAGAGCAGCACTTAGCCTGTGAGAAAGAGGATTAATATTTCATCAGGACAAACGTCTCTGTGCTGCTCTGTAATGGATATACAAAAACACTCATTTCTACCCCAGCCCCCCGAGGTTCTGCTTCTCGTTGTAATATTTTCTTCAATATAATCTTGCATGTTACAACCTGCATTTACTATATAAGCTCAAAAAACATAATCGCAGCCTTTTCAAATTACTTTCTGCCAATTTTTAGGCGTACAACGTATTTTTGGCTTTAAAAAGTAGCCTTATTAGCGGACAGTTAATCAGAGTATTCCCTCTGGATTAATCCGCTTACATCGCCTCGCTCCTCCTCCTGTTAGTGCAGAGATTAGTGGAGCCGGAGAAGATACTGCGATAGATTTCTTACACAAAAAACCCTTCTAACTAAAATCAGTATTCTATCTAAAGCTCAGGACCACTGCTTGTTTGAATCGTAATAGTCGATGTTATGATACTGCTGGATCTTTTAAGCCATTTTGCAAGGATTCATTATCTTTTATTAGAAGACATAACCAGTATAGAGGAAAAAAGAAGTACTCAGATATTGTTCATGTCACTATACTCTGTTACAAATGACATTACTGCAGTTTAAAGCCTAGTAAAATAAAAGTACTATTTGCACAAAACATACTTACTATAAGATTATGCAGATTGGCCCATTTTAGATTCATAAATATTATACTTTTGCATTATATTTGTTGATGCATTGATATGTTAATCACTTTAATGTTGTAGCTGGCAATACATGTAAAATGAAGGGGTGTCATGATGCAAGTAGCAGACATTTTATTTTTGAAATCTACATTCCAAGCACACCATCCTATTAAGTAATACAAATTGTTAAATCATGTTAATGTTACTTTTTGTAAATATGATTGAAAATATTTTATATTAAATGGGGATATAATATCTTCTCATATCAATTGTAGCCGCCTTAATCAAATTCCTAGCATGGCAAACGTTGTAATATAAGCAAATCAATTTAACACCGTAACATGTTTAAACTTCTGATCTCCATCCCGGGTAAAAAACATTTTTTTTCTTAAAACCTCTTTAATTTGTGACACAGATCACGTGTCGTCATTGTTTTTGTCCGCCTCATTTGAATAATCAGCCCATAAGCAGGCACTTCTATTGTTGCTAGGTGACAAGAGAGACTTGCATCAGCGTTGCTGCTCATTTCTCTCCCTCACTTCCTCCGTCTCACCTCCTCCCCTCCTGTCTGTCCCCCGTCACACATCGTCTCACCCCTCCCTCCCTCTTCCTCTCCCTGTCTGTGCGGTGATGAGAGGGGGAGGGAGGGAGGGAGGAGGCTGCACAGTGATGTAATGCAGGAACAGGAGCTCGGCTGACAAATCACAATAAGCAGAGAGAGAGAGAGAAAATAGGGAGGAGGGAGTTGAGGGGAGTGAGGCGTCTCCTGTGAGCAGTAGCAGGTCGGAGGCTGTCGGCAGAAAGATGTCCGAGGCGTAATCGGAGCAGAGAGGAAAAAGGGAGGCGAGGGCTCCGGTACATGGACTATGAGACGGGGGACATAAAGGAGGACGAGAGCAGGAGGACGGAGGAAGGGAGGGGGAGTCTGGGAAAAAATCTCTGCGGCCATTTGCACCACTGCAGCTTCCCGGCCTGAGAGTCTGTCTGTCTGTCTGTGGATCGAGCATCTCTACCTGTTTTACCACCTTCCTCTGAGTGTGTGTGTGTGTGTTTCCTGGTAACTGTGTGTGTCTTCTTCTCTTGCAAATATGATGAGACAGACTCCTGCACCCCGGAAGGTACAGAACTCAACCTGATCGTCCTCATCTGTTGGGATGTTGTTGTTATTGTCATCCATGCATTTGATTTTATTGGCAGAGCTGCTGCTTGGAAGTTTCCGTTATTCCCTTCTTTTTTTTGGTGGGAATTCCCCTTTTTTTTTAATTCCCTCTTAAATCATATCGTATACCCCCATTGTGGGAGTAGTACCTGCAGCTTGCTCTTTTTTTAAAATCTTTTTGTCAGCTCTGATTTTTGATCATGCATTTGTATTTGTGTGCAGAAGCTTTTTTATATCTTCAGTTGTGCTTCTGTCTGCACACGAGCTCCTGTCTTTTATTTGGTCTCATCTTGCAGAAGCCTTCCAAAGTGTCTTTTAAAAAAATGTTTGTTCTTGTATCAGAGGAGAATGAAATGATTTCACAGTTGGTAGCACATCTAGCAAACAGTCTGATGTGATTTCAGGCAGGTTTGGTATCTTTAGCACGCCGCTATGGCTTAAGAGGCTGTCAGCTCTTATTTGGTACAGCTGTTAGCTCTGGGCTAATTTCTGCTGAATGGTCCGGCTCTAATCCAATAAAGAACGGTAACTGCTAGCCACAACGACGCCGTGCCCGAGCCGAAGCACAGAGAAGTGGAGGCAGTGTGCAAGAGAGAAGAGTGAAGGACTTCAGATCATAATGCATGAATGTAGGAGAACTGAAGTGTCTGCACAGACCTGGGTTACAATGTGTTGGTGTGAGATAATAACATTATGAAGTGCTATGTCGAGAAAAATATATATATTTTAAATTATGACTTTTTTTGCTGAACAAAACTGAAATATTTATTTATTATTTATATTTAAACGTAGGGTAGGTACATTTGAGAAACCGGCTCGAGATCGCTAGAATTTGAAAATACACAACCGGAGAAAATCTGCCACTTCCTTATAGAGCCCCTCCTCCAACACACACGAACGCGCACATGACCAATGAGGGCACGAGATAAGTTTGTGCACAGATGGAAGGCTGACAGGCAGGTAGGCCATCTAGTTATATTAGCAGGGCCGGCTCAAATGATTGGTCGTGCTTTTTACAGTACTACGGCTTCCACTGATGAAATGTTTTAATGGATTTTTTGTCAAAGCACTTAAGATATTCATTGCTATCGGGATGTTAAGAGCATTCCATGGAATATAACAAAAAGTGTATCTCGAGCCGGTTTCTCAAACTTACCTACCCTACCTTTAAGATGCAATTTATTTTTAAGTCCATAAATCCATTCAAGTTTTTCTGTCAAGACCAATGTTATTTATCACAACAAAGCTAATGTTTCATTGGTACACATTCATTTTATTTGACTTTTTTTACATTATTTACTCAGGAAGTTACATTGACATCTCATTGAGAGTAAGATAAATGAATAATTTGAATGAACTGCAAAAATGTTCAGAAGGATTGGGTAAAATAAGAAAGAAATCAACATACTATATAACGTTTTCAAATTTAAAATAAATTATAATAACAAGGATATTTCCTTCGGTTTAAACTGAACACACTTTTCCAAATGTGTCTCTACTATAACTGGTACAAAATTACGGTAATTAATTTCACGATTTATTTTAGGAAATAATAAGGGCATTAAGAATAATATTACAATATCCAAAGACAAGTCAGTCACAATGTTGATTATGTTGACATATTGTTATGTTACCTAGCTTTAAAACATAATCTTTAAATGCAGGTTTAAAATCAACAGCTCATTTAATCCAAACCAACTGTTTCATACTGTACTACTAAAGACTGGATATAATATCTCGGCAAACGATTGATGATTAACAGAAAACAAGTGAGTTAAAAAGCAACAAGAAAATACATGTTGTCCTTTATGCCAAGCTCTCATTAAACAAAGTAACCCAGGTCTGCAGGACTGACACGTAGCACGTTGCTATGTTGCAGGATAACAAGCTATTATCCAGCGAGTGCATCAGAATTGAGCCTCATCTGTGCGAGACACAAAGCAGTCATTTAGGTCACGGCGGCCGTGCCAGTCACGGCGAGCATGTTGAGGGTTTTTCAGTCACGTGGGAGGAAGAGCCGAGACCCTGCAGACCGGCGAGCACAAGAGGGATGAAGAGCAGAAACAAAACAGAGCAGAGATCTGTAGCGATGGTGCTCAATAATGAACTCATTGTGCTGCTTTGTATTCAGTCCCATGCATCCATCTTGTGTTTCTGTGTGTGATTTCTGGTTAAATATCTGCCTTGAATCACTAACCCTGCGTGTCTGTTTTCCTTCCCTTCCCTCCTCTCCTTCTATCCTCCTCTGCTGACCCTTTGACCTTTTCCCTCTTCCTCCTCTTTCTCCTCTTCCTCTTCAGACCACGGTCAGAAGGCCCAAGGTGAGCCCGGTCCTCAAAGTCCGCAGGGCTTTTCTATCACTTTGAATTAAAGGCTGGGCAATATGTTATATTATATTGATGTCACAATATAAGACTAAATATGGTTTTCAGAATGTTGGATATCGTATTAACGTTAATAAGCAAATTGCTGTATTTTCCTGCTTTTAATGTGGTGTTATTTTCTATTTTCTATTATTTGTCTTGCGTCACAAAGTCATTATATCCACAATACTGATGATTATTTGTTTTTTCACACAATATTGATGCCATATTTGGTCAAAGATATTGCTTCATTTGATATAATCCATATTGCCCAGCCCTAGTTTGGATAATGTATATCATGTGTGCTTGTTGTTTCGCTTCACACAGCAGTGTGTATGTTTGTGCGAGTGTTGCAGAGTCAGCAGCGACAACACATCACCAGCCATGATTCACACTACAACTTATTTCAGCCAACAGCATCAATACTTGCATTTAGATTTTCTTTTGATTTTTTGTCCATTTCCTCTTCTTCACATTTTTATTTACAGCACAAACACTGTTTCCTGTCTCCAAAAACAGACAGCAGGTGTCGTTACTGTTGCTTTTGTTCAGTCCTTATTTATGTTGTTTATCAGTTTGAAGCATATTAACTTGCTTTGTTTGCTTTTCTAATATTATTTTCAGTTTAATCATGAGCATTTGTTTTATTATCTGCCTTGTTTTTCATTCCTTATGATTACAATTTAGATCCTAAATAAGTACTTAATCCAGGATATTATCCACGTGAAAAAAAACGACATTATTGCCAGTAACTTATCATCGAACAGACATTCATACCCAGTGAATACCTGATTCTGAAGTTTTTTTTAAAGGCTCTTTCTCTTGATTTCTCCCCCCTGGTCTCTGCAGCAGCCCACCCGCCCCGCCCCAGGGAAGGGGGCTGCGTCCGGCTCGGCCTCAGCCTCTGCGGGGGAGATGAGCAGCAGCGAGCCCAGCACGCCGGCCCAAACCCCTCTGGCTGCTCCGGTCATCCCCACCCTCCACTCCCCTGGAAACCCCCCGCCACCGGCCCCCAGCAAGGTCAGTTATCAGCGGCAACACAGAAAATCATCTAGGCAATGAACATAGAACAAGGTGCATCAACCAGCAACTGAGAAAATACTTAAAAGTCTCTATGCTGTAATTCAAGATTCAAGGCTTTTATTGTCATGTGTACATAGCTACAGTGCAGTTATGACAATGACAATCTTAGGCTCCTCCAACAGTGCAACACAACAAAACAGATAATAGTGCAAGTAAATGAAATACAATAGAATATCATAGAAATAGTGCAGAATATACAAGTAATTGGAATATTGATATATATAAGTTGCAAACAGATGAATGTAATTGCTTACAGGTTAGATTATTTATAATGTACACATAGGAAACAGGTGACTAATGCCAGCTTTGAGGAAACATTTGACCAAATATTTATCAAGAATAATAAGGAGGGCACATGAGACTGTGTTTTTGTAACACACCACAAATCAGTGTGTTAAATAAGCCAGGAGCAGACGAGCTGGATTTAAATCAGATGTGACATTTCCTTTGCTCTGCACAGCTGTCACAACATTTCTTTTTAAATCACAAATGAGATGCAGGCAAAGACCAAATTAAACATAACACTTATTCCAGTGTGATAAAATGAATAAAACACCATACGTCTTTGGTTAAGCAGACCATGGTGGTTTATGTCAGTTAAGCTTCACCTAGATGTCCGAATGTTATTTAATTTAATCCTGCAAAACTTTATTGTCTGTGAACTTTCCGTTAGTCCTAAACTGCGCACAGGTTGAATCGCAGAGGATAGAGAGAAGCAACATGTGGTTTCATTTTTAAGTTAATTGTCACGGGTTATCTCTTCATCACTTTGTAAGTCAGCTTCACTCTAGTGTTACATTTCAGGCGGTGATCCATATTTTATCCCCTCAGGAGGACGTTCCTATGGAAACAGAGGTGCAGTCATGTGGCGTGATGTTTTCTTTTTGCACTTGATATTAAAGTTTTTTTTTTTTCTCACTAACATTTTGACAAGCTGTCAAAGGTGTGACTGCCTGTCTTTAATTGGTGTGTGATATGGCTCTGTTCACAGGCTGGATTTCTGTATTGGAGGTTTAAATTTAGATAGTGTGAATGTGTCACACTCGATGAGGCATGTGTGTGTTTTGTCGCAGACTTTTCCCTTTCTACAGGTGGAGTCACTGCATGGCAAGGGAAATGAAAGCATAACAAGATGAAAGCTGTACCTTAGAGTTGAAGCTTTACACCTGTAGCAAAAACCCTGGTGAAAAGTCAAACATTTTCTGATAGGGACTTTGGGAGGTAAAGGAGGTGGAGGGGTCTATCAATGAAAGGGTTGCTGGTTTGATCCCCGGCCCCTGCTGTAAACATGCCTTGGGCAAGGTTCTGAAACCCAATGTGACCCCTTGTGTGGAAGCATCTGCATGTGTGTGTGAATGCTGACAAGTTGTAAAGAAGCTTTGAGTAGTTGCTAAGACTATAAACATACATACTGTAAATGTACACATTTAAGATATTATTTCTCCCTAAGTAAAGGATTTATTTGCAACAAACATCTCATATTATTCCTGATTTCAGAAGATAAATATATATATACAAATAATCCAAGATATTTTTGTCTGAATACTTTTTTTAATGTGTGATTACTAATTGAATCTTTCCTTTCCTTCATACCTCTTCCCATCCTCCATGCTGCGTCTCCTCTCCTCTGTCTCCAGGAGGAGGAGGCGCTGCGTCTGCAGGTGAAGGACCTCGAAGAGAAGCTGGAGACTCTGAAGATGAAGAGGACGGAGGACAAGGCCAAGCTGAAGGAGCTGGAGAAGCACAAGATCCAGCTGGAGCAGCTGCAGGAGTGGAAGACCAAGATGCAGGAGCAGCAGGCCGAGCTGCAGAAACACTTGAAGGAGGCCAAGAGGGTGAGGAGCAACGGTCAAATATATAAAATCCAGATATTTTTCTGGTTTCGCTTCAAATGGTTTTGTTATTATGTTTTTCATCTGACAAAAATGACTCTGGTCAAACTGGAGGATCATTTTTTTAAACTTTAATGAGATAAACCCACTATTTATTTTGAAGATTATTTTCTCCTTAAGGCAGAATGGGAACCCCACCCCAAACAGCAGCAGGAAAATAAATAAAATAATTAATTTAAATGAGAAATTAACTTATTAAGAACCACAGAAAAGGGCATTGATCTCAATAAAACCCACATTATAATGATACATAATCTTCTGTGTGTAGGAGGCTAAAGAAGCCCAGGAGGCGAAGGAGCACTACATGGAGGAGATGTCGGACACGGCGGATGCGATCGAGATGGCGACGCTGGATAAGGAGATGGCGGAGGAGCGGGCGGAGTCTCTGCAGCTGGAGGTCGACTCCATGAAGGAGAAAGTGGAGGAGCTCACCATGGACCTGGAGATCCTCAAGCACGAGATCGAGGAGAAAGGTAGGGATGACAATAAAACGAATTTGAAAATATTCAAGGTGTTGTCTTGTAAATGAACCCCTTTAATCTCAGATAAATGTATTTTTGTTTCTTGAGGATGTGCCATTTTTATTTCAAAGAATATTCTTGGTTTTTGGTCGTAGATTTGTGGGGTATTTCTTGTAAATGTCCCCATTTAATCTTGGATAAATATTTACTTTTTCTTCTATGTGCAATGTGCAATTTATTAAGAGAATAAATACATTTGGAAATCTAAATTTGTGATTTTCTTCACGTAAATTCACCTTTTTAATCTCAGAGAATATTCCAGTTTTCTCTCAAAAATGTGATTTTTCTTGCAAATTAACCACTTCAATTTCAAAGAATGTCCACGTTTTTTGGATCCTCTTGGAAGTGTCATTTGGTGGATGTAAACTCAAATGTGTTCTTTGTGTGTTTAATCGCTGCAGAAACAATAGGAAGAGTGTTGTTATGACTGTGGAGCTCAGATGTGTTTCTGGGGTTTCCCTCACAGGTTCGGATGGAGCGGCCTCCAGTTACCATGTGAGGCAGCTGGAGGAGCAGAACGGCCGACTGAAGGAGGCTCTGGTCAGGTGGGTGTGCTGATACCATCATTTTATGAACCACTATACTATGACTTTTTCATGGAGAAAATGACTATAACTTTAAGACATTAACTGGCCATACTATGCTATGACTTTTATTTGTTTAAAAACATACGTGCTTTAATATAACTTTTTTCCATGGACCTGGAGATCCTGAAGCATTAGCAGAAAAAAATGGTAGTTTTTGGGCACCTATGAGTTATATTGACTGTTCACCCTGCAAGAAAGCCACTTTCATGTATTTATTTGAACAAGGACCATGCATACAAATACATTAAAGGTGGGGTAGGTAATTCACTTCAGAAACACTTTTTGTTATATTCCATAGAATGCTCTTAAAGGTGGGGTAGGTAAGTTTGAGAAACCGGCTCGAGATACACTTTTTGTTATATTCCATGGAATGCTCTTAACATCCCGATAGCAATGAATATCTTAAATGCTTTGACAAAAAATCCATAAAAAAATGTCATCTGTGGAAGCCGTAATACTGTAAAAAGCACGACCAATCATTTTAGCCGGCCCGGCTAAAATAACTGGATGGCCTGCCTGCCTGTCAGCCTTCCATCTGTGCACAAACTTATCTCGTGCCCTCATTGGTCATGTGCGCGTTCGTGTGTGTTGGAGGAGGGGCTCTGTAAGGAAGTGGCAGATTTTTTCCGGCTGTGTATTTTCAAATTTTAGCGCACTCGAGCTGGTTTCTCCAAAATTACCTACCCCACCTTTAACATCCCGATAGCAATGAATACATTAAATGCTTTGACAATAAATACATTAAAAAATGTCATCTGTGGAAGCCGTGGCGCTGTAAAAAGCACGACCAAATCCAAAATAACTGGATGGCCTACCTGCCTGTCAGCCTTCCATCTCGTGCACAAACTTATCTCGTGCCCTCATTGGTCATGTGCGCGTTCATGTGTGTTGGAGGAGGGGCTCTGTAAGGAAGTCTGAAGGAAGGGGCAGATTTTTTTCGGCTGCGTAGTTTCAAATTCTAGCGCACTCGAGCCGGTTTCTCAAACTTACCTACCCCACCTTTAATCTCAGAAAAGAGAAGAGATCATAGATTTGAGCCAATAGTTAATTTCCATCTGCAGTCCTTATTGTGGTTTGACCATCTAGCTTAACTACAGAACTCCATATATACATATAAAACATATACTCTTATTTGATATACACTTCCAACACCAACACGACAAAGACCCACAGTCTTAACCTGTTAAACCCCACGGACCCGCCGAAGGGTCCGAAAATGCTACATCTGCTAGCACCAGTGTGATCTCTGAAGTGTCATTTATGAAACTATTAATGTTCCACACCCAGCTGACGGGAAGAAACTCAGCTAACTGACTATACGGAAAAAAAAAATAATAATAATAATAATTCCCACAAGAAGCCTTTCAATGAGCCCTTAGCAAATACGGACTAATGCTATTTCTGCTCATAACTCACAAAAATTATCATTTATAATTATACTTTCTGCACAAACAACACATCATCTGAAAGCTGAGATTCCACAGATTCCATGGGTATACACCCCATCACTGCAGGCAATAATTCACTGAGCTAGCAGCCAGAACATAGCAAATAAACAACATCAGTTTTCAAATCCATGACAATAATTAGCAGGTTAAATTTTACAATAATTTTATTTTATTTTTTTTATGGAATGAATAACTATAGTGATGATTCAATGTTATAAAATGATTTTTATAGTCTGGTACCTGAAAAAGGTCAAATGGCACTGATGGAACCAGATGTGCCCAAATGTGCCCAAAGCTTATTCCGTCTGGAACTTTTTTTTGCTAAACCTCTCTAAAAAGGTCAATTTTCACTTGTTTTGCCTCAATCTTGATACAGGGTACTTATTATATGTTATAATTTGGATTCCTAAAGCTTTTAGGCTACTAACCCATCATTCAAGGGTGGTTTTCACTATAAGTAATGGTTTTTCTTCAGGCGGAGGTAAGAATTTACACTTTTTTACTATGTTCCATCTGAATTCACTCTGACACAGAAACATCTATATTGATTCTGACACTTCTACATCCATCTCACAGATGTAACCTTGCTTTGAGAAAAAATATTATTAATTTAACCCTTTTAGAAGTGAAGTTATAGTCATTTGTTCTGGGCATGTCATTTTCAAGCCTGAAACCTTAAAAACATGCTTGGGGCTTAAATACAGGAAAACAAAACAGCTCTAACTCAGTATATTTAACCACGTTTAACATAAAGGAAATATGTTGAATATAAATAACCATACATCGTATATAACTTCTAATACAGTTCATCGTCCTTAAACAAACACAAAAATACAATTTATATAATGTGTATAAAGGCGACATTTTGTATGTCCTCTGTGTTTGTAAAACGTCACATGTTCAGTTTTTGTTTCTTAAAATCAATTGATGATTTAAAGATTGGATCCAGATGTCGATGGTTTTCTTTCCCGCTGTGTTTCAGGATGAGAGACCTGTCGTCGTCGGAGAAGCAGGAACATTTGAAGTTGCAGAAGCAGATGGAGAAGAAGAACGTGGAGCTGGACGCCCTGAGGGGCCAGAAGGAGAATCTGCAGGAGGAGAGGACGGCCGCGGAGAAGACCATCGACGAGCTCAAAGAACAGGTCGGCGTTTTTATATCTGCAGGACGCCAGAATCTGCCTCTTTACTGACCGTCACTTTGACTATTAGACAGAAATAGATATACTGTATTTATTACGAGTTATTTCCAGGAAATCAATGGTAATGGAAACGTTTAAAGCTGATGTTTCCATGCTGATATATGATGCCGAAGAGGCAAATAGTTCTTCCCTTTCTGATGATGATGAGCTCTGTTTCAGGTGGATGCGGCTCTGGGGGCGGAGGAGATGGTGGAGATGCTGACGGAGAGGAACCTGGACCTGGAGGAGAAGGTCCGGGAGCTGAGAGAGACCGTCACTGACCTGGTGAGAGATCAGTTCATTTAGTCCAGGGTGATCCAATTTATTATGACTGGAAAAGATACATTGGTGTATTTGAAAAATTACAAATCACTGTATGGGACCTGGGAGCTACATATAATTATTTCAATAGATTAGTATTATTTGTAGACTACTATGTTATTACTTTTAGTTTGTTGACATACTATACTATGACTTTTTTAAACTACAACCTTAATATATATAAATAAATCTATTTGAAAAGGCCACATACAGAAAAATAAAGAAACCCACAGAACTCAGGTCATCTCCAGAAAAGAATGTAGTTATTCATTCCAACTTTTTGTCCCTGCTTGTTGTCTCCTGTCGTCAGGAAGCCATAAACGAGATGAACGACGAGCTGCAGGAAAACGCCCGGGAGACGGAGCTGGAGCTGAGGGAGATGTTGGATCTGGGAACGGCGAAAATCAGAGAGTCGGAGAAACACGTTGAAGCTGCGCAGGAGACCGTGGCCGATTACCAGCAGACCATCAAGAAGTACCGCGAGCTCACGGCACACCTGCAGGTACAGAGGGAACGTTTAAAGTCAAGAACAAAGTTTAAATATGTGTTTCTGTGTAAATATTCTTCTTCCTCTGTTTGTGTTTCTGCAGGAGGTGAACAGGGAGCTGACCAGCCAGCAGGAAGCCTCCGCTGAGCTGCAGCAGCAACCGGCCCCAGAGATGTTTGATTTCAAGATTAAGTTTGCAGAGACGAAGGCCTACGCCAAGGTCAGAGACAAACACAGCTCTGTTAATAATGAAACAATAAATCAGCCTAAATATCCTGTTCCATCCCTCTTTGTTGCACTTTTTATCTCGAACTGTGCTTGTGTATCCTCCATTATGCAGGATCTGTATATTATTTGAAATGTCTGTATCCTGAGTTTTAAACACATGCTCTCTGTGTTGTGTTGTCTTTAGGCCATTGAGATGGAGCTGAGGAAGATGGAGGTGGGTCAGGCTAACAGACACGTCTCTCTGCTGACCTCCTTCATGCCCGAGTCCTTCCTACGTCACGGAGGAGATCACGACTGCATCCTGGTGCTGCTGCTCATTCCCAGACTCATCTGCAAGGTGAACACGCCACAGCTCACTCAGTAACATACATGAGGAACGTGCTAGAGTAAGCATGGTCCTGATTTATTTATTTTTTAAAACGATCTTATCGATCCCAATCGGAACAACAGGGTATTAAGGCCATTGTTATAGGAGGTGTTAAATATTGAGAAAAACTCACATCCTACAAGAAACTAATTATTATTATCTGAGATTAAAATCACATAATTGCTGCAAATCATAAATTACCTTTTTATGTAAATGTGCTGTATTTGAGTATTGTGTGTGTGTGTGTGTGTGTGTGTGTGTGTGTGTGTGTGTGTGTGTGTGTGTGTGTGTGTGTGTGTGTGTGTGTGTGTGTGTGTGTGTGTGTGTGTGTGTGTGTGTGTGTGTGTGTGTGTGTGTGTGGTGTGTGTGTGTGTGTGTGTGTGTGTGTGTGGTGTGTGTGTGTGTGTGTGTGTGTGTGTGTGTGTGTGTGTGTGTGTGTGTGTGTGTGTGTGTGTGTGTGTGTGTGTGTGTGTGTGTGTGTGTGTGTGTGTGTGTGTGTGTGTGTGTGTGTGTGTGTGTGTGTGTGTGTGTGTAGGCGGAGCTGATCAGCAGGCAGGCGCAGGAGAAGTTCGATCTGAACGAGAGCTCTGCGCAGCGGGCCGGGCTGAAGGGAGCGGCCGGAGAGCAGCTGAGCTTCGCTGGAGGACTGGTCTACTCTCTCAGTCTGCTGCAGGCCACGCTGCACAAATACGAGCAGTACGTATGAACAGAAATACACAGAGAGTCTGAGCACTGAGAGATGATGAACAAGATATCAATGCTTAATTCCACTTTATGCATCTATATTTGTAAACTTCCCTTTTTGAGAAATGTCTTTCCTTCTGTGCAGTTTTTTATGTGGAATTCTCTGCTGGAATATACAGATGTATTGCATCAGATGTAACTATCAATACAAATAGCAAATATCAATACTGTGTGTGTCAGGGCTCTGGCTCAGTGCGGTGTGGATGTCTATAAGAAGATCGGCACTCTGTACCCGGAGATGAGCGTCCACGAGCGCTCTCTGGACTTCCTGATCGACCTGCTGCACAAAGACCAGCTGGACGAGACCGTCAACGTGGAGCAGCTCACCAAGGCCATCAAATACTATCAGGTACACACACACACACACACACACACTCACACTCACACTCACACTCACACTCACACACACACGTAGGGGTGGGCGTGGAAAGATTAGAATGATCCTGCATGTTTTGTTCATTCTATAAAAAGCTTTAAAAACGACTGGTAGTCTTTAAACTCTCATATAACCCTGAACGTGAAGTTCTACTTTTTCCTACCAAATGTGTCCCTTCTCAGCACCTGTACAGCATCCACCTGGCGGATCAGAGCGAGGACTGCACCATGATGCTGGCTGATCACATCCGAGTGAGTACAACACATAGATAAGATCATAATAATATCTATATAATGTCCGTGTGTCTAACTGCTTCCTTGGTGTCCCCTTCAGTTTACCCAGAGTGCTTTGGACTGCATGTCGGTGGAGGTGGGGCGCCTGCGGGCGTTCCTGCACGCGGGCCAGGAGAAGTCGGGCCTGGCGGTGCTGCTGAAGGACCTCGAGACGTCCTGCAGCGACACCCGGCAGTTCTGCAAGAAGATCCGCCGCAGGATGCCGGGCACCGACGCTCCGGGGATACCGGCAGCACTCAGCTTTGGACAACAGGTAACCACGGAAACCAAACACTCAACCTCGTGCAGAACGGTCAATTTTTTAATGACAAACTCTTTTATCACATTTAGCTTTTTTTATGACATTTGATTTCTTTGTCCCTTTTTGCATAATGACTTTCTCTATGACACTTAAGTCAAAGCTTACATTGGTGTAAAATATTCTTTTTGTTGCAAATGACCAATAAGAATTCTAGATTATTTTTAAATGTTGTTTTAAAGTTATGTAAAAGCTCTATAAGTTAGTTTGACTAAACTAAGTGGTGTTGTGGTCAGGTGTGCGACACGCTGTCAGACTGCAGGAAGCACCTGACCTGGGTGGTGGCGGTGCTGCAGGAGGTGGCAGCAGCCGGAGGTCAAATGGTGTCTCCTCTCGGGGAGCAGGAGGGACTCGCTGCCGTCAAACTGGAGGACGTGGCCTTCAAGGCCGGAGAGCAGGTATTCAAAATGTTGAATAGCAGTTATTGCTAATGAAATGCCTTTTCAGATGTTTCTTTAATACCTTTAGTGTCGATTCAAAGTAAGGAGTCTTCTGGAGTAATGACCATCACCGTTATTTTCAGATCTATGGCTCTCAGGGCGTTAACCCCTACGATAGTCTGCGGCAGTCCTGTGGCATGGTCATAGCCACCATGAACAAGATGGCCACCGCCATGCAGGAGGGAGAATACGACTCAGAGAGGCCTCAGAACAAGGTGTGTGTCACTGTGCAAATGTCTTGTTTCTCACCTCAGCATGAATGGAGCATGAGCTGATGTTTCTCTGTTTTTCAGAATCCTCCTCCTGTGGATCTGCGGGCGGCCGCTCTTCGTGCTGAGATCACCGACGCTGAAGGTCTCGGCATGAAGCTGGAGGACAGAGAGACGGTCATCAAAGAGCTGAAGAAGTCTCTGAAGATCAAGGTAAACACACCGAGAATAAAAACCCGTCGACTGTGGAACACTCTTATTTCCATTCTGTTTTTCAATGCGTGAAACCCTGTGTGTGTGTTCAGGGCGAGGAGCTGAGCGAGGCCAGCGTGCGGCTCAGTCTGCTGGAGAAGAAGCTCGACAGTTCGTCCAAAGACGCAGACGAGCGCGTTGAAAAGATTCAGACTCGACTGGACGAGGCCCAGACGCTGCTGAAGAAGAAAGAGAAGTGAGACCTCTGACCTCAGAACTCAGACAGGAAGTCGTGTTTTATAACAGATCCTCAGCTGAGAGATGTTTCTTTATCTGCAGGGAGTTCGAGGAGACGATGGACGCTCTGCAGGCCGACATCGACCAGCTGGAGGCAGAGAAGGCGGAGCTGAAGCAGAGAATCGGCAGCCAATCAAAGGTCGGCCCCGACGGGCTGAGAGGAGCCTCGCCCTCAGGGATCGCCTCCATCGTCAGCGGAGGGACCGGAGGTGAGAGACACAGAAAACATGTTTTTATTATTTAATAGTTAACATTTTTATCTTTTAGCTGTTTTTTTGTAAAGAATAGGGCTGCACACATTATCCACATTCTATCAAAATTACAATGTGGACTAACGTAATATTCAAACTGCAGGAAGCACAATATTTTTTAATGTGTTTAAATGTCATTTTGATGAAGTGTTGTGGTGATGCAGAGACATCCCTTCCTACAAATCTACAGACAAATCAAAACATTTTAATATCTTTTTAAATGATGATGAGAATTATGATTTTTTTCTCTAATATCAATATTTGAAGTCCTCTTTTTCACCCTAACAACCATTGACCTCAACTTTCCCTTCCCTCCTGCAGAGGAACAAAAAGGTATCTCCTGCTTTTACTGGCTGCTGTTGTTCATCATGCATGCTATTCTTTCTTAGATTGTGCATGGTTTGATGGATGTGAAATACAACATGCATGGTCTATTCAGGGCAAGTCTTAAAAAGCAAATAATTCTGATCCTTTAAAGATCGCTACTGCCGTTTCTTCATACACGACGAAGACCAAGTTTGATCGAGGAATGAGCATTATATGTCGTATTTAAAAAAAGGTCTAAAATGTATCTTGTTGAACACTGGTATTAAACAGTTAATACAAGTTTTTAGGTGTAAATGATATCTATTCATATGATAGTCATCCCATTATTCTGCATCCTCCAGCATGAACTTCCTCTGCTATATGGTCACAATGCATATTAACAAAAATGTTGTAACCTGTTTTTCATTTGAACTGAGAATACAAACACTAGCTGAGGTTGTTTACTGAATGTGAAATGAAGGTAAGGGTGCAGTCAGGTGTGAATAACGTGTCTCTCGCTCCGCAGCGAACATGATGTTGGCCGTCGGCTCGGCTTCAGGTCTGCAGGTGGTCGACTCCCCGCTGCTGAGTCAGCAGATCGACGCTCAGAGACTCTGCATCAAACACCTGAAGAACGAAAACAACAGGCTGAAGGTACAACACCACTTTCTACATATTTACATGACATTATATTTGATTTCAATCTCAGTCACATTTACTTTAAAGGGGACCTATTATGTAAAAACCACTTTTTCATGTCTTTTCTACATTAACATGTGTCCCCTCTGTTTAAAGAGATTCTGAAAGTTTCAAGAAAAAAGATTCTCTCTTTTTGTCCTGATCCATTTATATAAAAACCTGTCTGAAAATGAGCTGATCAGATTTTGGCCACTTTATGATGTCATAACGATGTGTTGGCTTGTGTAACCATTAGCCAATCACCAACCAAGGTAACCCCCCTCCCCACCTTATCACCTGAATCTCCTCCTAGAGCACCATTGTGTTCTTTTTAACCAAATATCTCTGAGGGGCGTGGGGAGGGGCTCCTTATTTTCATCTGAAGTAACAGACAGAGAATCAGCACTTTTGAAACAGGGCTGAAACAGAGGGGATTATGGGATGCTGCAATGATCTGTTTGGAGTTTGGAGCCAAACACTTCAGAGACATGTTTTGCATATATCTGAGACCTATAATATATTGATGAAAAACAGTATAATAGGTGACCTTTAAGCATTTAACTATTGTTACATGAGGATTTATTGTGTCCACATGTGCCCCCTGCAGGCGGAGAAGATGCGCGCTCAGCTGGCCTCTCTGCCCCCCCTCCACGTTACCAAACTCCCCTCTGGAGAGGGAGGTCGTCCTGAGGTTCTCTCCAGCGCGCTGTACCGCAAAACAGACCAGCTGCTGGGGACTCTGCTGCAGATGAGCGCCAACGTGAAGGTGGTGGACATCACCGGGAAGTCTCCAGGTACAGAATGAACAGAATTGAAAACATTGTTCCTGTCCACAACAGTTTTACAATTAAAGTTTGATTCACCCTTAAGAAATCCAGATGAGAGAAATTAAATAAAATAGTTAAATGTTGATAATCACGTAGGTTGACAGACAGAGATAGACAGACTAGGAGTGCTTCCATCCACCTGTTCCTGTGCTTTTTTGTATTTTGTGCGGAGAAACAGCAGTAGCTTGCGAAAGCTTTTTTTCTTGGTTGAGGTGGAAGGAAAATAAATGTGATGAAGTAACATTTATACAGATTTAGGGAATAAACGCTGACATGTCATCTGATGAGGTCAAAATCAAGACACCAACCCATATTTCCTATTTCATTTGAGTTTTATTCATCTTCCACTGGTGCCAGTTAATTACGATACCTTGTTTGACCCTTTTCTTCTGTAATGCTATATTGGGTTTATATTCAGGGTATATGCAGGAATCCTGAAGTCAAATGTAAAACCCTTTTAAGACCTTTTTTAAGACCCTTTCCATACATTTTAAGACCTCATCGCCACTTTGAGTTCTAACCGGTTACATTGGCGACACACTTTACCTCACATTTACTATATACAGTATGGATTGTCCTTCCTCCTTATCTTCCAACCATTTGCACGCAGACTTGCATCCCCATAACGATGTTGTTTAACAACCGGCGTAAACGGGCCTTCGCGCTATCAAGCAGTGAGCGTGCGATGTCCTGTTCAGATGACGTCAAACCCAACGGGATGCCATAAATAAACTACACAGAATCACACTACACACCTACGCAATGATTACATTCAGGCAAACTGTAGAATACAACCTCTTTGGACAATTTATATACTTATTGAAAACAAGCTACAAAATGTAATACCTTGGAAAATGCCGTTTAATACTTTTTAATAGCCTTAATTTTCGCTAAATTGATTTATCAACTTTTAATACTTTTTAAGACCCCGCGGACACCCTGATATTGTATGGATGAACTAACTCCTTATAATAGTAGTGGATAGAAACAGAAACTTTTTACAATTCGTAAAGATGGAAACCTGGCTACAGACGGATCTGAGTGCAGTGGTACTTTTGTGAGATTGTTAATCGCTTCTTTATAAAAAAAAGTATAATCACGGTTTGAAAGCAGTTGCACACAGTGTAACCCCCTGTATGAATTACACATATTTTTTGTATTTGTCCTGCAGTGACACCTGGTGCTCAGCTGCTGGAACAAACGGCTAGATTACAATCACTGAGCGACACTCTGGGCAGACTGAAGGTAAACACACTGATAGAAAAAACTAAAATCCACAGAAATGTAATTCAACTTTCATTCAAACAGGAGAATATATTACTGTAAATATGAGTACATGCCTCCACCCTTCATTGACTCACCCTACAGGCTGATTAAGTTGAAACTTCCTCTCTTTTCTCTCAGGATGAAGTAGCAGAGCACGTCGTCCACCAGCAGCCTGGAGCTCGGGTCTCGTCTGATTTCGCGACGTTCCCCTCAACTTTGTTTGTTAAAGTAAGAGCTGCAGACGCACCGCAACACTTGCTGTTATTTAGCATTTTGTCTGGCGTTGGGATTCATAAAGGAGGGTTAACCAAAGCTTTAAGTTGTCACAGTGACTATTTTAAAGCTGTATCATCAATACCCATTGTTTTTGACAACAATATCAAATATAGAAAATATACAACGCTTCTCCACCTGGTATTTCTTTGTTAATAGAGCACCGTTAGAGGTCTCAAAGGTCACCTATTATGCAAAATCCACTTTTTCATGTCTTTTCTACATCAACATGTGTCCCCTCTGTGTAAAGAGACTCTGAAAGTTTCAGGAAAAAAGATTCTCTCTCTTTTTGTCCTGATCCATTTATATAAAAACCTGTCTGAAAATGAGCTGATCAGATTTTGGCCACTTTATGATGTCATAACGATTTTTTGGCTTGTGTAACCGTTAGCCAATCACCAACCACGGTAACCCCCCCCCCCCCACCTTATCACCTGAATCTCCTCCTAGAGCACCAATGTGTTCATTTTAACCAAATATCTCTGAGGGGCGTGGGGAGGGGCTCCTTATTTTCATCTAAAGTAACAGACAGAGAATCAGCACTTTTGAAACAGGGCTGAAACAGAGGGGATTATGGGATGCTGCAATGATCTATTTGGTGTTTGGAGCCAAACACTTCAGAGACATGTTTTGTATATATCTGAGACCTATAATATATTGATGAAAAACAGTATAATAGGGGACCTTTAAAGTACAGAGTCAGGTAGGCTGAAGTTAAAGGGTCTCACCTCTCTCCACTCTGAATGTTTCCCTCTCTCCAGGCGAAGGAGGAGCGGCAGGGCGACACGGTGCTGGTGGGCCGGGTCATGGTGCCGTGTTCCCGCGGTCAGGAGCAGGTGCACCGCCTCGTCCTGTCGCAGAGTCAGCTGCATCGAGTTCACAGTCTGCTGCGCACCTGAGCTCCACCTGAGCTCCACCCTGCCTGCTGCACCCCCCCCCAACACCCCCCTCCTCCGCTGAGACCAGGGTCCACTGCAGGACCAACAGGGGAGAAACCAGGAGGTACTTCAAGAGGAGAGAATCTTTATCTTCTGTGAAAAGCACGCTGATCTGTGACAGTGTGACGGCTAGTCTGAGACCAGTTTGATCTCAAGATCACTCTGGGTATAATTTGAATTGTTTCAGTCGTTTTTAAAGCAAAAAATGTAGTCATTCACCTATTTCTGCTTTTTAAAAGTGACTTGTCTTATATGACAGTGAGCTGAATGTCATTGGGTTTTTGACAGTTGGTCAAAAAAAATCAGAAGAAGCCGATAAAGATTTTGGTAAATTACATTTTTCTCAATTTCTCAACAAAACGATTAACCAAGAAAATGATCTTGTAAACATACCTACCAATTTCTGAAAATGTTCAAACTAAATCTGCTTAAAATTCTGAAAACATGTCCATCAAATTAGCTTTAAAGAGTGATATTACCACAAATATTATCTTTGCCAAATGAAAAATGAAAACAGTTGTAACTTCAGATCTTTCTGTCATTGGTCTCGATCCAATATCAGATTTGACTGAATGTTTTCCGAAGTGACTCTTTTATCGAACTGCTCTCTGACTGCTGCCGGGCAAACTGTAACTGATACTGAGTCACGACTACATATAGATTATTGTACCTGCGCTGCTGCATGCTGCCCAGACTCACTGAGTTTCTTTGTTGCGTAGAATATTTATGAGACTCCCGTTTGGCCCGGTGTGGATCCTGCACAGTGTCGTTTATCATTCAGCCAAAACACCAGATGATGCTCCATGTTTCTGTGTTACAGCTGCACAGTATTAGAAGGATCATGTTGTCAACTTTTAATCACTCGTGTGCTCCATTTTTATAACTTTACTGTCTAAAGGGAAGAAGGAAATGGTAAATAATAAATTATGAAGTCGTTGATATTTTACTGTGGTTTGATCAAAGACACTTTTTGCACATAACAGGAAAAACAATAAAGGAAAACAAATCCTGCACGTTGAATTTACTTAGATTACAGTTACATGCAACTACAGACATTGTTGTATTTCCCTCTGTGGTTTGATTTAAACCTAGTGGACTGCACAGACTTAAAAAAAGATGATTTACCTCAAGGGATTAAATGTTGAAAATGATTGTAATGTTTATTTAAAGCATTATATGGCTTCAATTATTCAGTATTTATTACACTTGTGGTGTAAATTCCAGTGGGTCGCTTCTTTTACACGCTCTGTGAAAAAAGACACGCTGGTTGAATAGAGGCGAAAGTCCACCCTTCTACTTCCGACCCATGGGACCTTATTTCGGAAAAATGATGTATTGAAGTCAATGGGGAGAGAAAGATTATCTTTCGATTCCGTTTGAATTGTGCCACGAATTACACATATGATGTTTGTCAATCTTAAAATAATAATTTCCATGTCAAAAAAGTCAGTTTGTCGTAAAACTGTTGAAATATAAGACTATGAAAAATACGCAACGAGAAAGACTACAAATCCCAGAATCCCGGTCCCGCATGCTGGCTCTTATGAACCGACTAACTCCCCTTGTGTGTATGTACAGCTCTCAACATGCCCAGACTTGTAGTGATTTTCACCTCTTTTAATACTTTTCGCCTCATTCTGAAAGAAAGAAGTGAAATGTGCCAACGTGACGGCCGTCTTGGTGTGTGGTGCGAGACGGGAGATGTAGTTCATTGAGCGGTTTCACACCAAAAAAAGTGTTACTTCACAGTTTTACGACACTTTTGAATTTTTTTGACTTGCAAAATTATCTTTTAAATTGACAAACATCATATGTGTAATTCGTGGCACAATTCAAACGGGATTGAAAGATAATCTTTCTCTCTCCATTGACTTCAACACATACTTTTTCCGAAATAAGGTCCCATGAGGTCCCCCGGATAGGGAGGGACTTCGCCTCTCTTTTGGTACATTTACCGAATTACAAAAGAAAAGTCCAGAAATATGTGCGGTACCTTTTTGTTCTGCTGACTTCCTGTTGCCGCTTCAAACTTCGTCCGAGCCTTAACGCTGCAGAGCCTCGTGGAAAAGAGCGGTCACCTGCCTTATGATGTTTGATTTATTCAACGCAAAACTACATCTCTGCCAAAGAATCTGTTTCATCACATTTGCCATGGCTTATTTTTTTAAACAAAGGCCTTTAGGTTATTAATCCATGCTAATTATTTAAATGATTTGATAGAGTATTTATGTTTACATTGTTTTGTCATGACTTGAAGATTTATTTGACTATTTAACGAATGGGCGTAGAGCATCTACTTAGCTGTAGTTTAAGAGGGAAAATGCAGACTTTTACATTTATTTATTCATCATGTTATTTATGTGTGAATCTGCCGCTTGTCTAACTTGTCTTACCTGTTCCTCGTGTGGCTTCCTGCACAACAGATAACCGATCAATAAAGACATTAAAGCCAATTGACCTTTGTCATCCTTCACTTCAATCAAAACAAGGAATCCCGGGAGTTTGAAATAATCTGGTTTATTTTTGTTGCAACAAACACACTTTAAAATGTGATCCAATTAAAAGACATATCACTGGTTTGCAAAGTATTTCCTTACTTTTTTGCACATAATCTTTCAAATGTCAGCTATAAAATGTGATCTCAAATAAATATAAAAGTTAGTAGTCTTGTTTTTAATGTTAATAAAATTGTGAAAAATTAATATCACTGATTTTATCTACAGTAAAAAAAGGTGTTTGATCACTGCCACGCTGTTCTTCTGCCCAGGACATGGTTAGTGATTCTCTGAAAGACAAAGATATGACTTATTCATTTAACTATTACCAACAAATACAAGGTTTGACCCAAAACAGCTCACAAGATGCATTTGTGCTGGTCAGCACGTCTGGCAGCCACTTGTATATAAAACCATCTGTTAAAGTAAACGTGTCAGCAGTTTGTGTTTCACCTTGTTGAAGAACTGAGCGTTCAGACGGTACGTTCGATACTCGTCTCGTCTCGTCTCCTCCTCTCTCCTCCTCTGCACCTCCGGAAGCGACTCATAAATCCTGAAAAGACACGGTGACAGGACTTTAAGTTATAGAAGCCAAATAAAAATAACTGGATTTGTGAACACTTAAGAACGTTTAAGCAATCTTAAAGAGCAACTTGCAGGGTTTTTTTTTTTTTACTCGATTTATGCTTAACCTTGCCTGAAAATTACAATTTAAAAAAAAAAAAAAAAAAAAAAAGTGAATGCAGGATTTGATGTTTTACGAGACATAAGGGCAGGAATTCAGAGGGAAAGAGCCGTTTTGAGCTCTGCTACTGAAAACTGCTTTTTTTTAACGTCATACGTCAAACGCGTCATTTTACGTCACATGGGGGAGCAACGTTCTCGGACTCCTTCTCTGCCCAATCCGCGGTAGTAGCTGGTAGTTGGTTTGAGCGGTTGTGATTTAGTGAGCTGGTATTTTTTCGGTAGTTTTACATTGCATTTCACCATTTTAATCATGGTGAGCTTATGTTTGTGCAGGTTGCACAAACTCCAGCCTGTCAGGACATCGAGTCCACAGTTTCCCTAACAGGAAAAGGACCGGAGCTAGCTTTCGTTCCTGGGTGCGTTGTGCGAGGTGCATCCACCTCCCTGCGGCACATACTCTCCACAGCTGAGGCCTATCAAACAAAACCTTTATCAGGAAACCGCATTACATCTCTCCCCCCCTTCGCTGCTCTCTCTCTCTCCCCCCTTCGCTCCTCTCTCTCTCTCCCCCCTTCGCTCCTCTCTCTCTCCCCTCCGGTACAGACGTAGTGTGGAGTTGCATTAGGTAACGCGAGATACAGCTGATACATGCGCATTAGTTTCTGTTATGGATCAGTATCAACAGTCCTGCCAGTAACGTTACTTTATTATCAATACTACTTTAGTTATAGCCTGATATATGATAGCTAACTTTACAATGTTGTGATGTGACCGACGTTAGCTAACATTAACTGTAGCTAACGCCGGTCACTCACCAAGACAGCTGCCCTGTTCTCCACTGGTTCACACCACAGCTCTATTTCTCTCCGATGGCCGTTATTTCTTCTAATCCTAGGTGGCTCCCTGTCTCTTGGACACCTAGCAGGCTCATCATTATAAGGTTGTGGTCCGTCATATGCATTCGAATATACATTTTCAACCTCTTCTGTGTCAAAACTAGCATTGTGATCCATGTTTATTCATACGTTAGACCGGCCGCTCTCCCCCATGTGACGTCACACGCGGGTGGTCTTTTTTTATGCGGAAGTAAAAATGTCTTACAAAAACGACGCCAGATGTCACTGTAGTGTATGTTTCTATATATCTTTTTGAAAATCTAGTGTATACATCATTTTCCTACACATTTATTCACTGGGGGCTCTAACCTGCAAGTTGCTCTTTAAAGACACTCTAGTAACATGTTTAAATATTTGTATGTGGTATAAACTGGAAAGATATCTTGATAGTTGTGGCCATTTTCTTCTTGTCCTTAGTATTGATTCTAAATTATTGGAAAGTATTGATACTATTTGTTGAAAGAATAATGAATCCTACATAATTTCCATTTTAAACATTTTATTTAAAAAAGGCAATTAAAGATCTTACTGTTTGGATCTCTGAATCATCTCCTTCCTGGGAACAGCTCTCCTGAGCAGAGCGGTGCCTGGACAACAGAAAGATCCATTTTTAAATAATGTGTAGAAACTTAAACAACTGTCACTAAAGAAAGTACTTTAGCTTGGAACAATTATGTTATATTAAATATGCGCTGGATAGATAAACAAATTTAGATTCCAAACTCAAAACGAGCAATACCTGAGTTAAGGTACACTAAGAATAGATTACCTTTGGGCCTCAGCAGCCTCCCTCTGGCTCCGGTCCAGCTGAAGACATCGTGTCTCTCTCTGATGAACACTTCCTGTCGCTTCCTGTCCTCCGCCTGCAGAGCCAGACACTTCACCCTCCGCCTGGACTGAGAGATGAACTCGGGACGCCGCATCTCCAGAGCTTCCTGCAAGACGAACGTTAATGCTTTTTAAAATCACAAAAGGGGCCGATTTCTCTCTTACTCGGCGCTGCACTATTTTTCCCTTGAGGTTCTAACGCAATTATATTTGTTCCTCAAGTTTATAATGTCTTTGGCTAAAAGCTCTTGAAAACTCTAAAGTCTTATACCAACCTGGAGAGAGATGCGTGCCAGACCAGAGGATATTGTTTTGGTTCTACGCTCTAAATCGTGTTCAGCATGATGTCTGTTTCCCTCCTCGTGGATTTGTCTCTGTCGCAGCGGTTCTCTCCATGGATGCATTTTGCTGTGCGGTTCAAACCAGGCGCTGCTCGGCCTCCTCGTCTCCTCCTCCTCTGGTCGGTTCTCCTTCCTCCCCTCTGACCTCAGGTCCTCAGCAGCGATAAACCACGAGACACCTGCAGAGGGCACAGGTGATTCAAACCATCCAAATCAATACAAGGATTCCATTTTGTTCAGGCATAGAACTATTTATTACACAGCTTTGTCGAGTACTCAATACTGCTCTCAGTTCATATGTCGCAATAAAGACCATCTAGCTGCACATGTCTTCACTAAACACACGTATACAGACATTCCTCACATGTATTCTGACGCACTGTACCTTCGGGGTAGCTCTTCGGCGGGCTTCTCTTGCTCTTCCTCTGTTTTTGTGACCCCTGACTCCTCCTCCCTCCTCTATCTAAGCTGGATGAGGAAGATGTTCGGGCGTCACCAGGGGAAGGGAAAGTGGTTCCAACATCTCTGGTGTGTCGTCGAGTCCCATTGCTGACAATCTCTAGGTCACCTGAGGAAAGAGAGTTAGGGCTGTACTGAGTGGTTTGAAGCTTCAATCAATGTTCAAATGATGTGCTCTGCCTTTTTTCACAAATATAAGATACGGATAAAAGTGTTAGGAAACAAAAAGACACTGTTGGGAAAATACTGAATGATAAATACATGTATCCTGATATTGAAGCTCAAGCCGGTGACGAGTGATATTTTTTTAACACACACCAAAACGTAAGAAAAGTACAAAATGAGAATGAAAAGCCTCTTGCTGCACTGACCTGTCTGGATGCCTCTGCTCACGACCCTAACAGCCTTCTTGGCTGCCAGGGTCCTGGAGGGGCCGCGGGGGGAGGGCAGGGTGTACGTGCTGGTTGAAGACGCAGAATCAGGAGCAACCTGAAGACCAATGCAGTTACAAATTAAATCCAATCGAATGGTGACAACCAAAAAAAGCTCTTCATAATGAAACATTTATTCTTATACATCTGTCATTAAATGAGCCCTATAATAGTAATACATGAAATGATATATGCCCTTACTGTGGACTCATCTGTGCCGGTGGTCTCTGACAGCGTGGTGATGTGAGGCGGCTCTCTGCCCCCCCCTCTCCTCGGCTCCCTCCCTTCTTTCTGCTTGTCGATGGCGCTGTACAGTCTCCTGAGGCCGGAGCTCGTCTTCAGGCTTTGGACTCGGTGTGCCCCGAAGGCTCGGACCAGCCGCGCCGTGTCCACAGTGGACATGGAGCCTGAGCCGGACATGGAGGACAGCGTCTCTGACTCGTCTCTGTCTGCAGGACACAGGTGGGGACTCTGGGAGGAGCTGCAGGTGAAGGAGTCCTCCTCTGCAGGAACAGAAGTCTCCTCCACCTGCAGACTGTGTGTCCAGGCCTGACGGAGGACTGGAGGTTCACCTTCAACCTTTCTGCCTCCTCTGAGCTCACTACCTACTCCGACATCCTTTGTTATTTCTTTCCCTGTAGCATCTTCTCTGCTTCTTCCTTGCTCTCCTTCCTGCAGTCCTGACATGTTGTTCCCCCTCGTGCTGTGGATGAGACGGGACAGGCGTTCGAGGCGCTGCAGCAGCGAAGCCTCTCTCTCGCTGATCGGTCGGGACTCCTCCGGGCTCCAGCGGTCACAGAAACTCTCCCACAGCTGGTCCAGAGTGCTGCTGCTCTGCAGGGCAGCGGGGGGGCCAGCGGGGGGGCGGAGGTGAGAGTCCCTCCTCTCCTGGGCACCCTCCCCTCCTCTCTGAGGGACAGAGCTGGTGGTGAGGTGATGGAGCGCCGTGTCGGAGTCCACGTCCACAACATCAGGCTGAAATCTCACACGGTTCGGCTCCGGCTGAACGCAACTGGGGAACTGCAGGGGGCTCGTCCCCTGGTCTCTCAGCCTGGGGGGGGCAGCTGCTGTTGCTGTTGCCTGGGGAGACGGCTTCGGAGTTTGAGTCTCCCTCGTTTGTGAGGGTCCATCAGCTGATACACCTGAGAAGAGAGAGAGATGACAGGTTTTACGAATGCATTAGGGAAATACACTTTTTCTAAACAATACATTTATTAATCAGTGTCTCATGTACAAACAAACAGTCAAAACAAAGCTGTACAAATAAATTGTTATAATAAATGTTAGTTTAGACATCTTTAGGTTTGTAAAAAGTAAAAGGAGCAATAATGTTTTCTGGATGCATCCTAATATATAGCAAATTCTTGCTCACTACATTTCTTAACACTTTTCAAAAAGGTTTTTTGTCTGCATTGCCAAACACAGTTAGTACATAAACACTTGTAATGTTGATTTAGTCTAACAAAAGTGACATATGTACAAATGAACAATTAGTGACAGTCTTTATTTAGTAGATGATGGACAGATGGCATGCTGAAACACAATACAACTCAATGTGTATACATGTTTGTGTTCAGCTCACCTCTGTGTCTGAGCTCCTGCATCTTGACGCCTCCTGGCTTCAGCCTCCTGCTGTAGATCCCCTCTGAGTGTCTGATGGGAACTCCTCGCTCCACTCCAGCGTCTCTGCGTCCGAGGACGTCACTGCTGAAGCGGGGGGGCACAGCGTCGTCTGAGCCTGGTCAGAATTCAAAAATGTTTTGTTAAAGGTTCAAGTGAAAGGCACTGATTCATCACATAGATATCACTGCATGAGAAATGACCAAAATCCTTGTTTTCAGCCAGTATTGAACAGAAGTGGTGGATAAGGAGTGTTCATCGCCCTCTCCCCTCGGTCTCTCTGCTGGGGCCCCGCTCGGCCTTTGTCTCACTCAGCCCCTGAACATGAATAATCAATGCTCTGTCTGGTGTAGGTTACAATGGAGCAGCTGCTCCCCATACAAGCACCGGGGAAATGTGAGCACCTCCTTCAGTTCAAAAATGTAAACCCTCTGAATTTGATAAATTCCTTAATTATTTTAAGTCAGTATTATGTTTAAGTCAGTTGTTAGATGCAAAAGCTGTCTTCAGTCATCTTCGGTATATGCATTTCTCATGTGCTTGTGGTCCACTGGTTTTTTGCTATTGTATTATCCATTCGATTTCTTTGAGTATTTTACAACATTCCTAATGCATTTGCTTTGCTAAACCTACATCCTAAAGTACCTAATCCAGGGTTCACTTTAGAAAGAGGAATGGTCCACAAATTACAGACAATTAAATTGGCCCATTGGTGGACATACAAAGTGATTTACAATCTTTGAAGTGAATGGTTTCCATGTACTGAAAATGGTGTTTAAATGTGATCTAAGCTGCTAAATAACATAACATTTGGGATGAACGTACCTGTGTGGGAGCTCTCCATGGTGGTTTCAGAGGGTTCGATGGAGGAGACGTCAGCTTCGGTCTGAGGGATGTAGAACAGCTCCTCACTGCCACGAGGTTTATACGGCAACAGCACAGGCACGGCTGTAAAGGGAGAAGGGAAATACAATCATCGTTACCTGCTACAGATCATTTAGAATAAATCCATAAATATACAATTATTTCTCATGCACACATTGAGCTAAGGAAGCAGCATCAGAATATGTAGGCAAAAGTCAGTCAATATGTTTTCATCCATCTTCTAGTTTAGAACTTATTCCTAATGTATAGTTGGATAAACAGCAGAGTGAAGAGTGAGGTACTGTTCTGTAAAGCTATTAAATTACTTGCTAAAGAGCAAGAAACAACATCAAATCAGTCTTTATCAAATGGTAGGGCGGCAAGGCTTTGTGTATTTGAGCGAAATGGACACGAAAAACACATGCAGAATAAATGGTATTTAGGTTAATGCGGTCCCAAATTTCACAGGCGCAAAAGAAGAACAGGAAGAAATTACCATTAGCATATACATGCAGAGTAACACATGCGTCACTTCCGGGCAAAAAGTACGGCTCCGCCCACTTTTGGGGGAAAACAAAGCTGTCATTTGAATGGCGGTCAATACAAATTCTGAAGTTTTTGCCAATCCGATCAGAAATGTAAGAAAACCGTGGATTTTTGGATCTTCAAAGAGCCCGATTACAATGGCCAGTCAGGCAAACAATTACATTAAATCATTTGAAATCGACGATCCGCCTCGATATATGGTTAAATATAGCAGTAGGCGATCGATGTCCATAGATGACAGTAACATCTACGTCATGTTACGGCCCCGCCCACTTTTGGGGGAAACCAACGCTGTAGTACAGAAACACTGAACTCTGGATTTGTTTTAATGTTTGAGGTGCAATAAACGACACAGCAGCTTTTTGGCATGATAAAACTATTATTTTCCGCCTCGCTCATGACAGTAACAGCTGGCGAAATTACAGCCTCGCCTACTGATTTTTATTTAACCATATATCGAGACCGATCGTCGATTTCAAATGATTTAATGTAATTGTTTGCCTGACTGGCCATCGTAATCGGGCTCTTTGAAGATCCAAGAATCCACGGTTTTCTTACACTTCTGATCGGATTGGCAAAAACTTCAGAATTTGTATTGACCGCCATTCAAATGACAGCGTTGTTTTCCCCCAAAAGTGGGCGGGGCCGTAATTTTCGCCCGGAAGTGACGTAGGTGTTACTCTCATCTATAAGCTTTATGATTATTTCATATAAATATATTTTATAACAAGCCTACCTGGCGATACAGTGGGTAAAGTTCTCTGCGACACAACGCTTCTTGGTTTGGAGGATTGTGTGGATGTGGAGGTCTTCCCTCCCTGAGGCACAGAGGTTTTAAACAGGGTGGAGGTGTCGGCTCTCTCTGGCCCCCGCTGTGTGTCGTACCACTCTGGAGGACTGCACAGACCCACACCTTCATCAGGACTGCTGGCAGCAGATGAGGAGGGTCTGAGGGGAACAAACTCTTTCTGAGGCAGCTTCACAACAGCATCAGTGTGACTGGAGCGGACATCTTTGGCTTTAGGGGACAGAGTGAGATGGACATGTGAGACGTGACCGGTCCTGTCTAGAGACTCAGATGTTGATGAACCTGTGGCATGTTCATGTTCCTGATCAACACCAGGAGCAGGGCTGATCTGGACGGATAATTCTTCATCCTGCCTGACACACTGTGTGTTCCCCTCTTTGGCATCCTCTTGACTTATACCCTGTGAGGGTGGGGGAGGTTCTTCAAACTGGCCTCCTACAGCGTCTTCCCTCTTCTGATTCGCTGGTACTGACCGAGATGTTAGGTTATTGCTCGTATCAAACACCGATGCTGTTGACTTATCTTCCTTATCCATAGGAGGAAGCTGAATGTTAGATTTGGGAAATTGGACTGCTCCTGTGGAGAGCTCAGCCAGGTGGAGCAGCCCTGGTGCTGGAATGAGAGGAGGTGCAGGCGACGTGGAGGGAGAGGGAGAGGTGGAGCGTCTACGTGTGGCGATGGTGATGGAGGTGAGGGCTTGAGGGTTTTTCCTAGGTAGAGTTACTCCTTCTTTGGCAGCGATCGCATTTATCTGAGCTTCTAGATCTGGGCGGAGAAGGTTTTGAAGCGGCGAGCTGGAGTAAGAGAGATCTGTGTGGAGGCCCGGCAGCAGCTGTTTGTTAGCAACACCTGGTGGAGGGAGTGTGGCTGCTTTCTGGAGAGGATCCGGCTCCCTGAATACTTGAATACTGGACGCTGCACTGCTCTCTGTATCTGTGCTGCCCTGACTCTGGAAGGAGAAGCAGAAAAGTCTGTGTCAAACTGTGAGATGAAGCAGGATCCTAGACTGTATCCTGAGAAGTAACTCTAGGGGTGGACAACAAATAGATACTCAATGTATTACGGCTTGTTCTGAGATTTTGCAAAAGATTACATTGTGAACATCCAGTCAAAATTGTCCCTTATATTTTTTCTTTCTGCTTTGGTGTCATCAAGACATTCTGAGGTTGAAATGAAGTCCCTGGTAATGATCACACAAAGGGGTTCAATCAAACAGTGATGGTTTTGAGAATTTATGAAAAATAGATATAAAGACATAGAAAACATATTATTCATAAGGGCTGTCGCGATAATCAATAAATTGACTTATCGTACGATAAATAAAAATGGACTCGATAACTTTTCTGAGCTCGATCAATTGCCGTTTACATGCGTGTTTGTTTACATAAAGATGTGACCAGCATTTTAGCCAGGCGCACTGTCTGCCGGCCCGGCGCGCTGTGAGGGGCGGGGCTCACACACAGCCAGGACAGGTCAGGACACTCCGCGTGCCGTGCAGCAGCCAAATTAATAATATAGAAACAAGCAGGAGACAACGTGTGACTTACTCGAGGGGAATTTGAAGTTAAATGGAAGTGGTTGCAAAACCTAATACCACATCTCCGGTGTGGGAATATTTTGGATTTAAGCCAAATCAACGAGGCGAACCTACAGATTTGAATGAGCCGGGCGGTGTGTCGCATTTGTTTAAAAAAAGGTAGCAACAAAAGCTAGCAATACGACCAACCTTAAACTACACCTGAAACACAACCACCCCATTTCGTTTTCCCAGCTGGGAGCAAACACTGCAGCTGGAGATGGAGAGCCCCCACCTTCCCGACAATGCAAACATGTTGGTGTTCCTTGCTCGAAAACTTTGAAATACAGATTTGGATATGGATTTGGATATGGCCTGCATCTGGGTCTTTGTGTGGACAGTGGACTTGACTGTTGTTTTAAGGAGGGTTTATTTTGCTTGTGAGACAATGTGTGCTCATATTTTTGTTTTCCAGCCTGAGTCTATTTAATTGATTGTTTTGGTTGTGCGTGATTTTTATTAATATGTTATAATTAAATGTATGTTTTATTTATTATATATAATTTATATATTTGAATATTATTTCACATTTCATTTGCAATGTTGAATGTTCAATAAAAAGTTCTGTTTGAAAGGATGTACTTGAATTATTATTATCATTATGTCAGTGGTCTAAAATGGTCTTACAACAGTGCCGACAATATTATCGTTTATCGCAATAATTTCCGGGAAAAGTTATCGCCCAACAAAATTAATTATCGTGACAGGCCTAAGCTGCCTGGCCTTGATGATTTGAATCCACCACAAACATCCAAAGATAAACATTTTCACAGCAAAATCTTAACTGGCAACATAAAAAAAATGCAGGTATCCAAAACATGCATGTTGTGAAACGCCATGCATGCAACACACCAGTTACCTGAAGCATGTGACCTGAACTGAACAGCGATGGTAGCAGACATCAAAATCACAACAAAAAGGTTTCACAGTTGACATTTTTTAACAGGAAATATGTGATGAACTAAACCGTTGTCATTGTAAATAGTCAGTGTAGAAGTAAACAATAGTTCTGATTAAAGGGATCATCGTCATTGGTTTACCTTCGTTGGGTTTTTTAACAGCAGATCTCTCTTGATCTCTTCAATCCGCCTTCTGTCTTCTTTATCCAACACCAGAGGCTCACACGGCTGCCCTGAGATCTTCAGCTTTATCCACTCTGCAATATGGAAACATGTATTTATTGATTTCATTCTATTACTATAATCATATTACACTTTATTAATATAGCAATTAAAAAATAAGTTTCACAGGGCTTTAGATGGAAGAAACGAGAGGCAAACAACTTTAATGATGATGATTTAAAACAGTGAACACAAAAAGGGAGAAAAAAACAAAAGTAAAAAAAGTAATAATAACAATATATAATAATATAAATATATATATATATGATAAAATCTGAAGTTAGGATTGTGTCTTCGTGAAAAAAAAATGTTTAAAGAAATGACTTAATGAATATAACTGATAATCAAAGCTCCAAAATACACTAAAAAAAAAAAGTATTTTATGCGTCTGCAGAAGATTGGTTATATTTACATAAGATTGTATTATTGCGAAAAGTTTATTTGGATATATATATATATTTTTCACTATAAAAGGTTTTCCCTCTAGATTAACAACGCATGAACCCTCTTACCCATAGCTTTGCTCTCCTCATTGTCAGTGATGCTGGCTGTACTGGACACCATGGTGGCCGGAGACTCATTCTGCAGTAACTGCGCCACTCTGACCGCCAGCAAGCTCTCACTGCTGCCGTCGCTCATCACTCCCTGATCGCTGTTCTCCAGAGCAGGCGGGGGGGAGCTGCTCTGTAGAGGACCTTCCAGAGAAGCCTGCATTTCCTCCTCTGTGTCTGTAGCAGTAGAGGTGAGCTGTATACTCAGAGCTGGTGAAGGTGCTTGTGGTGGGACGGTGTTGTCGACGGGGGCAGCGCTGCAGCCCTCAGGCTCTGCACGTCGGGCTGATTGGGAGAGGACGAGGGATCCTGCGTCTCTACCAACATCCTGTGGCCTCCTGTACGCACCTGTGGAAGTAAGAGCTTGTGTGGACGGATAATTGGGCTGCCCCGATGAAGTCTCTCGACCAATAGAGTTTTCTCTCAGTCTCTCTGAGGTCAGCATGGAGTCGGATGCAGATCTGGCCCACAGCGGGGAGAATCTAGCTCTGGGATCCTCAGTAACTGAGGAGGAAGAGTCCTGGTGGGTGCTGGGTGTCTTCCTCAGTGAGAGAAAGATGTTATCATCAGAGAGCAAACGGGGCACTGCAGTGGGGGCAGAGGAATCTACAGAAGACCCAGAAGACACCATGTTCTCCGCCTGAAAGAGGAGTTTACGGATTTCCATCAAGGCTTTAGAGCTAACCATAGAATCTTCTGCGATTTGCTCCGAACTTCGGCTCGTTTGCAAGGGAGACTCCAAGTCTGAATCCGTACTCTTGGTAGCGAAGGAGAGGTCGGAGTCGTACCTGTCTCTGAGTGTTATGGTGTTCTGGCTGCTGGTTAAGCTGCTGTCCATGTGCTGTTGCGGGCTGGAAGGGTAGGAGTCTTCATCCGGCAGGGAGGAGGGAGCCAGTCTGCGTTCACTCTCACCGAGACTGTCCAGGCTCAACGGGATGGATATACTGGAGTCCACTGACAGAATGCTGCACCTGGAAAACTCTCCTTTATGGGGACTGCCACCTGAAAATACAAAAACCGCCAACATGAGGAAAAAATACCAACCTTTTTCTAGAGAACATGGTCTTGAAGACTATGTTTAAAATAAAAATAATACCTGTTACATCTATGTTTTAATAGTTTTCTTCTTGGTAGAACAGTATAAAAAAACGTTCCTTAAACTAAGAACCAGCCCTATACTGAAGTGGACTAGAAGGTTAAACATTATGCATTCTGGTTTAAATAGGTATTGGTAAGATTTTAAGGGCACAATGTAAATGATTCTCTTGTGTTGTTAATGTTAGTATGTTTTGTAGGTACCTTCAGAGGGTAAGGGGCTCTTGGTTGGTGTTCCAATAGATCCTTTAATAGTACAGAGATCAGTGGGAGAGAACTCCGGCTCTCTGATTGGCCCTCTTGGTGCAAATGGAGTTAAAATAGTTGAGGGAGACTGGTCAATACCCAGGTTACGGAGATACAACTGAAGGAAAAAACAAATACAGAAGACATCAGGATAAGGAATACAAATATACATGTTTGTGGTACATGGCCTAAATCAGTGGTTCTCAACTGGTCAGGCCTCGGGACCCACTTTTTTCTTTGTCAATAAATCGCGACCCGACATTTTGAACCACTCAAATCTATTCAACAAAAAATCGTGCTGTAATATATATACGCTTTTCAGCATATATTATTAATGAAAGTGAAGTACAGTGCATATATCCCTTAACATAACTAAAGTATGCTTTTAAAAAAGGTTTAATGAGATGATGGAATCAAAATATAAGGCCCACATGCTGAAAACCCAACCCCAGATTTTTAGAAATACTAACATATAAACTAAGCATTCTGGTACACTGAGAAGAAAATAAATAGATGTAGTACTACCCGACATTTTAATAATATATGATGCCATTGTTTGTTTTTCACTTTGTTCTGACAGCTGAACTTGCTGCTCCTCACAGAGAGAAGAGCAAAGAGGAGATAGTCTGTGTGAATTACTTTAAATTGTGGGTAAGGGTAGATAGCCCCCATTGTTCTGTGACCTGTCAATCATCAAACCGGGGTCATTTTTATCTGAAGTTGTACCCATGGATGTATAAAGAGTAGTTCTACTGCAAAGTTATTCTCCTGGACTTCCGGCAACAATCTTGATTCTGATTGGCCAGAAGACTCGAAAAAACATCAGCAAAGATGTTTTATTGAGAAGATGATCACTACGTGACAGAAGTTTTCAAAGCCGTTTATGGTCTCCGGTACTTCCAGTCCAACGCCTACTGCATGCACAGCGTTAGAAAATCGGGCCTTCAAAATAAAAGTTTGACTTTTTTCGAGAAAAATAAAAGATACATTTTTTTTTCTTCACTCACACATCTGCGACCCACTTGAAACGGGTCCGCGACCCACCAGTTGAGAACCACTGGCCTAAATACAACTGTATTCATAATAAATCAACTGCAAAATCTTCTAAAATATATATTTTTAAATGCATACATTTAGGGAAATGTGATTAAAAAAAATGTTGGGCTATGTTTCTTGATATAGGATTGTTTTTAGTTTTATAATCACCGGAATTCGTTGTTCGATGTCTATCTCTCGTTGCCTTGCCATCGGTGGTGGTGTGGACATTTTCGAAGTCCAGTACGGAGCGTAGTTATCAACCTCCAGACTGACAACAGAAGATGCTCCGATGGACGTTGCTAATTTAACTCCACTGTTGTAACTTTCTTGGGAACTTGAGAGTGTCAAATCGTGATCAAGAGATACGTCGCTGAACTGACCGAGGCTGATGCGAGGCGGGGGCTGAACTGTGGTGCTTGGCTGATGAGGAGTCTCAATGTTCTCTTCACCTGCAGGTCTTTTACTCTGCTGATCTTTCTGCTCCGACATGACAATGGTGCAAAGAGAGGAGTGGGACTGAGACCTGCCAAAGGGTGATGCAGAAGTTCTTGTTGCAGAGTTATCTTGGTCTCTGGGAGCCCTGCCCACGGCCTCCCCTCTCCTTGGAGAAGTGGAGCCAGAGGGAGCCTTGGAGGAGCTCTGTGTGACCTCCTGATTGGCAGCACTTGGCTGTAATCTCCCCGCCTGCTGACTCAGGATGCGATTCAAGGGTTCAGATACTGCTTCGTAAGCGTTCTGTTTAGGAGAGACGCTGGAAAATCCTTGCACTGCCAAGCTATCAAACAGTGCTGCCTTGCCTGAACTCTGATTTGCCCTCCAGGCGTCTACTTTCTGCATGTAGTTGAGACTTGGGAGAGATTGGACTTCAGCAGAGGTGGTTGCCCCTCGGCTCTGATTTGTTGTTTCAGGGGGATCCGTTGCAGGAACAGCTGGCTGTGGAGACATCCCTGTGTTTGACTGAGAAGAGTTCTCTTTGTTAGATTCTATGGCAGAGAGTTGCCCTAATTTAGCCTTGACACTGGATTTGGATGGGGCTTTAAACACCCCTGGAGTGGATTGAGATTGTGGAATGAAACCCAGGTAGGACCCATCAATCCCTGTGTGGTTCCCAGAGAGCCAGAGGTCTTGTTCTCTGTGACCGCGCTCAAAGCCGGCTGAAAACGCCCCTGTCCACTGCAGGCCACCAAAATGAGTTCTGATAGCACTTGGCTTGACTTCAGAAGCCACTGTGGGAAATGGTGTGAGAGATATAACGGGTGGTGTAGAACTTTTACGCTGTTGGTTTTTAAATTCATTTTCTCGACTGCTGCGCCTCTTTACCTCAGACAGCAACTCTTTGTGTAACTCTTCACTGCTGTCATCAGGTTTAGTGCTGCGGGTCCCCATGGTTATGTTGCTTTCCTCCGATAACAATGTCTGTGATTGGTCAGGGAATAAGCCTCCGTCAGGTTGTTTGGACTGCTGCTGGGGAAGAGAAGCTTCACCTGGAGGACCTTCTCTTTTACCCATGCTTTGCTTAAAGGCTGGTTTGCAAACTTGAATGCTTTTAGAATCTTCTGCAAAAGATAAAGCCACCTTCACAGAGGTCTCAGAGGAAGAGGAAAGAGCACTACTACTGCTGCTTTGCATGCCAATATCTTTCTCAAGGAGCTCTAGAAGATGCTGGGCAGGAACATCTTTACTCAGAAAGGATATGTCATATTGAGCAGCCTCTCCTACTGGCGTGTCAGTTTGAGTCTCTGAGTCTTTCTCTCTTCTATCTGAATCATCACTGGATGGTACTCCCCGTCTGTAAGTGGTTGCAATCACTGGTGGGTGCACTTTTTCCTCTCGTCTGCCTTCGTCTCCTGGAGATAAGCTGTGTTGGGACAGAGAGCAGCAGCTGCTCACTCCCTCTCCAGACAGGTTGGTAGCCTGGTCCAAAGGGTACTGGGACAGGGAGCCGTGCTCAGAGGCTTGAGAGGTGCGATCCTGGAGAGGAACGTGAAACCTCTCTGATGCCATAGAGACGTCGGGAAACGCCCTTTAAAAAGTAAACAAATACAATTAGATAACTGAACATTCAAATACAATGTTGTCGAGTGGGCGGCTGTGGCTCAGTGGATAGAGTGCTGGACTTCGAATCAGGGGGTAGCAAGTTCGAGTCCCTGGGCAAGACACTTCACCCCAAATTGCTCCTGTGGGGATTGTCCACAGTACTGAATGTATGTAAGTCGCTTTGGATAAAAGTGTCTAACAAATGACATGTAATGTAATGTAACGTAGAGTATTATGTCCACAAAACCTATTGTTGTTTACCTTAAAGGGGCAAATTCACTGTCACTTTGTTGGAATAAAGAATATTCAGTGAAGTTTTGTTCCACTCCAGAGTGTGCAGGCAACAGGGAGAGGGATGGAGACAGGTTGCTGTCCTGAAATTCTGATGATACAGAAAATGCTGAATGTTATTCACAGGCATCATAAACACATTTACAACCAAAGTATGCATCCTTCAAACTTACATACAAATCATTATTTCCTTCAGCTTTCCCATTACCATGAGATCCAAATGTGTTGAATTCTCATTATTATTTAAGTAGTGCCGAACATTGGTTGGTAGATGCCTCAAAAATGTTTAGACAGTTGGGGGGAAAAGACAGATTTCCAGAAACACAGTCTGTTCTACATCACCTTATCCCATTCAACATTTAATATGACGGAAAATATGTATTTACCGAGACATACCTGGCTCAAACGAGCGCTGCCATCGCTGTTGAAGCTCCCAGCTATCCGTGTCCAGCCTGGGCTGCCTCTGCCGGTCATGACTTTGAGCTCCCGGCTGGTTTATGGATGTTTGTCCAACAGACTGAATTGTATTTTCATCTGCTGGCAACCGAGCAGAAGCCGTCTCCCTCTGTAAAACCAAGTCACACATTTTTTTATAACTCAATGTAACTGGCCTCTTGTGCCATTTAACAAAGCTGAGTAACCCTGTGTTTAAATTGAAAAGATTCTCGGGACAAAATTACATTAATTTAATTTAATACAGCAGCCTTTAAACTCAGGAAAAAGACAACCCACCATTCTCTGATTTAAAGGTATATTATTTGACTTAATATAAACTATTTGGATTTCTTAAATACGCTTTCGTTCGTAAATACTTCGTGTTTTTCAATTATTTGACACGGCTCCTATAACAACAGCAATTCCCCTAATCTATCTGAGATGTTGTGAACAGTTATACTGCCTGTTTGGCTGAAGATCATCTGGCCTCTTTAAACTGTCAGGTTTGTCATTAAAGAGACCTATTATTACCAGATCTCTGAAATGCTATTATTACCAGATCTCTGAAATGCTGCTAAAGGGAAGTAAATTCGGTAAAACCCACCTTTGTAGCAATTGTAACAGATGCCAATGTGTTACTTTTTCAATTATATTTACCTAGATTCTCTCAAATATCATATACCAGATAGTTAAGAAGCTCCGAATAAAGTTAGCTAAGCGCAACAGGTTGCTGTTAGCTTAAGGAGAGACACATGACTACTGTATCTATTATCTGCAAACCTTTTCTTAACAATAGCCCATGCTACAACTATTGGCTACTAATAATGCAAACACAATGTTTTGTCTGACAAGGTCGATTAAACTGAGTAACGTTGTCTCAGAGGTCTGTTAGCGGGCTGATACATTAGCTAACAACCTAGCCAAGCGGTTAGCAGTTAGCAAGCTATTACCAACGGCCAGCGTCGGGTAAACGCTAGCCAGATTCAACCAGGTTAAAGCGAACCGAACCACGATACAATATGCTGCACAAAAACACTTTCAGAGGAGAAAAGGGGTCAAACTGAGACAAATTACATCTCGAAGCTCCATGTTGTTGTTGTTGTCAGTCCTCCACAGTGAGCGCACTCCCTCCTGTTTGTATCCAAGGAGCCAGCGTTGCTAGGAAATGTGGAGGACAACTCGAAAACCCGGAAACTCGCGCGGGAAGAGGACAGAGGGCGCAAGAATTGATTTGAATTCAAGAACGGCGAAGAAGAAGAAAAAAACGTAACTTATTCAGAATGGAAATTGGTTGAAAGGCAAATATAATATAAAATGCCACTGGATATTTGTTGGTGCTTTTGTTTAGTTTCTCTATATCATCGTTTCTAAAATAAAAAGTTATTTGTTTGTATCACCTAAAATCACTTTTGTATGGCAAAAAAAACGCATTAACCCAGGCCTCCATAACAGGTTAATCCACCCATTAAGAGTAGACAAGCAAAGCTTTATTTGTGAGTCATTAATTAACTCTATGTAACACTCCCCAAATAGTTTAGAATAAATACAATTACCATAAACACATGTTATTATCCAATTAGATTTAAATTAAATACAGTTGATAGAAATATAAAACTATATTTTTTTATTTGTATTGCAGCAACACTGTATGTGCCCTGCAAGATATCACTAGGTACAAAAGACCATCACATTCACTGATATGATAGGGTCAGTTTATTGAATGCAAAACAGCTTACAGATAGATCTGCAGCTAGATAGGCTGGTCAATGGCCGGATACTACCTTTAAAAAGATAGGAAAGGGTTTGTAGGCTAATTAAATCGCAGATGTAAATTCTTCCCTGGCTTGATTTGTTTCTTCATCACTGATTTGTTTCTTCATCTCTGACTGTAGTTGATATTTTTCAAGATTCAAAGTCCATTGTAATTTACACAACAGCTACAGCGTAGTTGTTGGCAATACAAAGTTACAGGCTCATCCAACAATGCTTACACTAAGAAACATTAATATATATATATATATTTATATTAATAGTAAGAAGAAAGAGAACTTGATTCAAATGTAAGGATTTATGAATTATTTTATAGTATGTACCAGTCTGTTTTGCTTTTTACAGGTCCTTTGATGCTTTGCTCTCAGGCAGATTCGCAGGCAGCACGTTGCATTCAAAGGACGCCTACTGTACCATGATTGACAGGTCAATCATCCAATCACAGCCCTGAACCACAACATACTGAAATCCTCACCATTTGATTGGCGTAGGCTGTTGGAGGCAGGGGGAAAAGTGCCCATATCAAACGCGGAAAGGGGAAGAAAGCAGTCAGAACTAAAAGTGTACATTTTACCTTCAACGAGAAATACCATCACACACAGTCGCGGGAAAATACTTCAAAGACGCACTCTATCACCATGCCAAAAAAGAAAGACATTGTTAGAGGTATCATTAAAGTAGTGATTGTCATTTGTTTCATATTCCTCGCTAAGTTTCATTTACTGAGAACAGTGAAGTGTTTAGTTAGCTTACTAGCTAGCTAGCTACGTTATGACGATGGACTGTAACAACGTGAACAATGATGTTTAGAAACGTGTTTTATACGTATTTGATTATAACACTTTTCTATATTTCAGGTGCTCCTATATCTCGAATCCGAGAAAACTCAAGACTCATGCACACTCATGTGAGTATGATTCAGGCACCTGGAAACTTCTGTTGTTCCTATTATTTTGGCATAACAGGTTTTGCAAATTGTAAGTGTGTCATGCCAACAGTGTTACTTTACCTTTCACAAACAGTCATTTGAATATGAGCTGCCACCGTTGAGAGCCTTTAACCACAACAATCAGATAACATGTACTTTTGTGCAGCCTTCACAAAGGATAACTCTACAGTTTATCACATGTTACTAAATACATAAGCTTAGGGCATTTAGTCTCAATGAATAACTTAAAATATCATAGCGCTGTTGTATATTAACAATAATGCCACAAACAATGTAAATGTATCAGGGATTACATAGTGTATTAAAGCAGTAAACTGTAATGTGTTCTTGTTTTGCTGTCAAACTAAACTAACTAAACAACCATACCTAATCCTAGTCAATTTACAGTAATGGATAGAAAAGAATCATCATGTCTTCACATTTGAGAAGCAGTAACTAGACAACATTTTGCTAGGAAAATAACCTTTTATTTGAGTAACTGTAAAATTGTAGTTAAAGCTGGGGGGCTTAGGGGGGGTTATTCCTCAGTTACTTTATCAGTTGTATCTACCAGCTATTGTGGTAACTGCAAAAAAATGTATTTCCCACCCTGCAAAATAAAGCAAGGGTTACACAGTACGTTACTTTCAGCAATGTTTAGTTTATACTTTTGCGAGGTATACGATCGTTATTGCGTCTAAAGCTTGGATGCATTATAAGTGTCTGATCTTTTCCTCATCTCAGGAAACTATGGTGGATTTCATCAATGGACGCCATCCTGGAGACTCAATTTTAGATGTCTTCGCCTCTGGCTTATTAGGTAAGGCAATTTCTCAACTACAGATTATTTCAACCTGATGATTGAGAAGAGAACTGGAAAATGAAACTCAACGCAGTATTACTGGATTGACAAACCGTGCAACAAAACAGTGTCAGCCTAGTTTTGTGATACAACAAATATCTGAATACATAATAATAAAAAGTGTTAGGTAATGTAAGCTGCGTACAGTATACTCGTAAGTGATTAGGTTATATGTCTTCTTATACCTTTTGTCTTACTTATTTGGTCAACATTGTTTTAGACCCACAAGGTAATGCAACAATATCTCCATTAGGCAAATAGACACCACTTTTATTTACTACATAGTGTCATGAGTCACCAGCAGAACAAGTGTATATATAGACAAAAATAAGGGTGTGGATGGTTTGCTCAATTTCTTTTTGTCAGTAGACAGCAGATTGTATCCTGTTTAATGTTTAACTGTTCCCTACTGCATGTTTGCCTGTAATAAATGCATAACGGCATCTTCAGTGTGTGACATCTCACTGAGACCGAGAGTATTTCCAATGAGTTCGGACTAACTGCACAGTGTGCCGATCTGATGTACAGATATTATCTGGAGTTCAAATGGGGACGAGGCTATAGAGACAAAGCAACGCAATATCTGCGGATAACTATGCACATTGTCACTCCTTACTAAAAGGCAGTACAGTGTCAACATATTTCACATGAAAAGTGACTGACACAATTGTGTAACCAATAAAAAAATTACCCCGTGCTCTCTTTTCACTTTAACACAACTGGCCAATTATTGCTTAAACTGGGCATGAATGTCAGATTATCAGTTTCATAAAGCTCCAGACCGCCAAAACCACCGCAGCTGATAACAGAAGCTCTGAGGGGGGGTGTTTAGCCAAAGTATACAATCTTTAGTAGACTATGTTTGGTCGAACGACATTATTCACCAAGCTCTTTCAGACTGAGAAGAGGGAATGGCCAAGTTCTGAAGTTCATACAACTACATACAAGTACTACTATATGTTGTGACTTAGTTGGCACCATGCTCTATCAAGATCAGACTTTTTAAAGATCGGTTATATTCTTTGTTCTGAATTAAGATGCTGCTTGTTTACACTTTGTTTGTTTGTGTCTGAATCTCCCAGGTTTAGATTTTTTAAGGACGTTTGAGGGAGATCTGGACGATGACATCATATATACTGATGATGATGATGATGATGAAGATGATGATCGCTTTTATACACCCACTGTTTCTCACAGGTCTTTAGAACCACATCCACGAATTAAGCAACTCAGTGAAGAGGTATTCCCCCTTCTGTTTGACTTTTCTTTGGAAGTGAAACTAAAAAGCTTCCTTTATGATGTGTCCCTGGTTTGTGGCTTGATTTCAGGCTGACTCATGTCCTTTCACTTCAGGTGAATTTCATTTACATTTTCTGACTTCATGCTCCACATAAAGAACTCATAACTTGTTGTTTTTCCAGGAGGCTGATAAACATGCAAAGGAATTGGTAGAAGACGAGGAAAAGCGTAAGGACAAAACTGAGAGGAACAAGCGTAAGAAATTGGTAAGTGTCTGCAAATTAATTCAGATGTAATATTTTCAATGTTTCTTCTCATTTACTTTTTTGACGCTTCCACTTTTCTCTTTTCTTTTTCAGCGTAAAAAACAAAAGAAGCGGTTAGAAAAGGAAAATGCAGTTAAAGACAATTTACCTGTAAGTCTTCTCTTTTTTCTGTGAATACAATCAAGTTACATTATATCTCTGGAAATATAATCCCAGGGTGTCCGCGGGGTCTTAAAAAGTATTAAAAGTTGATAAATCAATTTAGCGAAAATGAAGGCTATTAAAAAGTATTAAACGGCATTTTCCAAGGTATTACATTTTGTAGCTTGTTTTCAATAAGTATATAAATTGTCCAAAGAGGTTGTATTCTACAGTCTGCCTGAATGTAATCATTGCGTAGGTGTGTGGTGTGATTCTGTGTAGTTTATTTATGGCATCCCGTTGGATTTGACGTCATCTGAACAGGACATCACACGCTCACTGCTTGATAGCGCGCGAAGCTCCGTTTACGCCGGTTGTTAAACAACATCGTTATGGGGAAATGCAAGTTTGTGTCCAAATGGTTGGAAGATAAGGAGGAAGGACAATCAATACTGTATATAGTCAATGTGAGGTAAAGTGTGTCGCCAATGTAACCAGTTAAAACTGGAAGTGGCGATGAGGTCTTAAAACGTATGGAAAGGGTCTTAAAAAAGGTCTTAAAAGGTATTACATGTGACTTCAGGATTCCTGCATATACCCTGAATCCAGACATTAAGGCATTTTCAGATCCTGATATCTTTGATGTTATTGTTTCCAGGAGGAAGAACAAGGGAAGTCAGACTCCTCAGAAAATCCGAAAGACAATCCTGTTTATGAAAATAATGCAGAAGCAAGAGAATCTCCTGAACCTGATGCAACACACAATGGCACTGTGGCGGCTGGATATGAAGAGAACAGTTGTAATAATGAAGAGAAAAATCTTGAGGAGATGGTTACAAAAGAAGAAAAGGAGCAAATGGTTTGTGGACATTCATTTTTAAATTACCGTTTGCACTAGCAGGAAAGTACTTCAGAAGTAATATCTGACCGGTGATGGCACAGGTGAATAAATCGAAGGTGAAAATAAACCTCAAGAAGGACAACACTATGAAAAGTCCTATTTCGTAATAATATCAAACCGTCAAACAGTTTGTAAATGTTTTAAGGTGATTTTAATGAGTGTTAAGTTTCCAGAAAGCAAACGGTTTTACTTCAAAATTGCTTATCAGCCATGTTTTTTTGCTTTTGAAAAAGTCCACATTTACCCAGAATTCAAAGCAAATTAGTCCAACTTTAGACAATCCAGAACGAGACATGTTTTGTGCAGTGGATGAGTTCATAAATAATAATAATAAATTATATTTATATAGCGCTTTTCTCTAACTCAAAGACGCTTTACAGTCGGGGCTTATGGATATACAGAGTGGAAGAGATGAGTCTTGAGGCGGGACTGGAACAGGGTGAGGGACTCAGACTCACGGAGGTCTTGGGGGAGGGAGTTCCAGAGCTTCGGGGCTGCCACAGAGAAGGCTCTGTCCCCAAAGCTCCTGATCTGTAAAGTCTGATATAGTTTGATCTGAGCTATTGCCATCAGTATTGTTAACATTGTAGTTTGTTTGTGTTTGATCATCTTTGAACCACTACCTTGTGTTTCATTATCTTTTGCAGGATTTGAATATAAATAATTCCCACGCTTCTACGACAAAATCGGTGCCTGAGGTATTGTGTAATGAGAGGCCTGCCAGAGAGAGAAAAAAGAAAAACACTAAATTACCCGAAGTCCAGCCGTCTGAGGAGGAAAAAACAAAAATTGTGGCGCAACCTGAAGTTCAAGAGAAGGAGGAGGAGAAATATGAACCAAATACAGAGGTGGGAACACTGAACACTTATATATGTATAATGAATTTATAATTATTTAAGGCTTAATCTTAATCATGACTCACAAACTGATATTTTCCGACACATGAAAACACATCAGACACATTTTTAAACTTTATGGTAATGGTTATTATTACAATACAACAATAATAAGTAATCAGTTAATACTGTCTGTTCCTATATTTCCTATTCATTTATAATATGTGCTTCATCTTCCCCTATTCAATTCTTTGTATTTATTTGTAATATAATTGTAATTGACATCCATAAACAATGATATGAATGTACCCTTACCTGCTTGTCATCAGTGTTTCCTGTGGTGCTTAGAGACTAATGCGCACACTCTTAACTTTACCAGAAACAAATGGATCCTATTGCAGAAGAGTTAGCAAAAAGGAGCAGAGAGCTTGCTGGTAAGAATTAACATTGAGACTTTCCAATTATAAAATACACACTGTTTTCACACACACATGTAAATAATATGTACACATGACCAAATATGTATATATGTTCATTTTAATTCATTTCTTATTTTATAGTTATTTATAATTTTAATTTGTTATCCGTAATTGTATTAATCTGCGCGGTCCTGTTTTTCATCCTTAACCTGTTGCTGTTAAACTACTGAATTTCCCCATGGGGATTAATAAAGGAGCATTCTTATCTTATCTTATCTCACTAAAGATGTCCGCTCTCTCCCTGCAGGTATGGGAAATCGTATGGCTGCCTCCAGTCAGTACGAGATGGCCGTGAAATGCTTTACAGATGCCATTAAATACAACCCAAAGGAATTTAAGTAAGATATTTAACTTAAAGGTCACCTATTATGGAAAATCCACTTGTTCACGTCTCTTCTACATCAACATGTGTCCCCTCTGTGTAAAGAGACTCTGAAAGTTTCAGGAAAAAAGATTCTCTCTCTTTTTGTCCTGATCCATTTATATAAAAACCTGTCTGAAAATGAGCTGATCAGATTTTGGCCACTTTATGATGTCATGATGTTTTTTTGGCTTGTGTAACCATTAGCCAATCACCAACCAAGGTAACCCCCCCCCCACACCTTACCACCTGAATCTCCTCCTAGAGCACCATTGTGTTCTTTTTAACCAAATATCTCTCAGAGGGGTGTGGGGAGGGGCTCCTTATTTTCATCTAAAGTAACAGACAGAGAATCAGCACTTTGGAAACAGGGCTGAAACAGAGGGGATTATGGGATGCTACAATGATCTGTTTGGTGTTTGAAGCCAAACACTTCAGAGACATGTTTTGTATATATCTGAGACCTATAATATATTGATGAAAAACTGTATAATAGGAGACCTTTGAAATTGTCTTCTCCACACACAGGAGCAGTTATTGTTAATAATCATTAACTACATTACTCTGTGTTTCAGGTTATTTGGTAATCGGTCCCTGTGTTTTGAGAGAATGCAGCAGTATGAAAACGCTCTCCAGGATGCTGACCTCGCTCTCTCCATGGAGCCAAACTGGATAAAAGGTTTATTTAGGAAAGGGAAAGCTCTGTGTGGGCTCAAGGTGAATACTGCACCAGTTCCCCCTGATAACACTCTGCTTCCACATACTCTCAATGATTCCCTTTTAATGTGAAGTTTCTCTTCCTGTTAGTTATTTGCCTGATGGTCAACTGGAAGTTATGCATTTTATTTAGATTTGAAACACTTACTCATTGCTGATTCCTCCACTTCTCCTCCAGAGATACTACGAGGCCTCGCTGATCTATAAGGAGGTTTTGAATCTGGAAAGTTCCAGCGCTGAAGCCACGCAGGAGCTGAAGCGAGCGCAGACGCTGCACCTGATGGTAGGGGAAGCTTAGGTTTACAAGAATTCACATGGTCAAAATGTGAACAGTAAAAGGAGACTCGCTGAATCTGGGTCCTGCATATCTTACAGAATTATTCCACAAAAAACGAACTAACCCAATTACTATTAAAATGTCCTTAATCAATCTTTCAAGAGTCATTAAAATAATTACATATTTAAAGAAAGATTATAGGATTGATGAAGTGGTAATTTCTCCAATTGGGGTCATTTTAACCTTTGTTTTAAATTGACTTCGGTGCAGCATTAGAAAAGTCTTGAATTGCCTTAAGCTGTACAAACCCTGTTGATTGAAGATGAATATACAGTTTGAGTTACTGGTACAGTATTCGATGCTTTTCTCTGCAATTCAAAATAAACGTGGTTATGTATCAGCCATCCACTGCTTTAAAGGGGACCTATCATGCAAAATGCACTTTTTGATGTCTGTTATACATAAATATGTGTCCCCGGTGTGTCAGGGAACTCGCAAAGTGTCAGAAAATAAAACCCTCTCTTTTCCTCCGTACCCAAATCTCTAAAAACGGGGCCACATCCGATATGACGTAATATCGGAAATGTAGGCTGGCTTTACACCCACGGCCCTATCAGAAACGTTGCTGTCGGAAACAATGCCCGACTGTTTTGGACGTAATATGGTCGGTGTTTACATTAGCATCGCTAACACTCAGAGCTAACCTGTACTGGAGAGCATGTGTGTGAAGAAGCTGGATATAAAAAGGAACTCACCTTGTGGTATAACCGGCAAGAGAGAAAGCCTTTGAGCTCCATACTGTTTCAGAAATAATCCTTGATAATCCATGATATGGCGTTTCATCACGGCAGTATTTAGTTTAGACAGTAGCTGAGGGTCCCGCATGAGCTCAGCCCCCTCCTTTTTCTTTTATCAATTTTTTTTTTTTTTTAAAGCTTTATACCCAAAATCAGCACTTTTGAAACAGGAAGTGAAATAGAAGGATATGAGGCATGGCTAGAATGGGTGATCTGTTTGGTATTTTGAGCAAAACACTTCATAGACATGTTTTTTATATATTTGTATATATCTGAGACCTATGCTATTGCCTAAATATAGCATGACAGGTGACCTTTTTAAAGCTTGTTTTTGTGTCTCCATTCTTCAGGAGATGGGCTTCAGCTGGGCGCAGAGCTCCGAGGCGCTGAAGACACACGGCACGTTGGAGGAAGCTGTGGAAGCTCTGTTCGGGGGGGAAGACGGTAAACTCTGTCCTGGAGGTAAACGTCAGGAAATGTTTCCCACAGCTGGAAAACCACTGTCACTACATTATTCTGGTATTTAATACACCACATAATATACAGTTATACATACATGTTTACATATTTATTTTAGTATAATGTGCACATTTTTACTTCTTTATGTTAATATAAATATTTCATTTTTACTTAAAACTATCACTTAATCCAATTAACCCTGGGGATAAAGATGATTTGATCGACTCACCGTTGTCTCTGTTCAGATGTCGGGGCCAGTCGGGAGGACTTAGAGCCCCCTGTGGTGCAGGAGGAAGACGACGATGATGAGGGCGAGTGGACCGTCCTCCAGGCAAGCCGTCCCAGAATGCAACAGGTCAAGGAGTCTGATGCTTGTGGCCACAGCAGATCCAATTCTCAGTCGCCTACGCCTCAATCGAGGAATGCAATGAAACCGTAAGACTGCTTATCATTAACGTGTTAACATGCTTGTTAAAAGAAGGAAGTTAACGTGGTTAGTGTTCTTCCCTGTGTCGGTTTTACCGGTACTTTTCTGGTTATTGGTGTTTATTTTGTGCCAATTTCTCAATTTTGAAAAATAAAATAAAAGTCAGAAAACAATTTAAGTAATTTTTCTACGAGCTTTTTAAATAACTAAATATTATTATTAGGATTCATAATGCCTGACACTAATGTTTTGAATCCCTGCCCTTTTTTCCATTGTATTTGTGTAATGATATACGTTTTATATTATTAAGTTATTATAAATGTTCATATTGTTGATTTTTAGATTTGGGTTTTCAGGATATTTTTGCTGACTTGTACCCATAGTGCAACATCATTTAACATTGTTATTCTCTTCTGTTTTGTATACAGAGATCTTATGTCTGTTTGGGTGGGATCCTTAGCTCCGACTGTCACCTACTCCACCCTGCACGAGCTCTTCAGCCGGTAGGGACCCACCGTCTCCCTAAGCATTCTCCCTCAGGATTTCATATAGCCCCGCAGCGATGATAACGTTTTCATCTCATGATCTCACACTCTCTCCCGTCTCTCCCTCAGAGCGGGGACGGTGTACAGCATCAAGATGCTCCTGGAGCAGCAGTGTGCCTTTGTGAACTACGCCAAAAAAGAAGACTGCGATCGAGCTATCCAGTGTATCAATGTATGTCACTTTTTGATTGATCCTTTATTGAGGTTTATAGCTGATGTGTCACTGTTGAAGCAGCAGAATCAGCTCATGTCGTGACTCATTTTGTGATATCTCTTGTTGTAATCTTTATTTAGAGAGTAGAATGACCTTTCCGCTGTCAAAGTACCCTTCAAAGTGCCCTTCAAAGTGTTTATCACATCGAACATTGACCTGAATCTCAAGCCAAAAAATGAAGGACTTGTTTTAGCAGGGAGGAGTGATATAGGATTTATCAGAGATCAAGATCAAATAGGCAGCAATAAGTTGATTGTGAGGACACTCTCATGAGTGAAGTGTTTCTTGCCTGTCTTAATGAAGCAACGCCACTAGCTGTTTCTTAACAAATTGTAAGTCCTGCTAAACTCATTTAAGATAGTTCAGTCAGACAACTCGCGTGTTTCTTTAACATGTTTATTAGAAGCAGCATATAGTTGAGTTTGGCGTCTAGGCTCGAGCCTCATCACTCCACAGATATACATAGCACGATGAGTGATGATTAAATAACTAACCCCCAGAGCCTACAGGTGGAAGCTGGGGTGGTGGTGGGGCAGGCAAGCAGCAGCGACGTGGAAGTAGCTGCAGCGATAGCAGCAGCAAGCAATGCATAGAGAGAGATCTGGCAGGTTCAATAGAGCGGCATATTAAGGAGACTCTGTTTGGTTGGTTGTAGAGTGGCAAGGGGCGTTATGTATGAATGCTGCATAAGTGCTCGAGTTGACTGCCTGAACTAGCTTGCAGGCTTCGCCACATTTCTGGTGCCATTTTAAGAGTTTTAAGCATATTGTGGTGTTAATTGTGATATAAATGGGTGTGTCATCTGATGGTTATGTATGACTTTAAAATATAATTGCAGGTTCCCAAAGACAATTATATTTTTGTATTTACATGTATATCATTTTTTAATTATTATTCTATTATATATTATTATATTATCTATATAAAGGTGTTGGCATGCAACATTTAGCAGGTTGTACAATCATCTAAGTAGAGCAGGAAGTCGGGGACTAAAGAAAAGCTTAGATTTTCTGTAATTAAAGCATTGACTGCCAACTTTTTTCTTTTTTAAAGTCAGTCTCTAAAACTCCAGCATTGTTTTCTCATTACACAAATCAACTCTGACATCAATCTTTTCAGTCATTTCTCATTGTCTTTTTGAAGCTGTGTGTGTGTGTTGGGCTAACCGTGTTGAATGCGTGTCTTCAGGGCCTGGTGGTAGAGGGCGCTCCGCTCTCTGTGAGATATCCCAACAGATTCACTGGGCTCGGGGCTCCCAGATCAGCGGCCTCTGACTCCTACACACGCCCCGGGTAAGAGCAGGCTGCTATTCTCCCTCACATTGATAACTTCACTCTTTGGTTACAACTTTAGATTTTGACCTAATCGAGTGTAATCAAATGTTTTATGTTTATATATTCTGCTTGAAGCTTGTTTTTATGATCAGCTGCAGATAAAGGCATGGCTACTCTGATATTTCTAGTTTTGTACGATTTGCATAATTTAAATTCCACTGGTGGCTGCGTAAGATTATTTCAGACCACATGAGATCCTTATCATTATTATTATTTTGTATTTTATTATATATGTTGAATTGTTGGAGGAGCTCAGGTCAGAAGAATTTCATTGCCATTTCTACAGTGTAGCTTTGTGGATATGACAATAAAACCTTTGGATCTTTGAAACCAAACATTTCCAATAACTGCAGAGCGTTGTCAAATCCAAAAGTCATCAATTATTCAATAAAGATAGATAATAGGATGTCATTACTCTTGCAAATGATTACATCTAAGGCGTGTGGTGCAGTGGGTTGTGCGTTGGTGTTCGGATCAGGGGGTCACAGGTTCAAACCCCACTGTAGTCAGCATGTCGTTGTGTCCCTGGGCAAGACATTTCACCCCAAATTGCTCCTGTGGGGATTGTCCACAGTATTGAGTATGTAAGTCGCTTTGGATAAAAGCGTCTAACAAGTGACATGTAAAAAAAAATGTAATCTAATGAAATATCCTGCTTCACACTATTTGTATTGGTGGTTAGTCTTTCAGAAACAACCTGACTTTACTGGAGTTAGTTTTCTCCTTGAAGGGTCTGTCCAGCAGCAGAAGGTTATTTCTTAATCTCAAAATAAGCTTTGTACAAAAATAATAAGTATTGTTAAGTTCATATTTGTTATTTGCTTATTTTTTTTACAATAGTTGCATTGGTGAAAAGAAACCCTGTCATTGCAGACCTTCTGATCTTCATGATTACTTTGATTAAAACATTCCATCCCTTACTCTATGAACTTTAACATGAATCAGCCGTATTTAAATAGTCTTTCCTGTTGTTGTTGTTTTTGTAGCCTGTTCAAGAAGGAGTGTTTCTTCTGGAGGACCTCGGGCTGCACGAGGCAGGACTGCACCTTCAAACATCTCCCCGAGAACAAGAACGTCGACAAGGACAAGTTCACCAGCAGACTGGGGAACTTTAACATGTAGGAAATCAAACATGACAAGCATGCATTGATTCCTTTGACTTTTGACACAATGGTGGTGCCAAACCTGGGCTGACTTTAGTCGCCTCTGGTTGCTCTTGGTTTTGGTTGTAAAAAAATAATAAAAAAAAGACTCAGAGACTGCACCATGAAGGCCCAGCATTGTTGTACAAATGCAAAGGACACCAAGCTAAATATACTACTGCATCATAGTCATAATTAATGTACATCAAGCTTTGAGCATTCCTTTTGCAATAGGACTTTTTCAGGGATTATTTGTGATTAATCTGTTTAAAGATTGTGTTAAAAGACTTGATTTTTAAGTTGCTGCTTTGCTTTGTTTTAAAATGAACAGATGTTTCTTCAGTGACCAGTAGATGGCACTGTTACCTTTTACCGCTCAGCTACTAACACTTTAATTTTAAAGGCTGTGATAGAAGTAGTTAAGCTATCAGCACATTTAATGCGCCATGTTTGATTTTGAAGCTGCTCTGTCATTTTGATTGCTGTGTTTGTTTTATGTGTTTGCTGATTATTATGTCATTATTGTTTATGTTTTGTTATGCCATATCTGCTGGAGAAGTACAGTGATGTTTGGACACAAAAAAGTGCCTTTTTAGTAGCACTTTAGCTGCAGTTTATCATGGGAAAAACAGAGGGAATTAAAGCCTCAACCTTATTTAAATGTCTTGTCATACATTAACATATTAAGTAAAAGACCTGGACTTAATAGCAAGAATAATATAGTCAGCCCTTATGTACAGTGATAATTTGTGAGTAGGTTATTGAAGCCTCAGCATGTTACTCTGAGTAATTTGGGATATCAGTGAGTTCAGAGGAAGTTTTTCTCCGTCCCACCACTAAAACATCAGATTAATCCCTCCAGCAGCTGTGGATCCTCTTGCAGCGTCCTTGAGCGGGAGGCTTGTCTCAGGTCAGCCTGAGTTAGAGTAAAGTGCCAGTTAAACGCTTTGAAAAGTAACTATTGTCCCTGAGATGTTATCTGCAGCGAGGTTATTCTAAGCCTCAAATGCCTCCCCTGCCTTGTGTCTCCTCCGATAATGTGAGGGATTTTTGTGGATTTCTCCCGTAATGCCCGGCAAGTTTTTGTTATTTGCCTCGAGCAGTTCAAAGTCACTTTTGTGACTATGCAATGTTTGGGGTGTGAGTTACACAATTCTCCCAAAGAGCTGAACCTAAGGACGAGGTTGAAAAGTGCTTAGTGCTGACTTCACAGCTGTACTCCTGGGCATTAATTGGCTGATGGTGGCATACCTCACAAAGCCCCTCTGATCTGTGTGAGATTGAAAGCATGAAAGGCCTGTAATACTAATAATATGAACTCTGGTTGAACCCGTAGAAAGCACTGAGACATAAAATGGGTCTATATTTAATCGTATTGGTCTGCTTAGCTCTGCCCTCGCTAGAAAACCTGTTTAAATGCAGATAAAACTGATAAGAGGTTCATCAACATCCCGCAGCTCCCGAGGCCATGCACAAAGCTGATCCCTAAAGCAAACATCGGGAAGATTAAGTGCATCTTGTTAAAAGGCTGCCTGGTTTGTAGAGCTTTCAACAGATTCCTCTCCCCCCCAGCAGCAGGAAACAGAACCAGCAGACATGACATGTTGCTCTCTCACTCCTCTGTGCTTTCTGATATATAGCTATGCAGCAAAAAGAAAAAAATCCTCCTCCCTCTGCAGAGAAGTTTTGAGTTGGGAGTGCATTGCTTTTAGCGCAGGGATTCATAATCACATTTTTATTCTAGTTCTATGCTTTTTCTCTCCGCTGGTAAATAAACTATGAATGTGACATGAGGGAGAAGCTGACTGCGTATCAAACGTCTGATTGGTTTCTCAGGAAGCCAAAGGAAATGCCCCCCTGCAGCTTCATAACCCTCCCTGCAGGCTGCTGTTTGCTTGTACTCGTTTTAAAGGAATGGCACTTCAAACAAACCAGTGTGTATTTTGGAGCAACTTATTTGTGGTTTATTTATAACAAATTCTTGCAGGAACATTTACATAGCCAGAAAATCTATTCACAAATTCAGCTTGTTTTGAGGGGTGTGGTTCCTTTTATAAACTCCAACAGGTTTTGGTTTTATTTGAATGCAGACATTTCTGCCTGATGTTTGGTCTGTGCTCTGGTTTAATGTTGGTATGCTGCTGTGCAATAGTCAATATTCAGCAATATTCAAAAGTCTGATTAAAGACACAACTTAATGCTGTTAACAAATGTGTTCACAAGGTGTTGAAATCTGAAAGAAATGTTTTTTTAACACTTAAACTTATTGATTATTTATTAAGGAAGAATTGCAGTTATAGAGAAATGTTCAAAACCTACTTTATTTTTCAGGAGACTTAAGACTTGTTGAGTAAAAGTTAACTAGGAGACTATGCCAGAACCAAACAGAATAGTTTGAGTCCTGTTATATATAATGCAGAGATATATTGAATTTTCCTCAATTATAAATCATTTGCAAGCTCAAGTTTTTGTGTTGAGTTTTGTTTGCACTTTAAATTATGTCAGAAATCTCTTATATAAACATCCAGATGGTGTCGAAGAAGTGCCTCGTAGTATTCATTTTTTTGAAGTGTTGATGTGTCATTTGGACCAAACTATTGTGTCTGCAGATTGTAATGTGCATAATATCTGAGATCAACAAGATGTTATGATGGTGGACTCGCACAATAGATATGGGGGGGGGGGGGCATCTGCTTCCCTGCTTCCCTGCAGCTTCTCCACAACCCTTTTGCAGGATTCCTTTGTTGCTCTGTGAAATGAATACAGTAATTGTCACAATGAAAAATTGACCTTCCCTTTAATCTAGACAGAGGCCCCCTTAACAAGTTAAAATAGCGAAAACCCAATTAGGGAATTGATTGCTTGCTTTCATTTTCCTCATTTGCATCAGGGTCATAGCGGAAGATAAATGAATGCCTATTCTTTTGTCCACATTGTCATTCCTGGTGGTGCAGTATCTATTGCTAAGAAATGAGCGGGAGAGAAGTCTTTTGTCCACCCTCTTCCACACCAACTCATCTCTGATAATCTGCTGTTAAACACAGAAAGAAAGACTTACAGAAGATTCATGAATCCTCCCTCTTTCACACTGATGGGCAAATACATTACGTTTTTATGGTAATTTGATAATTGGATGTATCTTTTCATATCTATTCATTACACTGATAAAACTCAACTTGTAGAGACTTCAAGGAAATGTTTCTTGTTCTCAACACATCTTATTAGACGGACAAAATCAACAGCCTATTATATAATGTCTGTCTCCCAAAACTTTACTTTCACTCTACCAATTGTGTAGCACTGAGCCCTGTTGGTTCCTGCAAAGTTTTGCTATTATTACAAAGATTTCATTTCTCCATAAAAGGGGGTATTGTGGTTTTTCAGCAGCTTTTTGAAGTATAAAATGCATATGGGACTATTTCAGCTGTGGATTAATACACATTTGGTACACAGTATTTAGACAGTAGGAGGCCAGAAGGTCATAACAGAGCTTTTTAAATTCTTCTCCATTGCTCTATGGGATTGATGTGGATGTTTTCTTGTTGAAACTGAGCTAAGCAAGCTTTAACGTACAGTTTATCAGACGCCACATGTTAAAATAAAAAGGTTATTGTTACTGTGTCACAGTTTGAAACGCTGTTTAAAGTTGAAATTGGGTTAGGGTATTCTTGCCCTGCTGATAGTTGTTGTCCCTTTTTTACATAACTGATGACAGTACATTTAGATTGTTTGAACCCAATAGTTAAGCGGAAATGCTTTTTTGGAGCATGCAACCACAAATTACATTTTGTCTTAAAGAAGAAACCTCCATCCTGCGTCGGACAATGTTCCAGTTGTAATGATGTGATGTTTATCGGTACAAAACTAAATCAGTCCAGTACCCTGTTAATAAATAACATCTCCCCCAGTGCAAATGTGTGACTTTAATATGTTTTATTAATAGATTTTGAGCAACATTGGAGCTTTTTTATAACGTTGGTTTTGGTCTTGGGAAATACATCAAATGTCATCATCCTTTAAAAGATCCTAACTGCTTCATGATGGTTTGAATTATGGCCAGCAGTAATGTGATGATTAGAATAGTAAAGCGTTAAGATAGAAAACACTCGTATGAAACCCATTTTCATTTATCAATGTTCAATAAAACTGCCTAATGTATATTCCTGTATCCTTACCTCTGAATAAATTATTAATGCGTGCAGGTTTGTATGCGTATACGTGCATGTTTATGTCCGCCCACAGACACTGCGGGGCGACAGGGAGGATAATGACATTGACTCCCTTTGTCGTCTCCTCTGATAAATGGCAGTTTAAAGGTTGAATCTCACATCTCTTTCATCTCCTGCGACATGCATGGCCACAAATCCTGGGCGCTGTCACTTTATTTTGGTCTTTGTCTCCGTGATCGATTGAGAAATGGTCTGTAAGGGAACCGAAGTGTCATTAACGTGATTAGAGGCTTGTAAACAAAGAAGACCTTTGGGTGTTCTGCAGAGCTGGGAATGCCTCCACCTGTGTTTCCTTCAAGGATTTACTTAGTGGGGCAAGAAATATGTGTCCTGTGTTCAGTGTAATCATTACAACCTGCAGCCAGTGGGGAGAGTATACTCTAATACTGTACAAACTTGGGTACATATTGTACCTTTTACGACACTAAATGTATTTGACAGCTTTACTTACAAGTAACTTTTAAGATAAAGATTTTACACAACGGATAATATAACAAGCTTTTAAATTCAACATATCTTTAAAGACCAAACCAATGACTTTCAACATTTTTGGCTTCTGATGTCTTACATAAAGCAGAGTATAGTCTCCTTATATATATATATAGATATATACATTTTTCCATCTAAACTTTCCATGTGATTTCATGTCAATCATAATCCAATATCTCACAAAAATATCAAAGATTATGGAAAAGTCTGAAAACTTTGATATAATAATGTCATATATAATATAATATCACCCAAAAACAATACTTATACTACGTGTTGCTGCTAATACTTGTAATGTAGTATTTATACATTGCTTTATTGGTACTTTAACTTTAAATGAAGAACCTTCCACCCCTGCCTACAGCCAGGTTGTATTTCATCTTGTTATCGACCTACATATCTGGAGGTCACATGTTCAAGGGCATGACAAATGTCAGGGCCGTAAATCCTTTCATTGTTGCCTCAAGGAGTTTGACTTCCAATAATTGATGCCCACTCCCATACATCACCGGTGTTCATTCCTGCAGAGCTGTTAATGCTAAATCTCACGTGGGCCTCTTTCACACATTGTCCAGTGTCGTTTTGTGTCGCTCATTTTTCAACAGAACCAGATTAACCTCCACAACATCGAACTAAATAATGTCACCATCAATCTGCGGGTTAATCTTTGGACTGTAATTTATAACAGGAGACACTTGTAATAAAAACATTGCACTCCAGGTGTTTAACCAAACTTCCTGTGTAAATAAAACCTGCTTCCTTTAAATACAGATAATTCTAACTGGCATGTCAGCTTCGTTCAAGTTTCTGGTGTCTGGAAAAATAATTCTCTGCCATGTTTTTGGCACTAAAGATTCAAGATTTAAAGGCTATACTATTATATGAGCAAAAGCTTCAGTGATTAAAATATTCTCCTCCAACAGTGCAGCAAAGACATTGCAAATAGCATATTGGGGCAAAAACTGGAATGCAAAATGTAACTGTAGAGTTAAATAAAAGTCTTGTATATTGAGATACTATATAAATAACTATGTGGACTATCAACAGATGTATGTGTTACAAACATAAGTAAGTGGTGACAGTATGCAGAGCTGCTACAGCATCAACAGTCAAATGTATCTCCGTTATTGAACCACATTGCAACAGCGAGTTTTATTGTTTAAACACCTTGTGTACGAGGGAGACAAGGCAGTGTTTAGCACACATTTAAGAAGCACTTGGAGGCTGTTTATCTGTTATAGAGGCTGTGTAGCAAACCAGGATGTCTGGGACGATTTAAGACTTCCTCTTTGCTCGCCTGCTTGCTCTCCCTGTTTGAAAATGCTGCAGAGGATCCATCTATTCCTCCCGTTTGTAATGAAGCTCCCTGGGGGCTTGGACGCACCATGTGAAGACGCCTTAGCACCAGAGCGATTCATTACCTCGGAAATGTGAGCTTTTGTTCCGTTTTCAGCGGAGCCCCATTAATCTTGGGCTGCCTCCTGGCATGAAGGCCAGGTACTGCTTAGGTAATTACAGTTAATCATCGTTCAGACGTGCACATGGCTCCTCAGAGGCTTCCATGCAGGGTCAAATCCACCTCTTGTTTACCCCCCCTGCTACTGTACGAGTGTCCCAGTTGCACCGCAAAGACGCCTAATATCTTTCTTGGTAACCGAACCGCGAGCGTTTTTGGTAATTGTGTCCAGGAAGATTTGGCACCAGTTGTGCAGCAGCCTCCCTGCTGCACAAACAAGTGAAACATCCCAGCGCCAACCCCCCATCACTCCAAACATTTACACTATCCAGCTGTCCATGTTGCATGGGTACTGGAGCCTACTGTTCACCTGCCGTTCATGATTGCCATTAATGGACAGATTACAAGATGGATGATTTTCAGAAGCAACAAGCAGAAACAGACCATCTGTATCTGGGCAGAGATGGATAACTTCATCACCTGGGGTTTCCTTCTGAAAACATGAAGAGCTTTGATGGTTGAAATGTCTATACTTAGAACTAAAACTAAAATATACTACCCCTTTAGCTGAGAATTAATCAGCAACAGCTATTATATTTGATTAAATGTTTAATTAGTTTGGATGGATCGCCCTTTCATTAACCCAAGACTGACTTTATCTATAAAGTTGGCATAACATTTACATTTTCATCAAAAGTCTACGATTCAATGCACTGCCATGAAAATTGGTCCGGACATTATTAACTTTAATTCTTTGAGTAGTTATGTTTAACTACTGCCATCACCAGATCTTTTTAATTTCAATGTTTTCAATACTATGGTGGAATATCCGCAAAACTATATATCCATCAACCATGTTGTTGTAGCCTACTTTAATGCTATTAGCTAACACGCTAAATGAAACGCATTACACCTGTTAAACAGCATGTTAGCATTGTTAGCTTAAACGTGTTAGCAGTATTCAACATTCATGTTTATTTGAAGAGCAAGAGAAACAGGGATTTATCAACTCTTGACAAGACAAAGACCACGTTGTGCGCTGACAGGAGGAAATGTGCCAGAAATACCCGAAGGGTCAAAACTCTTAAATTGATTTTTAAATGTTCGTGCAAACTGGTTGTTTAAGACAAAACCATATCAACATAATTAACAGTTCATTATTTACTGTACGCAATCAAGAAAACCTGTTCAAATGTGCTCTGAATTGAGAAATGCTTATATAAGAAACCTTTTTTTGTAATTAATTTTTTTACGACAATACCCTTAAGCTTTGTTTCCCACAGGACCATCCATCCAGCAGTCAGTCATCCATTCAGCAGATTCAGATACAAAACACACACCTTCCATCTGGGGAAACTGTGAAGACTCTTGATCAGCTCTCTGTGGCACATTCCTCTGAAGACCATCCACAAGCTCTCGGGTATTGATTAACATTTAAGATATGAGCAAAGAAAAGAATCAATGTGTGCTGTCCTATTAGCACAACGTGCCCTTAGCGGTTTGTTGTTTGTAATTTGAATGGAGATAAGCCCATCGCTTAAAGGCCGCCGCAGACATTGAGATAGTTGTAGTCGGGTTGACCTCCTTCAAGGGGAACAAAAGCTAACTCTACACTGTTGTTTGCTTTACTTGATAAAAGAAAGAAAAGAAAGCAGAGATCACAATGTTGGCAAAGTATGCTTAAGACATTTGGGTCCCGTCTTTGAGAAATGGGGAATCTGTTATCTGATGTCTTAAGGTTTGTTTCACCTGTTGGGCTGTGTGGACTAAAGAGGGAGAGGCTGAAATGGTCACAGTGTCATCATCAGTGTTGCATTGGAAATTATCTTAAACTTCTTTTTCTATAAATAAACCTTAAGTTAGAACCAATCGCTTTGTGAATGAGTGCCGCAGACCGGTAATTGAAGTCCGATTATTACAAATGAATACAATATTTAAGCGTAATTGCCAGAAAAGTTAACGTTAGACTATCAAATAACCGCCTCATGGATATGTATAAACTCCCAACAATAGCAACCCCTTTTGTTTGTATATGTTAAGGTTTTAAAGATAGGTATTGATCGAATTGAGGAATATTATAATCATACAATTATTTTGATTATATATATTATATTTTAAGGATATTGGTGCAATATGTTCTCCCAGTGACACACGAGAGGAGGGAACACGTTTAGCCTCACCGATTGTTTGCTTTCACCTTTGTGTCCTCTTCACGGCTGCTGCCACCTTAAACCGCAAGACACCTGTCCCTTTGTGTGACATTCCCCCCCCCCCCCCCCCACACACACACACACACCACACACACACACACACACACACACACACACACACACACACACACACACACACACACACACACACACACACACACACACACACACACACACACACACACACACACACATTGAAAACCTCAGGGGGTTTCTGCCCAGTCATTTGGCACATTTTTGATGTTGAATACAAAAAAAAGACAAAATGAGAGAGAGAGAGAGGGAGGAGTGAGGAGGGAGCAATCTAAGCTTTCCACTTCAGTGAAAGGCACTCTTTGTTGAGCACTCCTCTACAAAACCCCCTCCCTTCGTATCCACCCTTCTTCCCCCTCCCGTCCCTTCAAAAGCCCGGGTGGATTTTTCATTAAATGCTATCAGAATTGTGACTGGTCCTATTCATGGGCAGATGGCGGGCTGGAGACCAATACCTTCACTGGAGACTGACAGGAATCTGGGCTGTAGGTG